TGGCAATCTTTGGTAAGAGCACAATGTCTATTTTTTATCAAAGTAGGCACATCTGCTATTTTTTCACGAATTTAAGAAACATTTTTTAATTATTCTTGGCCGGAAACGTGGCCGATTCGATACAGTCAGACTCGAAAAGAACTATAAATTAATCGATGAATCGATTTGCTCGTAACCTAACGTCGCCGGTGATTACCAGCACAAAACATCAATATTCATAAAAAATCCCGAGGGTTGCGGAGATGCGCTGACCGTTCTTTTCGAAGAAACAACGGTAAAAAATGCGGGGTGGCTTCGAAACGCGGAAGTTTTTTTTCGGAAACCTAACGGGACTTTCTTTCTGTTTGCGGATGGTCCTTCGACCCGGCCGGAGGAGTCATTATTACTCAAGGGCGGCTGTTGCAGTCGTAAAAATACGGCGAAGAAACACCGGTTAACCCTTCATTATGCAATTTAATTGCATTATTAGGGGGTCTCGGGACGGCTCGATTCGGTCTGAATATTGCATATGTTGGAGAAGTGCAATCTGATGGGGAGCAGATGGTACTGAAGTATGATATTGAAAGGGAGAGAAATTTGGATTTTTGATTTAAAAAAATATAAATTGAAGAAGAAAATCTTTTTCAAGATTAAACGTGTACCATTCCAGTTCAATTATTTACAATGTACAAAAAAATAAACTTTTTCCAATACATTTTAACACATTTCGCTTCAATATAAACGCACAAAAGAATGAGTCGAAAAAAAAAGGAATAGATAATAAAACATGATTTCGAAAGCCCTTACAAAAATCTTTTTAACCCTTTTTTTGTGTACGTGTGACATTTCCAAGCAATTTGTGCGACCGAAAAAAGTATAATAATTGCGCAATTCCGCTTCATCTTTTCGTCGGGTTATTAAATCGTAAAAAAATAAAATGCCGAAGAAAGTCCTAAGTGAAGTTTCGGTACCAGTTCGTTTTTTCCGGCCATCACCAAACGCTCTTTGTCGGTGCGCAGAGCCCGGCCAGGTAAATAACGACCCCATTTTTTATGTTCGCAATATTCGCAGCTAATTTGAATTTTACTACCAGGAAAACGTCCATTTTCGCATTTTGCAAATCCGTAACAAAGCGTTTAGCATATCCGATTGAATAACAAAAAATCGGACGGTTTGTTTATGACCCTCGTAAATTTAATATACCTAGAATCTTTCCCCAAAAACCTTAAAAAAACTAAAAATCAGTCGTCTCATTGTTGAATTTCAATACTGCACTCAACAAAAAAAACTCTCATGTCCCAATTTGGAATAATTTGCACTAGGCTGGTCACACAAAACCAACAGTTTAGCCTGAATAGGGAAAACTACTTTCCATTTTCCTGTCACGTAATTTTTCTATCATCGACTATCATCTCGAAAGCGCTCGCTATTTATGCACCAAACTAATAACATACAAATGAAATCCCCATAGCATTGTACGCATAATCTATTCATGAACATTTTCCTGGTCAGTTTGCCAATTAGCACATCGATAAACGCGCTACGCCTTGAACAACTAACTGCGGCATTGGCACTGAATGAAAATGTTTTAATTTCACTGTCAGTCACGCCCAGATGCACAGGATGCGTACTTTGTGTTTAAAACGTTCGATGGAAACGGGCGATTTGACCTATAATCGACTCTATTTTTAACCATTTTGTACCGAAAATATAGAAGAAATTGCAAAGAAACAGTTCTTCTCCTTCTATACGATGTACAATTTATTATTCTTCCATTAAATCTTCTTCTACTATTCGATATCTTCTAACTGCCTTGGATCTCTTAGCCAAAACACATTGGAAGTTTATTAAAATTTTGGGTGATAATGTTGAAGAAATGGTGAAAACATTTATGGTATCCAACATTTCTTCTTCTTCTACAAGATGTACAATTTAGTATTCTACCATAAAATCTTCTTCTACCAATATTCGATATCTTCTCCAAGACAACTGTCTTGGATTCTCATAGGCGAAATTTACTGGAATTTTGCGTGCTTTCTCCTGCTATCACCGGTGGGTTTTAACTAGAAATAGCAGTTCTCGATGTGGCATAGTGGCATAACTCTGCGGTCGAACTTGATATGCAGCAGGCAATTTCTCTATAAGAAAGTAGTGTGTTCTAGCATAAAATATATCCACCGTGAACGTTGAATGTTAATTAGCGTTTTCTGCCATTAAAAAAGAAAGTAAAAGCCAGGTCGTCTGTATGAAAAGAAAACTTCCAACTTACACGAATCTATTGGTAATTGGAATTCATTGGAATTTACATAGCCAAGGAAGTATTTAAGTTCATATTAAATTTGCATAAATTTGTTAGCAGAAGTAATGATTGCTCAACGAATTGCGTAGGTCAATAAGCAAAGTGAACTATTATTCGCATTTTTAACAGTAGAATGAGGCGTTTGAATGATTTGCTGCATATCAACGCAGTTAATAAATATTAACTACTACAATGGAAAAAAGGGCAATTAATCTTTTTAACCTACATTTTTATTCGCATATGCCAGTCACTACGCAAACAGGACCGAATTGGCATCGATGACTAACGTTTCCGGTAAGATTTTCACTTCGTTTTCATCCTTCTACACCTACTTCCAACAAGAATTATTGAATTGTTAATTTCCAGTTAGCATTTTATTGCCTTCTATTATATCTATTTTATTTTTAGATATCCTGTTACATTGATTTTAATGAGAACGGTATTTCAAAAATCGTTTTCTGGATCAGTTAATTCCTGGTACTTCATTTGGCACAAATTGAGTTACTTTTTTTGATATTTCTTGATTGTTTATGTCCTGTTATTTGTTATAAATTTTATGAACGCCAATGACACGTGAGGCGTTATTTATACGCTAATGAAACGGTTTGTATATCGAGATTTTTTTAGTCCGTTTATGAAAGTTATAAATAATCAATGAAAATCGTAATTACCCTGGTCGAGAATGAAAATTACCTCGTTTATTTAACATAATCGCACCAGTCACGTGCCAAATCCCGGTGTCTATTTCTATTAGTCTATTTCATAAATTAACCAACAGAAATTTAATTGTACAGTAATTATCGCAGCATTACTATTCAATTCATAATTGTGGGTTGCAGAAAAATAGCAAGTATTTAATTGGTTTTCCATATAGGTGTTTTGGAAGAATAATTAGTGGATTCATTTCCAAATTACACCCGAGTTGAAAAATCGTGTTCAGTCAGCTTTTAATTGGTCTACTTAAATATGCGTTTCTGCACCTCTCATACACAATTAGTATTAATTTAATGTTTCCTTCTGATGAGCGAGTTGATAAAGATTATGTATGCGCTCTAATGTGTATTATTAATGATTATCTAATATTAGCGAAGATCTAAAAACGATCGAAGAAGACGACACTCGGTGTCGTTGCAATTATTTTTAGAACGCGTTTCGAATATTTTTCGAGTTTGTTCACCTCGCACGAATGACGAGAATTTTTGTAAATATTAACATTGCCCGATCCGGTAGTTGTAAATACGAAAATTCGAATCAATTGAAACAGCGCCGATCTCATGTATATACATATATTCCTCAATGGGTGCTTAACTAATGTAAATGTAAATTGAGCTTTAGTAATAATGCTTTATCATTAGCAGAAGATGGTGCAAAATGAAGAATTCGGAGCTTGAGGTGGTTTTGCACTGTCGTTTAAAGCAATTGCATTTTCTTTTGCCAAGTGATATTTCATTTGCAACCTTCAAAAGTGCATGTAATGGATAGCTCGGCAGTCACGCCACGTATTTGACCTGCCCATTGCGGCCAGACGAACGACTGTGGATGTCGGTGTGCGAATTGTTATGTTGGTATTGCGTAAGAGCGTGTTTAGTTTATTTTATTCTTATAACCTACATCGTGTCAATGTGCTATTAACATACACTCTTCTTATCTGTACAGGAAGTTTTACTGTTTGCATACAGTGGAACGATTTACACTTTCCGAGTAACTACCATACCGGGTGTATGGGTATTGGCTCAGAGCCGCGTTTATGGGAATGCGAAGTGACACAAAAAGGTCGTTCGTATGGAAAAAAGCGAGCAATTAAACGCGATTTATGCAGAGATTAAGAACTTATTACTCTTCGCCTCTTCCGCGTTAGCACTTTTCTGTCGATCGTCGATTTTTTCGTTTTAAAAGTACTTATGATTGAAAGACGGTGAGAGATAAAAGTCAAAATGTTGGAGATAATATAAATGAATCATTTCGTAAAGTTCAAGGCAGCAATAAGATATTGTGTATACGTGACAAGTGCTACAAAAACTGCAAAAATCTAATGTAAATCTTATTTTATCAAGGCTATCATTAATATGTATATGCTAGTTATATTAAATATTCCCATTTTGCTGGGTAATGTGGAAACTTTATCTAATTAATATTGAGTTTTTTTTTAATAATAAAAAGTATACATTGATGCATATTCTAGTTGTAGCGTCGATCTCTTGCTAAACACCTTATAAGTACATACTTTGAAAAGTTTATAGTTCGGTTATATTAATTCTTTAGCATACCTACATCTTAATTTTCTTCCTGTCTTAGTAAAATGACAAAATATTTTATTGACTATTAAAAAAATGGAGCAATATTAGTGTCCCTGTTATTATTCACTTCCAATAATGAAAAAACGAGAATCTAATTAAAAAATACAAATATTAGATTTTTTTAAATTACTGTTATTATACATTTAATGTAACTGCATTCTCCATTATCCTTGACCGAGATTACTTGCAAAGTTATGCAGGAACAGGATTTTAAATAGGTTCATTATTACCGAACAAAGATAATTGCAAATTTAGTTTGTGTACTTGACTAAAACTTATAAAATTGCATTATTTTCGTGCAACATCAGCGTTTGGCAGTATCGGGTCGAAGAAATAAGATATTAAAAAATTTATTTTTTAATCGATGAGGAGTAATGTATAAATTGTATATATATTTAAAAAATTATGTAATGCGATCGTGAAATTTAGAAAAGGAAAGCCTTAGCTAAAGCGATTACAGGCGATCCAGTGGCCGGTTCAGGCAAGATTCCACTGGATGCGGCGATATCCAGATGAGTATACTTCAAAGGCTGCTCGTGTTCCGATCCGTGCTTGTCCAAACCACTGGCCATGATTAAGAAAGCCGCCGGTCCTAGAAAAAATCAATCAACAATATATTTTAGATTCATCTCCCGTCCATTTAAAGTTTCCACTGTTTTATGTAGGGTAGAAATGCTCACCTTGGTGACCTCTTGCTATCTGCACCGATGGTCTTGGCAGGCTCTGTATAACGTCGTCACCTTCCATTATCCCTTTGTAATTGTTGAAGTCTTCTTTTCTTACGACGGACACTTCGAAGGGATCCGCAACCACGTCCCCGGCATTTTGGAGTTTTTGGTAGGTTTGAACTTTCCTTGCCGGTCCATTGTCCATGGCTGGTATGAATGAAATAAATGAATAAAAGTGTAAAGAATTGAAGAGACATCGACGAATTTTTAGAATAAACGCAATTAAGAGAATCAACCTAGGATAACGTGGAATTACGTTGTTAATATTTTATTGCTCGTGCTGTAACAATTACTTCTATAAAATTAACATCGCTTACAAAGAAAACTGTTATTTCGTTGTTTGTAAAAAGCCGCTCGGTTGTTGTTAGACATATTTCGTCGATGTTCAATAATGCGAATTCTTTTTAATACAAGGTTACTAATTTTTTATAACATAAATTGTAAATTTATTGAGATATAAAACGTGAATACCTTTTTAATTTGACGTTTAACTACGCATCATCCAAGAACGTAAATAAAATAATCTGCAATTACATCAGGGTACACGAAAGAGGGATCAATTGAATGAAAAATTAAATAACCGATGGAAATAATTTTGCATCCGCCATCGGACATTTCGTAAGAATTTTGTCATAAGGAAGCTCATTGAAAACCAGCTGCAAGCAGGAGAGCCTTGGTCGTGTCAAGGGCCACAACTACATAATCTATTTTATAATAGGCTGACCTTGCTTCGATCGTATATGCAATATAAGGAGTCGATTGGAGACATAAACCAACTGCGATATCAATTAATCGGTACGAATAAAATCGACATTTAAAATTGCGATCGACGAACGCCATAAATATTTTTCAAGCACTTATTTCACGTCTAATTTATTCTCTGAAAGTTCCGGCAAATAACTTTATAACGTGACCGATGCATGGAAAACAGACGGAATTTCCTTATTGAATATTTGTTGCAAGCAAAGTATGTTGTAGTCTCGGAGGAATTCTTCGGACAATATTTTTGATTAACTATTTAAATTTATGATCTAGATCTGTAAAAAATTAACTTTGTTTTTGATGGGAATGGTTTTTAAGATGTACCCACAGCGATATTATAAATTTTTTTATTTCGGTCGACTAACGGTAAGCGCTCTCCTAAGGGGAAATCGATTATTTCGATCGTGTTATCACGAATATCTGCCGGTATCTCAGTGCTAAAATAACGCTAAAGTAACCGTTAAAAACGCACGTGTGACAATGGCGTTCTAAAATAAAGGTATTTTTCAGATTTGAAATTCGAAGATAAAGCAAATGAAGATTTTCAAGTTTTAAAACAATGTAAGATAAATGTTTGATTTTATTGCAGTAGGTATATATTGCAGGAATAAAATTGCACAAATTTTCAAACAACTAGGATCGTTCGAAGTAAATCAATCAGGAAAATCTTCAGTTGCGCTACTGAAGCAATGCTTCGTGTAAGTAAAATTAACGAACGTGGACCGCTATCTGTCCTCATTTTCCTTGTAGTTTACCGCTTTTCAACAACAAAACATATGGTCGGTTGTTATATATAAGTCTTCTTATAGGCATTTCCGTTACGAACCGATCGAATATTTTCAGGTGCAATTCCGGAAAACACTCTAATAGCTCCTGCAAATTTTTAATCGAGCGAAATGTATACCATCAGTTGAAACCGATACAGCGTTCAAACAATTATCTTAACTGGTAATAAAATTTTCAGTGCATATGAACATCACTTACCAATGGAATATCCTTCACCTACTGTACGGTGTGCATGACCAGTAAGCGTTGCAATTGTAAACAAGTGAGGATTCACAGCTTTAAGAGCATCTTCTTTAAACTGCAAGAAAAATACTATATAATAAATTATAGTCACAAATTTTTAGTTAATAACTTCAGATCTAAACATCGCTATTATAACTGTAATATATCAGATTGTGTATACATATCACACGAGAAAACGGATCCGTCGCATTTTTTTCGGGTTCCTCATTTCTCACGCAGAATTCGCACACGCATTTCATTCCGCTTAATTCCGTGGAGGTACCGAGAGGTCATTCAACGTATCGAGTTTACGAAATTCACAGAGTTCACGTACCTATATAGGTAGTTTTTTTTCGATACCCATATATGTCTCTCATCGAAAATCATGCATACGGACACACCCGTCGAACGTCGCTTATCTTCATCTTGCAATTACCCGATAAAAATTCAGCGATTGTGAGCTTCAAGGACGTACCCGCAGTTTTTTCCCATCCAGGATCAGGACCAACAATATTAATACTCAATCGAATATACATATAAATATTAATAATATTTTTTACTTAGTTAAAAACCAAAAAACAAACCAATCTTCAAACTTGTAGTAAGTAACTTTAATTAATTATCCTGGGGCAACTAAAACGTCACCAATAAAATAAATAATTTCCCCTTGTGCAACTGCTTTCTACACCAATGAATTCAATTGTGTATTAAATTTGAAGGGATCGTTAATTTATCTCAGACAGAGATCGAGAAAAGGGTTATTTGTGCACGGATTTCTCTCTAGGTGCCTAATAATAAAAATAATAATGATTTTATCGGTGGAAATTTGAATAAAAAGCGAATATTTAGATTTCATTAACATTGTCGATAAGATGCAGCTTTTAAAGGAATGCAACGTAAAAATCCATGTATGTTAACAGAAACTGGCGCTTTTTAAAATACATTCAAGTGAGGAATATTTTACATATTTTTGTAAAGAGGCGTTTTTTAAAATATACCTATTATAACAACTTTTTTTGCGCGCCCACATTGTTTTTTCAAATCGTTTTTTTGTAATCAGAAACAGATTAAAAAATCGCATGGGACAATTAGCCGGCGCCATGTTTCCAATAAAAAATGACCTAGAAATTAATGTATGTAGTTTTAATATTAATTCCATCGTATTTTTAAACGTAATTAATTTAAAAGAACAATCATATTATCACAGTATTTACACTATAATATTTATACAAATTGGCGAGTTAAAATCTTTGATAAATTTACCTAATATCTGCATATTTAAAATGCTATCATAAATAATAACTATGGATTAGAATAGTAATTAACGAGCTAGCTCATGTCTGGTCATGTGCACGAAAATGCAAATAACTGACCTCACTTACAAACTATTTTTGATGTACAGTTTGAATAGGCTAGGAAAAATTTCACCACAATCCAATAAAGCCAATATCGCTAGTTTTTTAAGTTTAATGACTAATTTTTTGATAAACGATAAAATAAATGCAATATAATTGAATAAAAAGAACGATTATTTCTAACAAAAAAAATTCATATTCGCTTGAGTGCAAAAATTATTTTTGAAATGCAGGGTGGTTAAAAAGATGTTGAAAAAGTTAGCCGTTGTCAAAAATCTGGATTTTTTTCTTTCCCTCATATTATGTGACAGATAAAATGACATAATTATGTAAACTACCCTGTATAAAATCGTTTCACATGAGTGGAAACTTGACACCTTTATTGAGGTAGTCAAGGAGAGAAATAGATATTAATGCATACCAAACCGTGATTATTGCATTTTAATTTCCGTTGTCGTGTTTTTGTTATTACAATGTACAGTGCGGTTTCGCAGATATTACATAAAAATTATAAACCAAATATCTACAAAAATATTTTTCTGGTAAATCACTTAGCAAAAATTGTTGGCGATGTTGGGCTTCGTAGAATGTGAAACTACAAAATCCAAGGAGTTATCCCGCATCATTTGAGTATAGAATATACCTAAGTGAACTGCCCTGTATTATGAATCTGAATGTAAGAAAAAGTACATATTTATAAAGAGAGAATTAGAAAAAACCTGGCGATTTGCAATCCAGAAAAAACGGCATTCTTTCTCAACGATTATTATTTTTTTCGATTTAAAATGTCACACGTGTTTCAGAAATCTGGCGTGAACAGCCTGTCGGATTACGTAAGCAGAAAACGTGAATAGTCGTTGGTACTCGTTTACACGGAGAAAAGCACGTTGTCTGCAAGGAATACTTTAAAAATTTATTGGAAAACTGGTAAAATCGTAAATCATAAAAAATTTAGTGGAAATTATTGCTCATTCGAATAACGAGAGGATTATTTTTTAAACACTTCATTTCGTAAGTGCGCCTAACACAGAAAATATGTAGATATAAATTTTGCAGTATTAAATTGAAATAAAAGAACATCTTGCTCACAGGATAAGGCCATAAAACGGTGCGCTTTTTATTTGCCCTTGCTAAGATTCTTTGAATACATAATTAACCCTGTTTCTAAGTCTTACATTTTAATTAATATAAAATCTGCAAGAATCGAAGGACGTTCGGCAAATCAGGAAACCAATACATTCGAACCGCAATTCAATAAAACCGTTTTGCGGAATTCGCTAAAATTACTGCAATAGTAAAGGTCGAATCGAGACCACATAAACATGAAACTTTTATTCTATCCCTTCCTTTTGCTCTTTGTTATTATTTCGAATAAATCACATTGATATACGCCCTAATGGCTGTTATGGCTTTTTCGCGTAAATATTAATTCATAATACTCCGTGTCTCACGATCCGTCAAAAACGGCGCCACAGGCAATAAGTTTTCCAGAATTATTGCTGGGGAAAAAATACATAAACAATAACCCATCACAAAACCATATACAACATACAGTGCATTTCTTTAATGTCCCCCCCCCCTTTTATTTTTTGAACGGATCAACTTAGAAAATTGAAATTTGGGATAATGAAACTAATGCATGATTACTATATTTTGGAGTAAAATTGACAGACGAAAATTTCAAGATGGCGACTGGGCGCCATCTTGGAAAATAAATTTAAATGGAAAGGGGGGTCTTGTGATACATCATTTTGAAGCTCCTGACAAATACTCTACAACCCTGGAATATAAAGTCAATATCTGCACCTGCTACAAAATGGCGGACATTTAATAATTACCTGAATAAATCGACGTTTAACGTCATAATTTGAGGAAATAAGCTGAGTTCTGTTCAAAAAAAGCTCGAAATGGTTGCCTTGAACTTCTTGATACAAGAACAGGCAATCCGAACATTTTCGAACATAGTAACGTCGATATTTTTACAAATATCTGTAATTATTTCTCGTATATCCAATATTGAAGCAGGTTTAGTTTCGTACACATTTTGCTTCAAATAGACCCATAAAAAAAAGTCTAAAGGTGTCAAATCTGGTCAAATTCTGCTCAAATCCATTCAGTAGGACCTCGACAACCAATCCAACGATCCAACGACTAGGGAAAATAGCATCCAAATAGTTCATTACTTGTCTGGTAATGGGGTGGTGCTCCATCTTCCAATGGACGAGAATTTGCCATTTTAGAGTTAGTTCACGTGCTACCTAACTGCAATGAGAACTAAACAACCGAAAACTAAATGAAAATACTTTGAACACTAGGAAAATCGAAAACTAAAGAGAATATTTTGAACACTAGGAAAACCAAAAACTAAATGAGCATATTTTGACTAAACAATTAATGTTCGTTGTCGTACTTAAATTTTTTGGAATTTTTTTAACCAAAAATAACCTGTCAAACCTTATCGGTTTGCTGGGATTGCTGTTTGCCATAGAAAAACAAATATTTCTAGAAAAATTGATATTATTTTGTTTGTATTCAAGTAATTATTAAATGTTCCGCCATTTTGTAGCAGGTGCAGATATTGACTTTATATTTCAGGGTTGTAAAGTATTTGTCAGGAGCTTCAAAATGATGTATCACAAGACCCCCCTTTCCATTTAAATTTATTTTCCAAGATGGCGCCCAGTCGCCATCTTGAAATTTTCGTCTGTCAATTTTACTCCAAAATATAGTAATCATGCATTAGTTTCATTATCCCAAATTTCAATTTTCTAAGTTGATCCGTTCAAAAAATAAAAGGGGGGGGGGACATTAAAGAAATGGACTGTATATTGAATTCCTAAACTGTTCTCATCTTCTGCCGGAAAAATCTCGATAAAAATTCTTAGGGAATTAAATCCTTAAACTTGCTGTTTATACCCATTAATACAAGGATATTATATTATATCATATCGCAGACATTAATTAAATAATACACATGAAAGTTCGCTTTGTTAACGCATTTTGCCACTTACGAGTATTATCTAAGGATTAAGTAATTGTTAGACCTTCAAGGTAGCAACTTTTCATACTTCTTGGTGCAGTCTAGATAATGGAGGAAGTCGCGTTTTTACACGTCGCAAAGTGGAAATTTATCAGTAAGATTGGAGATAAAAAATAAATTAGAAACATTCAGAGTTGCGTAGAAAAGTGTTGGTTTTCAACGTTCATTTGCATCAAATTCTGTTAATTGCACGTTACAATTCCTAACAATCTTGTTGATTCGAACACTTATTTATTATCCATCTGAGTTATTACTATAGCAATGCAAATGCAGATTTATTAAATAACAGTTTGACAATTTCGATTTCTTCTCATTTGAATAGGTAATTCTATTCAATTGCAGGAATCTCGCCGTCAAACGATAATATTAAAAAATAACGGATGGCATTGATATATGAAAGGTAAGTAATTGGTATAAATATAAGTAGTCGATCTTACCGTAATAACAGTAATTATTCAATAACTCTGTGATTTTTCTTTAACCTTTTGTATTTACCTTTATCGATTGTCCATTTTTTATTTCGCATTGATCTATTTAAATAAATCATTTTATATTGACGGAATACTTAAACAAACAATGATAATTTGCTGTATTTTAAATTAATTACACCTGGCTCTACGTGAAGCTCTTGCTTTTCTAGTTATCAATTCAAAATTAAAATATTCGGTTAATTGTAAAAATATAGAAAGAAATATATTTTCAGACAAATCTGGCCAATAAAAATTTTAAATCTTATTAAATTATTTTCTTGCAAATATTCCTGCGATAAAATCACATCAATTTATTAAACTACCGCCCTCTCTCGACGTTTGCCTCAACTACAAGTATTGTTAAAGCAAGATACCTATATTAAGCCGCCATTTTTAAACAACCGGCATTAGAGGTAACCTTTAAAGACTCCTAAGAAGATACCGAGTCCTAATTTAAGCTCCAATCCTACATATACACAAATAAATTAACTCCTTACCTTGCACAAGACATCAGCCATAACCATCCTGCCCTCGGCATCGGTATTAACAACACGTACTCTAGCTCCTGATCTGGCGGTGATCACCTCATCGGCCACGTATCCATTAGAGCCGATGCTGTTCCTTACCATGCTCATACCGGCGACCACTCTGAGACCTTCCGGTTGCAGGAGGCTCAGTAGGTACATGAAGCCTGCAACAGCGGCAGCGCCGCACTTGTCCCTCGACATACCGATCATCGCGCCGCTGATTTTGACGTCGATGCCGCCGGTGTCGTAGGTCACACCTTAAAGAAGAGAATAGATGGTAAGAAGAGGACCAAGGGATTCGCTTCATTGTACCTTTTCCAACAATAAACAAGGTTTCCTTGACTTCTCCGCTGGGATTGTATTCCAAGTAGATGATCCGTCCTTTGTGCCTGTCCTGCTGGCTGGCGCATCTGTTGACCGCCTCGAATAAGGGGTACTTGGATTTGAAGTCTCGTTCTTCCTTGACGACGGTCAGTTTGATGCCGGTGTTCTTGAAGGCGATCTTCACGTATTCCTCGACGTTTACTGGGGACATTCTCTCGGGATCGGCGTCGCCGATGTCTAGAGCGATTCTCCTGCTCTTCTCCAGCTTGTTGGCCAAGCTGACCAGTTCGTTGGTTTTGTCTGGATTGGGCGTGTAGACACCCAAGTATTCGACCTTCTGATCTTTGGATGGGTCATGTTCTCTCACTTGAATGGGCTAAAATAATAAACAAAAATGTATAAAAATGACAGATATCTTCGATAAGAAGTGGAAAGGTCGACGTTGTAGCTGTTTTGGAATATTTACCTACGTTATTTGTAAACGTGATTTGTGTTTAAACACAAATATTAATATGAAATTTTTGAATCATTGCTGATTAGATAAAAATATATATGGACAATTTCTTATCGTATAGTTGTGATAAAATGTAATAAAACAATAACATTAGGGTCCTCAAATTACATTGTAATTCAAAATTGTCAAAAAAATTAAGTATATAAATTAAGTTTTACTAATACTACGAATTTCATACGTTCTTGTATTAAAATTTTTTGTTAAATTTAAAAAAATATATGTACATGCATTTGCGTATAAATATGTATTATTCCTTATTATATTTTTAGTTTTTGTACTACTGTGCTACTTGAATATTTATTAGTATTTTTTGTAAAATACACTCGAGTACAGAAAATAAATTAGTCGCTTGTTAATTTTCTAAATACCTATTTTAACATTTTGCTATCACATTAGAGGAATTTTGCAAAAAAAAGTCACTATTCGCTCCTGTTATAATCTATGATCTGTTGCGAAATATTAAGTAACAAAAATTTAGTATCCGAGTACTTGAGTAAAAATACTAAGCACTTGAATGAAATACACTATGAAATACACTTATATTTAAAATGTCATACTTGGTACCCAGTACCCTTGTGATTAATAAATAAAACAAAGTAATACAACTCCCAAAAGTACTACAAAGAGCCTCTGAAGTACCACAGTTACATTTAACATAGTTCTTAAAACTAGTTCAAAAATCCTCTTACCGTATAGAAAACCTGTAGAGTCCCCAACAAAGTCACCAACTCCGCATGTTCGAATCTGGGATACTCTTCCAGGACCAATAGGGGCCTCTTGACGCCCGCCTTGAGCGCCCTCTTGGCCGCCCCGGCGGCACTGGTCTTGAATATTCTAACATCGTCATAGTCGGCATCGATCGGACCCGTAGGAGCGTGCACTAACCTCTTCGCTGGCAGGTCGATCGGCAAAACTGCAATCTCCGTTTTCAACGATGGATCGTATTCCAGAGCCTCGTCGAGCCGTTCCTTCAATTGCGTGGTCTTCAATGTCTGGTCGGGCGCCGTGACCAGCAGAATTGCATCGTAATCGGCCGAATCCAGGGATGTCTCGGCTCGCAGAGGGGTTTCACAAAAACTGAAAAAACAAACGTTGTAGTATGAGCGAAACGGATGAGCGAATTTTAAATGCGGTTTTTACCTGGCAGAAGCCATTCTGATCGAACTGAAATTAATGGAATAAAAGCGAACTGCGTTTGTAAGTACGTGCGGTTCAGCTGATTTCCAATTTTATGTATTTCTATAGCAAGTAGGAGAGATGTGCTTTATAAAGCCGGGTTTGGTATCAGTTAGCATTGTTGCCGGTTTTAGTGGTGAAAAAATCCAAGGACCAAAAGGAATTCAACAACCTTATTATCAGCTGTTGTACTGATTATTTTTTTAAATTTAATCGCGTATCATTTACCATATACTCGTTAACGATTTTATTATTTGCAACTGTAAATGTAGTTTAATTATATTAAAAAGCATAGGTAACTAAAAATCAATGTAAGCGATTATTATCCAATGGAATTTTTTCTCGAAATTAATCGCTCAGATAATTGGGACGAAAATAAAAGTCAATTATCTCTTGCGAAAATAAAATTCCATCAATTAGTTAAATTAAATATTAGTAAAATGAATATACTTTTCATTCTTCAAAATATACAAGAACCCATAATCTAAGAGTAAAATAATAATATATTTACTTTGGATAACCATCCAAATCATCGGCAAAAAGTTCTTCTGAATCTCCGCTAAATTCGTTTAATTTTCCAAGTCTCCGTGGGTACAGTTTTCTTTCTGCTCCACAAACTTGCTTTTTCTTGCAGGATCTTAAATAGCATGTTTAATTAAAAGCATTAGTTGCTTATAGCACTAATTTCTAACCCGTCGTTCGGTTCGTCGTCCCAGCTTTTATCCGAGCCCTTCTCGGTTTTCGTGGGCTTTTTGTTACAAACTCGTTTCGTCTGGCTTTTCTTCTTTGGACATTTGCATTTAGGCGTGCAGATGCATCTTACTACTACAGGTGGAACGTAATCACATTGGGTAATTGTTGAACAATCCACAAATTCTTTCTTTCTGGGCTTTTTCCTAGGCATGGTATGTTAAAAAAAAAGATTAAAAAAAGTAAAATGAACGGTATAACTTTTTGGCTAAACTATCATATTTTTTATTATAAACTAATTTGAAGTTTATGTCACCTCTCATTTTATTTATTAACAATTACATTGTTACAAACCTAACAGGATAAAAATATGTTAATAAAAATGAGTTTATTTTACTTTCTTCGAATTTCTTAAAATTATACCATTTTTATTCGAAGTAGTGGTTTTAATTTTTTTTTTAATAATTGGCAACACTGTTTCGTTATCCTTGTTTTGTTTTATTTTTGTAGCCTTGCTTGAAGTGTTGGTAACGAAATCTGTAGAACCAGTTAAGGGACTTTCACATTTCAAAACCAGGTGGAGAAACTGGTTTCTGATAATACAGTAAACTTTACATTTAGTTCAAATTTAACACATAGGTGGCAGGCACATTTTGATTAGGATTATCCCATAAAAAATTCTCACTACATAGAAAATAAATAAATAATTACTTTATTAAGTCAAGTCTAACAACAAGAAAACATTGCTTCATCATGGGCGATTCGTCGAAGAGCTACCTGATGATCCAGGAAAATAGGCAGAGTAAGCCATATTCTGAGGATCGCTGTTGACAGAGTACATTCTTTGGTAAGGACCACCGTTAACAGGTTCCCAAGAAGGATCGTAGGAGTTGAGAGGAGCTGGTGGAGGAGAAGAAGACGGCGGTCCATACAGAGGAGCTGGTGGTTCTGCAGGGGGCATCATCATCATTGGCATTGGCATACCTGGAATTGATAAAAGTACATGTAGTTTGGGGAATCACAGTTAAAAACATGAATATCTTACCAGATTTTCCAAGCAATTGATAAGCTATGAAACCGATCACAATTAGAATGGACAGTTTGCTTAAAATCAAAGCTTTGGTGGTTTTAAGAAGGAGCAGGATGTTTACAATAGGTTGCAGGATTTTCATTTTCAACTTGAGAAGAAGCAGAATGGGGAGCAGCAGTTTCTTTTTTAAGAGTCCTCGAGCTGAAAGGAAAAAATACGTGCCTAATCGACGTTTAAAGGTAAACAATTTACTTACACTCGTTTTCAGTGCTTTTGGTTTCCACATCTAATCCAGATTTTGGATTATAAACGATTTCGGTCCCTTCTAACAAACTTTCGGGTACTTTAAACCTGAATTCGTGCGTTTTGAGTACTTTTGCTACTCTCTTATAAATTGCTGCATCCACATTCTAAAAGCACCAAAATAATATTTCAATTTTGCCAAAAGTAGTCACTACAGTTACAAGCATACTAAAACAAAAATCACTTATAATTCACCTTGATATTTCTAACGTCACTCTGGATGTGAAGAACATTATCCAGGTATCCGAGCACGTTGTGCTTGACACAATCCATTTCGATGCAGTTGTCCAGAACGGTGGAGACGAGTTCGTCGCCTGACCTGGGGGTGCTTTGCCCCGCTGCAAGGGTGGCGAGGACCACGACGGTCGGAAAGTATTTCCACATGTTATCGGGACAATAAACTAAAATGATAATGATGAATCGAGATGGGCGCAGTTATATACAAGCGATTATAGAGGTCAGGGGGCGACTCTGGCGGAATTATTAATTAGCCGAAGAGATTCCTGAATGGGTTTCTTTTTCGTCGTTTATGGCGTTGTTCCGCTACTGAATCCGGTGTATTTAGTATTCCTTGTCGTTGTCGTAATGGAGATGTTCACTTTTTAATGCTTGCGTGAAATGAATTGGGTTCGTGAATTTCTGAAGCACGTGAAGAAAGCCAATTGGGATAGATAAAATAATAAAATAATTCCAATCGATCAATCCTATTATTTTACAATCGTCGTGTAGTTAACAAAAAACAAAAATATATTAATCTAATCTAATCTACTCTTGAATGTAATCTAATAAATGTTATTTCCTCAATACTGTATTTGCTAATTTGCAAGCATATCAAAATTCGATCAATTGTAGCATTTTCGTTAATTAGGACAATATTTCAATAATAACCGGATTAATTTTAATAAGTATCACGACCTAAACGGATTTAACCTTTTATAACAATAGCTTAAATAAAATATTAATGACATATTTCATCCATAAAAGGTAGTCAGGAATGCATTTAACACCTAATTTCACTTTTAATCCAATTATATTAAAGTTATATAAACAATAAGTTAATTTAAAATTGATCATTTGATTTGCTAAGGCTCATTGCTGCTAATCATGAACCCGGTGCATATAGTTTTAGTTTGTTTCATTGTTATAGTCTCAGCATCTCCGCTGATATCGAATAGAAAAGATAATGTAAGTAGATTTAAGTAGATAATTTACCAATGTTAATAAAACTTTTTTTTGTACTTCAGCAACATCATGTGTTATTAGTAGCTGAACCAAAATACAATGCGCTGGAAAATAATAGCTCTACAGAAGCGTATAAAAATGTGTTGCATATTCCCTTTACAGGACCTTATGTTGGACCTAGAATGATTAAACCTAAGCAATTCGATTCTAACGATGTGGTAGAAGGTAGATACAAAAATTAATATCAATAATGAATGGACTTTCATTATTAGTAATTTCAGGTAGAAAGAAATCCAAGTTGAAGAAGCTAAAGAAAATTTTCCTACCCATTATAATATTCGTGCTCGTCAAGGCTTTGGTGTTTATACCAATGGCCCTTTTCATTTTATCGTTTAAAGCCTGGAATGCTATACAGTTATCCTTTGTATCCTTCGTCGCTGCGGCTGCTGTGGCCGTCTGGAAATTCTGCACCAAAGTAAACCAGGATGTTTCACCGCCTCTCATCCACGCAGGTCCTGATTTAGATGGAATCGACCCTCATTTGCTGGCGTACAATGGATATGTTCCTTATTAGAATTTTATTGTTTATTTATCGCAATTTTATTTATTAAAAAAAGAACTAAAACATTTAATTGTTTCAATACTCTAAGAACCTATTCATCATTCCATGTCATACACTAAAATATTCTTAAAAATGGAGTATTTTAAATACTATATGAGAAACTACTTACTAACAGTTTTAAAATAAAAATTGATACAAGTGATTAGTTTGAGATTTTTTTCTGTTGCATGTGCAATTGCAATTAATTTTTAATTTGCAGGTCATATAAATGATAATTCTATACAGAGTGTCTATGTTCGAGCGCTGCAATCAGTAGAAAGAGAGAATCAGTCGAACTGCGGAGAGGCGCGGCTTCGGCGCGATGAATCGGCGGACGAATGTAGCGCTCGAAAGAAGACACAGTGTATGTTATAGATTCTGTGTTTTACCTCAAAAACCATACATGTATAATGTACATATAGGTACTCATTTCCAATGTTTAGGAACTATGTATTATTACAGTAGGTATACCTAAATATCATTTAAAAATAGTTAGAATAATTTATTCAAATAAAAGAATTATTGAAACGTTCATCTACCCGAGGTAAAGGATTAAGGAAAATTAGTAAGGAAACAGAATGCATAATAAAATATCTCAGGTAATTTTTTCACATTTCTATTAAAAAAATAATTTAATACACTATAAACAAAATTCACATTATCATTGCGGAGCGTATCCGGAATAAGCCATCTGCTGAGCCTGTTGGGCCTGTTGCGCTCCGCCATCTTGCCGGTCGTGGAAGTGGTGCAAATGGGGATCGTACGTTTGGTGGATGATTTGCGGAGGTTCGTGCGTGACCTTCGTGCAGAGCTTCCAAATGGCCATAGCTAAAGCCGATACGAACGACACGAACGACAATTGGGTGGCGTTCCAAGCTTTAATTCCCAGGATTCCTAAGGCCAAAGGAATCAGCGTCATGGCTTTGATCACAATGAAAACGAGAATGGGAACGAACATTTTCTTCAGCTTGGATTTCTTTTTGCGACCTGTAAAATGTGAGTTGTTTTATCTAATTGATGTAGTTTGAAGTTGTAACTTACCTTGAACATCGCTTCCGAATTTAAATTTGATGTCGATTTCATCGTTGTCCAGGTTTTTACCTTCTAAAGTAACTTTCGATCCGATCACAGGAAAATCGAAGGTAACCTCGTGATTTTTTATGTAACGTTCGATGTTTTCTTCGATTCCACCGCTGGCACTTCTTCCAGTTTCCACGATATTGGTTTTTATATCAACATCTGAACCGATCTTTAAAAAAATCTAAAGTTACAACTTTGTTTCAACTAACACTGTTATTCAAGCTTACTTTAAGAAGATCATTCCAGTAGGTATCCTCATATTTGGGCGTAGGATTAGCCGTAACCACCCCTATGAATAGAATCAAAATCACTACACGCCCCATTGTTCTCGCGTCTATTACTAATATATAAATAACGATAGGTTTTCGCCCCCCAGGCTTTTATACCGCTATAAAGGAAACACTTTCTTTACTGAGTACGTTCGGACTAAATTATTTCGCAGGCGTTTGTCGGACGTGCGATGAATACGCTTTTCGAAGAAGATGAACTTTGAAGAAAATCGTCATGAAAGCGTTTAGTACAACTACTGGCGATTATTTATTTATGGTGGACAGTACTCGAATGATATTATTTCACCTAGATTTTCGGACAAATATGCGGTCAATAGAGTGTTAACAAGAATTTTAAATCATATGGTTCACTTTGGAAATAATAGGTTATCGACTGGTCGGTTTCGGCAAAAATCGAAAGCGATTTAATTATACCGAATTTGGATGGAACTTTTAAAAGTTTTATAGTTAGTTGATTATCGATTAAATGTATTATAAAAAATGTATAATTTAATTAGTTGAAGATGTAGATTAGCATATGTAGTTAAGTATTGAAGTTACAGAAGATATAGAAGGTACAATCCTTAAAATCTTCTTCTGTTTGTCTGATTATTTGAATGTGGCTGCAAAGTAGGTAGCAATGAAAATTTTAAAACTGTAAATCTAGAGAATGCTTTATATGAGTTACACTGAAATTTCAAAATATGATAGATTCATACTCGTATATCACCCTAAGTAAATCTGCTACTACTTCCCTTAAAATTAAGGTTATTTTAACAAACATATTTCATAGGCAGAATATCTTTAATTCAACCTTTCTTTAGTAGTACTCTATGTTAGTATTCTTTATCTATCTTAAATTATTATCAATAAATATTACATAATTCTCAGAAGAAGTAAAATAAGACTGGTAGGTTCTGTCTGATCCTTATTCAAGTAGGTATATAGTGAGTTAATTTAATCAAAGTATTTTGTAAAATAAGAATGCCAATATTATTCAATAAATAATTTATTATCCTAAATACAACATTATTAATTGGTGTAGGCCGAATAAGCCAAGTTCTGAGCGCCCTCGAAGTTCCTGGCCCAATGAGTTTCCAATGGAGAAGAAGCTATATGGGCATGAGCGTGAGCGTTATTTTCCGCCAGTTTCTGACATAACTGGAATATTGCCAAGCCGGTGGATATAATGAAGGAGATGAAGGCCAGTTGAAGACCGTTCCACGCTTTGAGTCCCAATATTCCAATGGCGAAAGGTACTAGTGTGATCGCTTTGAGGAGGAGGAAGATCAAGATCGGGCTCAGGATTTTCTTGATTTTAGACTTCTTGCGAGCTGTAATTAAGAAAATTCTTCAATATTTTTGAATATAGGAATTGTTTGATTACGTACATCTTCCTTCATCTACTTCATCTGATCCGAAATTCAACTTGATTCCTAATTGTTCGTTATCTAAAGCAGTCGAGTCAACTGTAACATCCCCTACGAAAGGAATTTTAAATGTAACATCGTGTGTTTTGATGAATTGCTCCAAGCCATTTTCCCAACTAAGATCGGATCTTGCCGATTCTTCGTCTATTTGGTAATTATTTGGGGTCAAAATCACACTATTTCCAAAATATCTGTTATTTCCGTTATTTCCGTTGTTTCCGTTGTTTCCGTTGTTTCCGTTGTTTCCGTTGTTTCCGTTGTTTCCGTTGTTTCCGTTGTTTCCATTATTCCCATTATTTCCGTTATTTCCGTTATTTCCATTATTCCCATTAGTTCCATTATTTCCTACCTAAAAAGTTTATTACGAATAACGTACACCATAATTTATAATTATTTACGTACCTGAAAATGATCCCTCCAGAAGTTAACGTCTAAAAATTTGAAAGCTTTGTACTGGAAACACGCGAACATATTGCCATTGGAGCAATCGCTCCTCAATCTTTGAAACAGCAAGTCCAAGAAGGTCTGATTTGGTACCGGAGGCTGCGTTGTGGCCTGTTTCTCGAGAGGCTCAATGGCCACTGCCGCAGCAACGGCTATAACTACAAAAAACCACGGTAATTTCGCCATAACGTTCATTCTGGATTAATTACGCTGAGCGAATGGACGGGTTGGTTCCGTTTCAATTGCTTTAATACCTTCGTCGATCGAAAGTTTCCGTGCGTTGAATACCAATAATGGTTGAGGATGTTCGAGGCATTGTTTAAAATTTTTGGGCGAATGTGTTCGATATTAATTTATTAGTTTCAATAGGTTACTTCTAGTGTCATACATGTAACCAATCTAATTTCTTTGAAGTTCTTATAATATTTTGTAGATTTTATTATGTCGAGTTTCACCTGTTGGAATAAAATAATGTAATTCTCTTTTCTCTTATTTAACTTTTCGTTCCCTATGCCTACTTAATTTTTCTACATTTTTGTGGATTAAAATAAAATTTCAATTATGTAGGTACCTACTTTTCTTTGAAATATTGCCATTTATTATTTAGATTATTTAAAGTTTCCATTATTATTACTATTACTAAGTACTATTTTATTTACTTTACATTACTATTATTTCTTGTTTTCTTTGTAATTTATTTTAGAATCAGAAACTTCTTCATGATGAGCTGAATTCGTAATATAATCTACATATTTCAAGATATGTCTCAAAAAATTAGGTTCCAATGTCTTTAATAAATTAAATCATTATTAATTATTTAAAATGTTAGCCAATGAACAATTAAATTTCAGCGATAATTTTACTACATTTATTTTAACTCGATTAATACTTAGTTTTTTTAATAATTTCAATCTTGCATTAAAGAAATCTTAGGATAGGAATAAAAAGATTTAATAAACAATTAATAATTTTATTTTCGAATAAACACTCTCATTTTCTATAAGCCGAATATACTAAATTATGCACATAATCGGCATTATCAAAAGATCTTTGCTTGGCTACAGCTTGTTGTTTTTCCCAAGGACCGGGCGCTGCGATTTGAGCGTGTGCGTTGTTTTCCGCTATTTTCTTACACAATTGGAAAATGGCCAAGGCTGATGAAATAACGAACGCAAAAATGGACAATTGCAGAGAGCTAGCAGCTTTGAGAAGAAGAACACCAAGCACAAGCGGTACTAATGTCATTGCTTTTAGTAGAACGAATACTAATATGGGTGTCAGAATCTTCTTCAGTTTGGATTTTCGAGCTGAAACAAAAAAAAATTATCAATACTAAATCTATTTACAAGGTACATATGTACATAGTTTGCTTCATAATACCTACCCTCGTTAACATTATTATCACCAAATTTAATCTTCAATCCAACTTCATCATTTTCTAAATTATCACTATCGATTCTAACTTTTCCTACGAATGGTACATATAAATCATGAGTCTTGAAGTATTCCTCAATTTTCTCTTCATAGTTTCCTCCTGATCTAGATTGGCTTTCTTCTGGTGAAGCTTCTACTAATTTATTGCTATTTACTTCGACGCCTTCAGCAATCTGGAAAATAAATTCTCTCTAATTAAACCCATTGAAGAAATTCATTGATGTTTACTTGATTGTTTTCCTGATCCAACAAACTATGTATGAATTCGATAACTGTATCGTGGACGTAGCCAATTGGATCCTCTTCAAAATCATTCGATTCTTCCAAATCTGAAGAAACGGGTGAAGCATGTGCGCAGATAATGAAAGCGAAAAAGATAATAATTTTAGTAACCATCATCGTTAAATTACAGTTAAAAAATGAAACGGGGAAAAGGCCTCCCTTTTGTTTTATATGCAGATATAAAGGACGCTTTTCGTCCTAGTAAGGTCATGGCACTAAATACATTTGGATAATTGGAGCTCAACATCGCTTGCATATTTATAAAGCGTTTCCTTAATTAGCGTGTCAGAGGCGAATTCGATGTGGTATGCAGCACTTTTCCTTGTTCAAACCGATGCTGAATAAATAATGTGGCTTACTTTTATTTCGTTAGGATTTCCATACCTATAGGAGAAAAATTAACAAGTTGAAAATGTCATCGAATGATTACAAAATTTGAAGATTGAGGTGGTCCAAAATGATGTACTTATACATGATGTATAATGCAAAGAAATAATGATAATATTGAAGGGAAAACTTTTTATAGCTTTAAAAAATATGTATCTATTTTCTCTGTTTATAAAATTTATACTCCAAGTAGTAAAGTAAAATTGAGAAGTAACTTCACGCAAGAAAAATGTCCTAGATACCCAAATTCCTTTAAAATTCATATAAGGGATTCATACCTATCACTTAAACGAATCCTTAATTGAATTTAGGACACTTTCTGCTGTTTATTTCGTTCAAGCAGTCTTCCAAAAATGAACTCCTTCACCTAATGATATCATTACACTGTCCTACTAGGTAAACGCGTGAGCCCACGTACTTGGAACCAATATCCGTTGAAGAATCTATATATCAAAGTTCAATTCAACAATCAGTTTCATTCATTATTCTTCAGTACGAAAATAAGTGCTGCAATGAATCGATTTAGTTGCGTATTATTGTTAGCGCTGACTTTGGCAGTGAGTTGCACAGGCCATCAATCTGCTGTGGAGCTTGTAGAGGATATTTATAGGACGTGTTTGAGTGAATTCAGTCTATCTTGCGCCAAATCGAAAACTTTGGGATGGTTTAAAGAAACTTCGAATAAAAGAATTATCAGGATTACCGACGATCTTGATATCAGGAAGAGTTTTGATATCGAAAATGAGGTAAATTTTTAATGTAAGTTAGGTGCTTGACGAGCTGGTTTTGTTGATTTTTTTAGGTGGAAAGAGGAAATCAAAGAGATGTATTAGATAGATTTGAAGATTTCTTGCAATCGCACGAAATAGTCGCAAAGTTGCCTGGTTTACTTAGACCCGATGGACCTTTTGGCCAATTTATTCCTAGATCCTTCGAAGCCAGAGATATATCCCTACCGTTAGCTCCCAGAGGTACGTAGACGATATTTGTAATTTTCTTGTAAAAACTTTGTTATTTTTTAGGTCACGCTTCGAAACTTATTAAACGTGTAATATTTCCGTTTCTTCTGGGACTCAAATTCAAAACAGCTGTAATAGTCCCTCTAGCACTTGCTCTCATAGCTTTGAAAACATGGAAAGCTCTGACGTTAGGTTTATTGTCACTGGTGCTCACTGGTGCTATCACTATATTTTCCAAATTGCTGGGACCTAAAGTAAAGGTCACATTTAATGATATAAAGGAATAATTTAATAATTGTATGATTTTCAGGCTCCTGCTTATGAAGTTCTTCATTACCAACCTCACGTAGCTTACCCTCATGTTGACGTGTTACCGGCTCAAATAGCTCCAACAATTGCCCATCCTGTGTATGTTGGAAGAAATTTAGGCGGACAACACTTGGCTTATAGTTCATACATGAAGGAAAATCAATAACAAAATGTTTTGTAGTTTGTTAATTTATTTATTTAATTTATTAAATTATGTTATTATGAAGAGTATGATTTTTATTGCTTGAGAAAAAAGTGTTTTAATGGGTAGTCACTAAATTTGACCAAATGAAAAATTAGAAATTAAAAAGTTAAAAATCAAATACATATGTATGTACCTATTGGAAAAAATATCGAATTATGTAGTGTCCTACAATAAATAAATTAGAGTTCAAATTTTGAAGCGATATAATTTGTATGCAAAGGTTGAGTCTTTGCAGTTCAAATAGTTATTGAGATACGATCCTAATATTTTGGGAGATTTCAATTTTTTGTTACAATTTTTGTTACATTACATTACTTATTCTGGAATAGCAATATTTAAGTCTTGGTGTTTTTGCCATCACTTAAGATTTAATAAAATTTATCAAGACTTTCTTTGTGTGGTTTTTCCAAAACCATGCATCACATTTTTGCATCACTCTCACATTTTCTTTTAATAATGAAATATATTATTTAATAGTCCTTACAGCTACTTTTATTACCAATATCTTGCTACTTGCGTTAGTTCGATTTTCTTCGACATTAACTTTTTGGTATTTACCTTTAAGCTTTAAGATTTTGTTTGATAATTTATGTACGTTTAGTATAACAATTTACAGTAAGAAAATTATATTGATGTCACCTACCTAAAACGAAACAATGACTAAAATCGCTTTCCACCGCCACATTCCTATTGAAATCGAATTCAATAAATTTTACTCACGTCCAGGCCCCGATTTTGCACCAATACGTTTTCTATTTCCGGCCGAGCATATATAAAACATTATTATAAATAAATCAATCATTTACAGTTAGGGACCGATCGGTGCATCATGAACGGCTTTACATTGATTTTCGGGGTAGCAATTTTGGTGCTAAACGCGCCTTCTAGCCTAGCGAACCTCTCTGCAGGTGAGGTTCTGCAGGATGTGTATTACACCTGCGTGCAGGAGTTCGATTTAAGCTGCGTTAAACCGAAAGCCCTGCATTGGCTGAGCGACGTCGCCGAGGACGAGGAAATAAGAATCACGGAGAATTTGATGATAGTGAAAAGGGATAACCCACAGAGCGAAAAGGTAATTATCCAATCAAATTTATGGAGCTAATTGTAATGATTCTGTGATTGTAGGAACGCGGATTTTCTAATGATGTTTTCGAAAAATTCGAAGATTTTCTTCAGACCCACGATTTGGTGTTGACAGCTCCCGAATTTATTCCAAGATCGCTTGGAACTGGCCCGATTAAAGTACCTTTGGCTGAGACAGGTAAATTACATTTTAATCCTAATAGTTAATAAATTATTTTTAATCCAGGCAAATATTCTGTAGGTCGTTCATCAAAGGTTGTCAAAAAGGTTATCCTGCCTTTCCTCTTAGGGCTCAAATTCAAAGCGGCTGTCTTGGTACCTTTAGCCTTAGCGCTCATAGCTCTTAAAACTTGGAAAGCTCTTACATTAGGATTGCTATCGCTAGTTTTAACAGGAGCTCTTCTTATTTTTAAATTTACAAAACCAAAGGTAAGTGTACAGGCTAATCATATTCGATGTTAATATATAAATTATGAATATAGGTTGTTAACTACGAAGTAATCCATGTTCCTCCTCATGTTGAGCACGTGGAACACCTTGATCACCCTCCTACGGCTTCTGGATGGGAACATCCTGGATACGGAAGGCAGTTAACTGGAAACGAGATGGCCTACAATGCATATCTTTAATTTATTTAATAAATAGTTAAATAATATTTGGTTTCCTTTATTGTCCTTTTAACAGAAGGTTTTCTTAATTTTTTTTACACAAGTACTTGTGTAGGTAATGTTTATTTTATTTAGAAAGGAAGTTATCGGTGTGTCCAATGATTCGACAAATAACACCCATTTTACACTATTATCGAATATCACACTTTATTAAGAAAACATTTATAAAACCATTACAGAATATTTTAATAAATAATGTAATAAATTATAATACATGTAAGTAAGCTCGTTAAAGTTAAAGCTAGTTGTTTTAAACAATACAAATAGTTTTCTACGATACCTATACTTTAAATAAACATCGTAGAAAATAATAAATTAAATTATAAATACTTCCCCGTTTAAAAGAATTATACTCATAGGTAATGTAATAATAAAAAAGTATTAAATTACCCTTGATTTAAATGTAATTTTAATAATCCATTTAAAGAATTCACCACCTAAATTAACCTCACCATTTACATTATAACAATCGAGTAAATATTTCGATGATTAAAAAATAGTGAGGTCAATTTAAAAATATTTACTTTTACTATATACACATTCTCAAATAATCTATTAGACTACAATTTTACTGTATTTAATAGGAATAGTGATAGAGGAATACGAAGATGTAGGGAAATCGTAATTTAAAATGAGCAAGCTCTAATTTTAAGAAAATAAACCCTTATTTTCGTAAAGAATACCCCACACCTCAAACTTTGATATAATTGATATTCAGTTAATCAGTTGAAAAAAATATTTTGTTTGTAAAGAATTTAAGTTATAATTTATATGGATACAAAGAGGAAAATAACGAAAAAGTAGTTTAGAATGAAAGGTTTTTGATATGCACAAGCAACTACTATAATTACATAATTAAGCTTCAGTATTTATTGCACAAGCCGGGTATAATCTAATACAATCTCTTTGATCTTGTCCATCTCTAGCTGCTTGTACGTATTTGTAGAATCTCACAACAGCAACGTTCGTCGATGTCGGTTTCTGAAGGTCCTTAGAGTCCCTGAAACACCGAAAAAGTTTCTATTATATTCAATAGTTCAACTCGCGGATTGTTGCATCAAAAAACTACCGGCGAAAGTTTAAAAAATTATTTCCAGTGTATTTTTTCGAACAATTCGACGTTGATGTTACACTTTCCTAAGTTAATTCGATTCGCGAGTAAATTCGTTTTCTTGCAAGGATTTTCTCTAAATTTCTATTCGGTTTACGTGCAAACTAATCCGAGTTCGCGTGTTTTCTGTAGAGATCGAATTCGATAATGAACTTTACAGAAGTAGCCCAGCAGACGGGAAGGGAAAGGAAATATGTTTTCCAAAAAGTAATGATCCATCAAACATGATCAAATTAAATTAAACGACTCGAAGTGTATTTTAAAAATAGTGGGTATTTATCTTTGTAGGTCAGTAAAAATGTTATATTGCACAATAAATGTTATTCGTAATATAAAAAAAATAATAGGAAGTCTAAAAAATATAAATCTATTTCTTAGTATTCTTTAATTAAGCGCTTATATATTTTTTTTATTTTATTAATATTTACTTGAAGTAAATGTCTAGAACTTATATTTTTTTCTTTTTATTATCATTTCGACCTCCTTCATTATGGAATTAAAATAATTTCGGTATAATTTTAAATCTCACTTATGCTCATTTATTCGCAACGATGCCCCAGAAAACTTTTCTCCACGAAATGTGAACAACGAATGATTCAACAAGAGAGGAAGTTTTTCACAAAATCGAACATTAATAAAGAAATCCACTCGATTTAAACGAGGTCAATAAATAATTTTAATGTAATTTAAATTACTTAATATTGATGCATGAATGAGAAAATTGTTGTATTACAACCCGGATCCTACTAAGAAAAGTTCGTATAGTAATTAATATTTTTTGGTATTATATTTGGAAAACAAAACGAGCAGTTTAAACGTGAAAACTTGCAATCAGTAAATTAATCATGTTTACCTTGACCAAACGTTAATGCACTGTCAATAGGAAATAAAAGAATATCCCGGTCACCTACTCTTCATTCAACGACAGTGAATACTTAACGTCGACGACACGTCGGTGAAACGGTCTCCATTTTTTATGGTTATCATAATGACTGTACGCGAAATGCACTTAGGTGCAGAATTGATAACGTCGAGAAGGTTCTAATGCACTTTTAAATGAATAATCACATTACGCGCGGATCTCAATTATTGTACAAATATTTACGCACCTGCTGAGTTCGGCCGACAAGAGGTTGCTGTGCGGACTGAATTTTTCCGGGTTCTTGTACATGCTGCAAATCAACCGCTCCTTACAGGGCTCCTCGGTGAATTCCAGCTCGTTCAAAATATCGTCGATTTTCTGCAAAATCGGGCTGTAGAAAGCGTCGTACGTTATTTGAGCTGCCTTGTAGAATTCGTCTTCTTCGTTAGTCACGTCGGATTTTCTATTGGACATTACGTTCATTGGAGATGGCACTTGGTAATTAAATCCACCCGATTCTGGTGCATGGAATTGCGGCGTGTCCGATTTCGGGGGTGTCACGAAAATGTTCGCTTGCTGAGTGGGGTAGCTCACTAGTAATTCTTCTTCATTCGGTTTGTATGTAGGGAAATTCGTTGGATTGTGGCTGAACTTTTGATTCAAATAACCTGTTTGTATAAAAGACAAAAATTAGTTGATGCTTGAATGGGCATCTGGAGCAAACACTCACTTTTAACAGCATCTACAGTACTTGCTGGTAATCCACCACCGAGCACCCCGTGAGGCAAATCTTCGATCGAAGGACTCGATGGGTCAATTACTACATTTGGAGCGCTATTCGGGGACAACAGTTCGTTTTCCTTGGGAAAACTTTCCCCGTAATTCGCGGGGGGTTCCGCAAAAGGTCCGGAATGCGGCTGAACATCTTCTAGGGTGCCACCCAAGCTGGGCGGTTCTCCGACGAACTTGGGCGGCTCTTCGAATTTGGAGGGCGGCGACGGTGGGGGCGGCAAAAGCGGCGTCAGATGCGGCGCGTGCGAGAAGTGATTGCGTTTGCGGTACTTGCCCGGTTTGCGTTTGTGGTTAACCATTATGGCGTGGTGCTTGAGTTTCTGTTGCACTTTCAGAGCGTTGTTGAGTTGTTCCTGCAACCGGAGGTTCTCGTCGTGGATGCGTTCTCGTTCTTTTTGTAACCGCGATTTTATCTGTGGAAATAATAAAATTTGAAGAGGTCGGTATTCAACTTTACGATGCTTATGAAATGTTTATGGCATTTATAAAGGTATTCTTTATAAATTGCTTGGAATTTTATGTGTAATTAATAGTGGAAAGTCTTTTTGTGGTGTCATATGAATGAAACGCCTCCGTTAAAAATAAAGGTCAAAATAATGAAATATTTATTGGCTATTTTTGTACCTACTTTATGTAAATATTAACCCAAAAATACATTATTTCCTTGTCCTTCATAATTTCTCTAAAGTTAATCGGTATCTGAATGATTTTTGTTATTGACCTTGAGAACTACCGTAGTAAATTGGAGCATCGAATGGAACATTGACTGACTTTTTTATGGTCAATTGCACCGATTGAAAATAAATTTGTTCTGTAAATTACTTTCACCTATAATTTTACCTCTGCTTTGTTGGAATCTTAGTACTTAGATTCATATTTTTTTAAGGAAAATTAATGTGTCAGGTCACTTACCAAAGCTTCTTTTTCCGCCTTTAACACCATATTTTCTAATTCCAATGGTGAAAACGGTTTCTTTGTAGTTGTTTTTGGATTCAGAAAACTGAATCCCCAGAAATCATCTTCAGTTTCATCCTTAGGTGGATCATGATGAACTCTACAAAACAAAAAAGAATGAGAAAAAAATATAAAAATACATCCTAAGAGACAGACAATTTACAGCTATCAATTCTAAATGTTTACTATTCGAAAACATTTTACATTACTCCTTTTTCTAGCCATAAAAACGTTTGCAATAAAATTGAATCGCTTTCCATCGTAATTAAACATTTATCCACTAAACTACTTCGTGCGATATTTTCTACGAACATAGCGTGACGTTCAGCAAGTGTTAATAAAAAATGCAACTAAACATTGAAACATTCATTTCTCTACTTCTTACATGTCTCTCGTCATCCTTATAAAGAATAATATACCGTCTATAACGTATCTAAAAATTCTTACGGCCATCGTTTGGACGTAAATCCTACATTCGCTGTAAAATTAAATGATTAAAATTTGTGCTAATCCCAATTTTTATACATAATTCAATTTCAATATACTACGTAATGCATATTCTAATAACGTTTGCCAGTAAGATGAGCGTGACGAATTCCGGTACAAAACTTGTCCATTCGTACCAGTTCTTTCGAAATTTCCGGGTCAGTGAATAAAAAATGAATTTCATTTACCACGCATTGTGTACATTTTTGAAATTCAATGAAACATTAGGAATATCTTAATGACTTACTCATTTCCATACTCCGAGGCGCTAGCATGAGCATCAATCACTCCAGGATCGCCTTTGTGAGAGAAATGATAACTATCAGACGGTGGTTTGTCTAGGTAGTAAGGTTTATGGTGATGGTGTCCGGCTGCTACCTGGTGTATATGCGCTATTTGATGCTTGTGGATATGATGTTTGGCTCCGTAGGGCGTGTAAGCGCACAACTTGAACAGGTGATGCAGGAAAGGGAACAGGAACAGCAGCACCTTGACGATGAGCTTCTTGGCCGCGACCACTCCCATCATGGAGGGAAGAATGAATAAGAACTTAACTGCTAGAAGTTTAATGACTAGAAGAATGGCTAGGAGAGCTAAGACGAGTCTTTCGCTGATGAATTTCCCTGCAAATATGTGAAACTTCTTTTAGTAGATACCTATATGCGTCTATAACTTAATCTTCTGGTACAATTAGTTCTACTTAAATTACGCCAAAAATGATCTTAGTATACTTTCATGAAGATCAGATGAAATCACTAAAATCGCTTGATAAAATAATAACATACTTTTGTGTAAAAGCCTATCAGTGAATTATAACAATGAGATCTTTTTGAGTCAAACAAGCGGAAAATCATGTAAACAATTTCTTTTTCTATTATAAGGAAGCCATTGGAAAGTAAATAATTATAAATTCCTGGGTAGTTAAAATACATTCGGTCACGTTATGACTGAAGGTAATTACAACGCGACTAAACTCGTTGCCACTGTAATTGCATGATAGTGTGTGAATAATTGTAAAACGCGATTCCATTCATACAAATAGTGTGACTGATTTAAAAAATAAACAATGTAAATCAACTAAATTTTTATAATCTGATCAAAATTAGTTACATCTACGTCCTATTTCAACATGCATTTTATATAGAAAGTTTTATCGAAATTAATATTTAATTATCATTAATAATTATAATTATAAATCGAGCTCTAATTACATGGGAAGTAATAAGTAAGTAATAAGTACCTAATTCATAATTTTGACGCGACCTCGAATTGAGTGATCTACATATTCAATTAAGTATACCTACGATACTTATTTAATTATTACACAAAATAGTAAAAATTGTAACTGGTCAGTTACAATATTTAAATTCTTAGATACTAATTGTAACGAGTAAAAACTAATTTATATTAAACAAGAGGCAGAAGACATAAACTATTCAATGTGTAAGTAAAAGTGAATTGTCAATTAATAACTTGTGCAAACATTAGTAAGTGAGATTATGAAAATTATAATTATTAGACAACATTGTATGTATAAGTAAATAAGAAGCGTAAAGCATCTTAATTATTTATTATAGGTACACAAAAACATGTAATTAAGCGGTGTTTTAAATTAATGAGCCGATTCATTAGAGACGCTTAAATCATTGTAAAAAAAATTGGACGGTCCAAGGCAATTTTCACCTCTTATTACCAATATTTTATTACTTCTTCAAATTGTAGACGTTAATAAAATTTGTATTTACCTAAAAATTTGAACGCGAATTTGCCAATTGACCACACTGTTCTAATTGCGTTTGTCCAAAAGAAAAATTGACTAAACGCACCGCCTAGAACAAACAATACTGTAAATTTTTACGAAAAAAATTATATATTTGTAATGATAACAGATGTAGAAATAGATGATGATAAGAGATGAATAGAAGATGATAATAGATGAAAATCATAGGTAGTAAAAATTGTATGTAATTATGTACATGTACAAAAAAGTGACAATATCGAGTATTTAGAGACATTACACTGTGTAGAACATGAAATTATAAAATAAATTATTACAGTTCCCGAACAAGTTTTTGGATATTTTCTCTTCATTTTTAGGTCTGCATTTATGTATGACAGACTGTTTGAAAAATATTTAACGATTTTCAGGAGCAAAATTAGACTTCATAGTCCCTTAATCTGGTTTACTTACATACGAGGAAATTCCAATGAGACCACTTTCACCAACGATTAATATCGCAGCAGCACTTGTTACTCGGACCTCGTTGGTCGGCTATCCGTGTTTTTAATACCGATTAGCGGCCGACTATTTCTGTTTAATTGCAGTTTTTACCGCGTTTAATTTAAAAAAATTTATCTTCCTTTGAAGATGATGTTAAAAATATCTGAGCTTTTCCGTTTCTGTCGAATAAAGCAACAATAAAAAAATGCAATAAAATTCCTTTTATTGAAAATGATGATACAAAATTTTGGGAATTTTGCATATAACAGTTCTGCATGCCATTTCAAACGTGGATAGCTAAAATTTTATTGTTTCTATGAGATAATTATGCTGATTTGATTACTTTAATTTGATTTTTTATCTGCCTTTTGCACATATGTCTCTTCTAAAAAACGGAATAATATGTTACATCTAGTATTATCTAATTTTATTACCTGCTGTATTAAGTATCTCTCTTGTTATACTAGTGAAATGGTCAGTACTGTTTTTATAATTCCTGCATAATTATCTTTAATTAGAATTACAATGTTCGATTTAATTATTGTAATTTTCCTTCGAGTTTGTAACAAGTCTTGAATGAACTCGTTGGTATTGGTATTATTGACAATCTTATGAAATCATTTTTTAGGAAACGTGTAGGTTCAAAATTTTCATATGACGGAACTAATTCTCGTGTCGGTACACTTTTTTCGTGTACCTATTCAACATCACGAATAATTGACCAATTTAAATTCACGCTCGATAGCCAAAATTATCTTATTTTGGCATTTCCAGGCAATAAAAAAGTGCTATGTTAATAGAATAACGGTGAGTTAAAATGAAAGTTGACGCAGATTGTAAATTGTAAGCCAAAGTTCGCGTACCTGTTAAAAATTTGTTTACATCCATATTCACGTGCGGTTAACAAAAATGGTAAATTTTGATTAATAGGTCACGAAACCATAGAATAGGAAAATTTATGGTAATTGGTGTCAAATTAGTTTAAAATGTGTTTAGAGTTCAACCTGATTCCTAACTTAATATAAAGATAATTAAATTTGTTCAGCGAATTTATCACAGTGATGATCCTTCAGTAATGGTCCTTGCTAAGAAATAGAGCTGTAAGGTTCCAAAAATTACAAAGTTATAGTTAAATTTATATACATAAAATCATTTAGAATACAAATAAGCATGCGTTAAGAGATTAGTTAGTTATTCAAGAATACACGCTGATGTATCAGACTGCAACCTCATCGATCTTGAACTACTTAGGCTGCCCTCTATAGACGAGACAGACAGAAACAGACGATGCCCACCGTCTTACTAAAGAACCTGTATGTTCACGATTACAATAAAACGGCACTTACCGATTTTATTGAAAAATATCCTACCCTCTCCGACTGATTGGTTGAGCGGCTTGGGCAGTAATTCCACCTTAAGGGTGGTGCCATTGCTGTCTAAACTCCGCGGCGAAATTTTCAAAATTCCGCCGCGAAAAAACACACCCGGAAGTTGTACTTCCAGGTCGTGCGTGAGGAAGAACTCCTTCGTATCCTCGCTAAGAGATCTAGATAATTCGTTAAGTTCATCAGTACTATTGTTAGTTATGACACGATTTCTCGGATAAGTTATTGAGTTTTTCGAAAACCTCACGAAATCCCCCAAGAGGAAATCGTCCTCGGGGATATTTAGATCGTCTCGTGCACAGGAGGACCCGGATTTTTCGCATTCCGCCACTAAATCTATCCCGGAACCGCCGATTGGAACAGTCGCGTTCGACCCGCTCACCAGAACATTAAACCAAATGGAAATTAGTGTGAGGTAGATGAACATACTGTAGATTTACACTTTCCCTTTACAGCATTCTAGATGCACGTTTTTTCGTGAGCTTCATGGCATGCTTCGACGTTCTTTCGCCGACCGGATCGCGACGAGGACTAAACCAAGAGCGGCCATTTACATTATCAATTCGTGACATACTTATTTCAATCCCTCTCTCTCTCTCGGAGGAAATATTATAGAATCTTCGCGTATTTTGCTATTACGAATTTGTCAATTTTTGGCAATTATGTAAATGGACGATTACACCTAATAAAAGTAACCCATAAGAAATATTTGGTCCTTCTACACCAGAAGAAATATTATAATGAGCATATTTTATTTAATCAATACAAATTATTAAATTAAAAATTAACTACTATTCAATTTTTATAATATTTTATTCTAATATGTAAGCATTTATAATAGGATAGAATTTATGAAAATTTAATAAATCAGTCTCATATACAGTTAATTTGGCCAGTTGGTATTTTTTTATAGATCAAACTGTCTGCCTAGTGCAAAAGTTGATTCCGCACGAAAAATATTCACCATAAATTATTATTCACTGAACATCTTCAATATGTAGCACACTATCTATTACGTTTGTAGAATTTTATTTAATAACCGTTATTTGTATATCGTGACATTAATTAATATACTTTTTAAACACAAAAATCAGTACTATCGGTTGTATTAACGATAACATTAACCAACTCCTCTATTCTTTAGTCCAAAATTTACCGACTGAAAAAATTTATTCATAAAATTTTATTGTCTAACTCGGGCCCACAAAATTTTATTATCCACCACCAATTAAACCACTAATTAAATTAGATACACAAATACATAAATTACTCGTATAATTTTAACCGGTTCATCAAATTTAGACTGACACAGGCGTACAAATTTTTCACATGTTTCTGATAGTTTCAAAATTGGATAAACAAAACTCACCCTTCGTATTTTTGCCACGAAACTATCAACATTCGTAAAGTTCTAAAAATTGAAACATATATTGGACGATCAGCATTAGCACTAGCTGCATTCTAATATCTCCGTAAATCTTATAAGATGCTTCGTGAAGAGGATATTAAATAAAACAGGTTTTACAGTTTTTTGCCGGCAAAATTATAAGGTAGAGATATTTATTATCAAACAGAATATTACTATTGAATCATCCGTTTCTTTTCTTTAGAAAGTGGCCAACTGACCATCAATAAGTGACACAGAAACGAAGGCATTTATAGTGCAAACTAGCGAGTGTAATTAATGCTGTTTCTTTTATAATCATTTATCTTAATGCCGAAAATAAAATTGATGTTAAGACACAATTGGCTAAAGTTTAATGATCTTTTTCTCTAAACAATTTGCAATGTCTGAATTAAAGAATGTGTGTCGAATATTATGAATTTATAAATTTTATTACATTTATTTAACTGTTTTTTTTCTAATAAAATGCTAATAATAAAATTATTATTAATATTTGAATTCCATTATACCACTTTTATGGTTTAACGGCTTTTAGTTATGTGATTTGTATGGGTTTACAGGGGTCCCATAAAACTGCTTTTAACGATGTACAAACTTTATTGTTGTATCCACAAGAAAAACACGTACTTATTATTGGAATAAACAAGAAAAATCATGAGTTGAGCATTGAGCGGTTCTTTTCGGCTCTGGTTGACAGATGACAGTTGACTTCGGATCTTCTTTTTTCTAACATTCAGTACGAACTGTCAACAGCTGTTTTCGGCGACTCACACGCCCTCTCGGGGCTAGCGGCAGAGTCGTTACCGGATCAGGTGGAGCAGGAACCGCCACATCCACTCCCCCTCCAGTGACTTGCGAGGGAGCTTGCGAAGAAGACGGCGAAGGAGGCTGCGAAGAAGACGGCGAAGGAGGTTGCGAAGGAGTAAGGAACGAAACCTTCTTGGCACGGGCGTATGTTCTCGTTGGCCTGTCGATATCCGTGGTGGGGTTGATCTGCGGAGTGATTTGCTCGTCTGATCGGTTGGAGTTGTCATCAGTCTTGGTAATGTAGGCGGGCTTCAGTAGACTGGTAGAAATTGCTTTATCCTCCCCCTTAATGCGGATGATAAATACTTTGTCGTTTAGACGCTTGATGATCTCATGCGGGCCTGAATAGGGGTGTTCAAGAGGCTTTCTAACAGCCTCGATTTTTCTGAAGACGTGGCTGCAGGTATTCAGGTCCTTTAGAATGAACAGTCTGGACTTCGTGTGGTGGGCTGTCGGGGTGGGTCTTAAGGTTCGAATGTGTTCTCGAAATTTTTCTAAAAAGAACTGTGGGTCCGCTTCGGTTTCCTCCGAAATAAAAAATTCGCCCGGTATACGTAATGGGGCACCGAATAGCATCTCCGCTGGAGAAGCCTTGAGGTCTTCTTTATAAGCTGTACGCAGTCCCAGGAGAGCGGTTGGCAGAAGGTCTGGCCACGGCGTTTGAGAATTACACATTAGAGCAGCTTTTAGCGCACGGTGCCAGCGTTCAATTAAGCCATTTGCTTGCGGATGATAAGGCGACGTATGAATTCTGTTTGCTCCAATTAACTTGGCAAGGGCCCTGAAAAGTGCGGATTCAAATTGGGTCCCTTGATCTGTGGTGATTGTGAGCGGAGTTCCATATTGACAAACCCATTGGTTGTAAAAAGCTGAAGCTACAGTGTCGGCGGATATGTTAGCGAGAGGAACAGCAGCAGGCCATCTACTGAAACGATCTATCATGGTTAAACAGTAACGTAGGCCTCCGACGGTCGGTAGTTCGATCAAGTCAAGATGAACATGATCGAAGCGATTATCTGGTACGTCGATGTGCATTGGGATAGTGCGGTTATGGCGATGTACTTTCGAACGTTGGCAGGCTATGCATTGCCTAGCCCAGAGAAGAGTGTCCTTTTTAATTCCTGGCCAGACGTACCTCTCTCTGATTTGTTTGACCGTAGATCTGCCACTTGGGTGAGATGAATCGTGAACGGTTTTAAAGGCTTCCTGCCTGAGGTTGGACGGAATAAATGGACGAATGCGGCCACTGGAAACGTCGCACAGTATAGTGTGACCATCAATTGTCAGTTTCTGTAAGGTAAGCGACGTGTTTTCCAGCAGATCGGCTAACTGGTCATCGTTCCGTTGAGCGTTGGCTATTGTTTCGGCATCTAGCTTTGTGGGCATATTTATTACATTAATTCGAGAAAGCGCGTCGGCTACTACATTTTCTTCTCCCTTAGTGTAAATAATTTCAGTCGTGAATTGCGAAATGTAGTCTAATTGTCTGAGCTGTCGCGGGGAGGCTTTATCAGCGCGTTGTAAAAATGCGTAGGTCAGCGGTTTGTGGTCCGTTTGAATGACAAAAGACCTACCTTCAAGTATATAGCGGAAGAATTTGATGGAGGCAAATATTGCCAGCAACTCCCTGTCATAGGTGCTATAGCGAGTTTCTGTCTGGCTAAGTTTTCTCGAAAAGAAGGCTATTGGTAACCACTCTCCGTCCTGAAGTTGTTCAACGGCTGCACCAATTGCCGTGTCAGACGCATCCGTCTTAAGCATCAAAGGCGAGTTTGGTGCCAAAAATGGAATTCTTACGGCCTCTATGATGCCACGCTTGCAAGCCTCTAGAGCTTCCTCGGCCTCTCCTGTCCAAGGGATCGGGCGTTTGTCTTTCTTTTTGGCGTCACTCAAAAAATTGGTTAGCGGGGCCTGGAGTTTCGCAGCCCCCTTGATAGACTTGCGATAATAGTTCATCAGTCCAAGGAAACGGCGTAGGTCATTGACGGTCGCAGGTTTTGGGAAATCAACAATGGCCCGGATTCTCTCCTCCGGTGGGCGGAAACCGTCTTTGCTCACCGTATGACCCAGGTATGCCACCTCTGTCCTGCCAAATTGGCATTTTGACGGGTTGATGGTCAGTCTGTTTGCTCGTAGAATAGAAAAAACGATAGAAAGGTGTTTGAGATGATCCTCATGCGAAACGGAATGCACTATCAAGTCATCAATATAGCAACCCACGAAATCCAAACCCCTAAAAAGGTTATCCATATGCCTCTGAAAGGTTTGTGTGGCGTTACGGAGACCCATCGGCATCCCCAGGAATTCAAAAAGTCCAAATGGGGTTGTTACGGCGGTTTTCGGTACGTCGTCTGGGTTCACAGGTATTTGATAGTAAGCCCGCACCAAATCAATAGTGGAGAAGATCTTGGAGCCATGGAGTCGCTGAAGAATATCCTCGCAGTGTGGAACTGGGTAGCGGTCTGGAACAGTAAGTGAGTTTAAGCTTCTATAATCCCCGGTGGTACGCCAGCCGCCAAGTTTCTTTGGTACCATATGAATCGGGCTGGCCCACTGGCTACTGGAGGGACGGATAATTCCATGGAGTAGTAACATGTCGAGGTCTTCTCTCGCTATTTTTAGTTTGTCGCCAGTTAGCCTGCGGAATCTTTCAAAAACTGGTGGTCCTTTTGTGATGATATGATGAGCCACAGAGCTATCTGCGCAGGTGGTGGGTGCAGCGTTAGGTCTAGTTATATCGATGTAGTCGTTCAGTAAATCTGTGTAAGGTTTGTATTCCACAGAAGAGGAATTAATTTGGTCGATTGTCGAAACACTATGTACTGCTGCCTGGAAAATTTGGCCCTTTGTGGTGAAAGAGGTGATCGGGTCTATGAGTCGACCACCCTTCAAGTCCAAGAGTAAGGCATGATAAGTGAGGAAATCCGCACCAATGATGGCAGATTGCACGTCAGCGATAATGAAGGACCATTTGAATGCCCGTCGTAAACCGAAGTCAAGAGTTAATGTTTTTTGACCGTAAGTATGAATCGTTGTACCATTTGCAGCGTACAGAAGAACGTCATCCTGCTTTAGCCTTGTATTAAAAGATGATTTTGGAACCAATGATATCACCGACCCAGAATCAATAAGAAATCTCATATTCGTTTTTTTATCGTGGAGGTGAAGACGGTGTTCCTGTTTCAGGATGTTGTTATTGCTGTCGCCAACCGCCTGAATTGACGACAGCTTTTTTAGTTTTCCGGCTGAGGTTGCGGTACGAAGGAGCACGGTTGTGTACACATGTTGGCTCTCTCCTTGAATCTGCGGTGATAATAGCATATACGACTGGGAGCTGGTGATGCAGGTCTGGAGCTTGCACGGCTGTAACTGCGGCCTCTTTGATTCCGAAAGTCAGCACGTTCTTTGGTTAGCGAAATGAGCTCCGATAATGAGAGTTTAATCGCCGCCATGTCCTGAGCTAGATTGTTCAAAATTGAAGTTGTAAATCCATTGCTGGGTGAATATGATCGATTATCGGCCCTGCTGGTAGACATTACATAAGAACCTGATTGAGTTTCCAATAGCTCATCTGCGAATCTGGCTTGCTCGTCCAGCGTTGTCGAACGAAGGATTTTTAAAAGTTTTTGAGTGCTTGGGGGAAGCAATGCCAACCAACGCACGCGTAGTACGTCTTCAGTTGCTCGGTCACCCGCCAAGGCTGTCATTTGTCGAAGAAGCTGGCTCGGTTTCTTATCTCCGAGTTGCAATTCTGTTAAAGCTTTATGCAGCTGTCGATCAGCTGAATCGGTGAATCTGTTGATGATTTCAGATTTTAAATGATCGTATTTGTTCGTCCTGGGAGGATTCCTTAAAACATCCGATACCTCTATCATCGTCTCAGCATCTAACGCCGTGATAAGCTGATTATATTTAGCACCGTCCGAAATGATTTTGTTGCATTGAAATTGTGCTTCAATTTGTATAAACCACATGTTAGGATGATTCTTCCAAAAAGGAGGCAGTCTGCAGGTAGCTACAGCGTCGACATTCATAGAAGGTACGTACGAACTCAAAAGTAGTGGTTCGCCTATTAAGCTTTGATTGTGACCTTGTGCTTGCTCTCCCGGGTTTGTGTTTGAGGCAGGAAGAAACGGGCAGTCATCCTCCGGAACAGGATCTGCTTGTTGTTCGCGAGACATAATTATTGTTTCACTCGAATCTGTAAATTTGCGTATAAGTTTAGTTGTTCGAGACAAAAATAAAAAAAGGTATATAAGTTCTTGTTTGCAGTACGAAGCGGCTGGAGTGGGCCAATTGACCGGCACACGATGCACACTATTGCACGAAATTGTTATAGTTTTGTATTGTTTGTAGCACGTGGCACGTCACAGGTCAACACGTATTTTAGAGTTTCTAAGTTCTTTCGGGGTCACCAATTATGGGTTTACAGGGGTCCCATAAAACTGCTTTTAACGATGTACAAACTTTATTGTTGTATCCACAAGAAAAACACGTACTTATTATTGGAATAAACAAGAAAAATCATGAGTTGAGCATTGAGCGGTTCTTTTCGGCTCTGGTTGACAGATGACAGTTGACTTCGGATCTTCTTTTTTCTAACATTCAGTACGAACTGTCAACAGCTGTTTTCGGCGACTCACACGCCCTCTCGGGGCTAGCGGCAGAGTCGTTACCGGATCAGGTGGAGCAGGAACCGCCACATTTGTCAGTATTATACCGCCATCTTTTGCTTAGTTTATAAGAACCCAAAGAGTAGCAATAACAAAGTAAAAGTAGGTACCGTTTACCAGATTGATGTAGGTGGTACCTTTTGAATGAAACTAGATGGAAACATGGAGACGAGTTTAATACTACATAGAAGAAACCGTCGTTTCAGCATATTCAACAGATTGAAAAATTTGGTGTATTCACTGGTGAGTTCATTAGGAATATGTTTTGTATCTTAAGTGAAGATGGAGCTTCGATGTCCAAAAGTTTCATAATTGTTAAAATTACTTCTTATTAATTTCATAGAGTAATAGGTAATTTTGCACTCACCCTGCATCTTTTTTACCTTTCTTTTGCTATCTATTTTACCTCGAATTTTGGTTGTTAATTCTTAGATACCTGTAATTATCTAGATACTTAGATACTCGTTATAAAAAATTCTCAACAACATTTTTTAATTAATAGCGGGATTGTTCATTACAGTTTGGTCAATTTTATGCCCGAGTTGCGCCTTCTTAAAAAAACTGAAATTCAACGTAGAAATTTTCCGAAGATATATCATGCTCAAGCATCAATTGTAATAATTCAGTATGAGGTATTTTTAACATTTTTACCAGGTAAAAAGTGTTACATTGGCTACAATCTAATTGTTTTCCGCGGCATTTTAACAGATCTTAATTGAAAAATACATACATCTACATTTTTCGCTTAATATACATAGTATGTTACATTACAAAAAAATGAACTTTACTTTCCTAATTATTAGAGCGGCTTTTATGTACGTATAAACGTATGTAGTAGTACAAATTAGGCTGGTTACTCTCGCTTTTATGACTCTAGTATAAAATAATTTGTTTTTTTACAATGTGCATTAGTCTTCGAGTGCAATTAAAACTGAAACAATGCTCCTGATATTTGTTAGTACTCTGCTAGTAACATCCAGCTTTGCTCAATTGAAGGGAGATAGGAGCGATTTTAAAAGATCCTTAGGGTTAAATTGCGGGAGCTCCTACTCTTCAACATGCCTAAAATTAGACATCGTCAACTTTATCGAAGGGTTGAACGAAAAAGGTGATATAAATATAGTTCACGGATTAAAATTAGTGCGGGAAAATGTTAGTACTGAAAACACTGCGGATTTAGTGGCCCATTTAGGCAGAGAACACCCCAACAATCCCGATGCTAGGTTAGACGCCTTCCTGCTAAAGAAACTCGAGGGCTATCTGGCCAGCCATTCGCTCAAATTGGATCTAATGGAAGACGAGGAAGACGAAAACGCCGTCACCGGGCGTAAGAAGAAGCGCAAAGGAGGCGGTAAAGGCGGCATGGGGATGATTTTTGCGGCTGCTGCTATGATGAAAAGCACGCTCTTCGCCGTGGGACTCGGCACGGTGGCTGCTTTGGCCGGTAAAGCTCTGATGACAGCCATGATTTCCCTTCTTCTCTCCACCATCATCGGCCTGAAATCCCTGAAAAGCGGGGGAGGAAAGTCCAACGTCGAAGTGGTGCACGCCAGCTCGCACGATCGCACAGATCCCCAGAGTTATTACCAAAATTTCAATAATTACGGTAACGGCAGGAGCTTGGATGCGCCATTGCCTCTGGGCTTGAGGGCGGATTATAAACCCGCTTAAATAGATGTATGATTGTGTTATTTATTTATTTATTTATTTATAGTTAGTATTTATGTAATTTATTGAACTTTTGAAGGGTGATTTTTGAATGATAGCCGATTTGAAATTTATTATTTTTCGTTTGGTAAATAAATTTTATGAATTTCATTCTGTCTTAATTTATTTGCTTGATATTTGATCCTTTATAAATTATTTTGGGCGAATGATTTATTCAAATACAAGCCCATAATGATTTTAACTCAGTTCCAGACAGTTGCAAGAGAAATATTTTTCAATTATTATGACTTTTGTTGCTTCAATATTAATTTGTTTGAATTTTTATAGAAATATTTCTTCTAATTAAGAAAAGTTGTTACCTTCGAAATCAAGCAAATAATCACTGCAAAAGTGATTATGAGATAGTGCACATATCGAATATTTTTGTGGCTTTTTGATTTCTCTTTTAGTCGAAAATCACTGGTAGGGTAAAACTTTCAAAAGTAAAAAAGTATAGATAAATAGGCAGTATTTTTGTTTAAGAAAGCCTAAACATTATTAAAATATTAATATAAATATTTGCAGTGATCATAATGAGTATAATTATTATAATATAAAATTTTCTTTTCGACTTTTTTATTCCTTCATTCTTCATCTCTCAACTCCATTCATAATATTATATTATGAAAATGTAAAAAAAATATTTCCTTATAATTATAATTCTTCAGCATTTTTAGCCTATATTATACACTTTTGCAATTTTGTAATTAAGTAATGTTCAATAAATGTTCAATGTTCAATAAATTCAAAATTATAGTAACAAATATTTTTTTATTTAACAAATAAATAACAATAAATTAATAAATTACGCTCGTGCTAAGTTCTTAAGCCGGTTTGTATTCAGGCCTCAATCCCAGAGGTAAAGGCTTCTCGTAACTCCTGCCCCATCCCCCGTGATGATCATCCTGCACTCCTGCGTGGACCACCTCGTGGCTGGAATGCCCTCCGCTCGTCAGAGACTTGAGACCGATGATACCAGACAATAGGAGAGAAATCATACCAGTCATCAAAGCTTTACCAGCTAGGGCTGCTACGGCGCCCAAACCGATGGCGAACAGAGTGCTTTTCATCATTCCTGCGAAGGCCAGCATCATTTGCATTCCGCCGTCGCCTCCCTTCTTCTTCTTACGACCGGTGACGGCGTTCTCGTCTTCGACTTCCTCGGCGAAATTCAGCTTCAACGAGTGGCTCTCCATGAAGCTTTGTACCTTTTTTAAGAGAAAAGCGTCCAATCTGGCATCGGGGTTGTTGGGAAACTCCCTTCCGATATCGGCGATAATGTCCGCGGTGTTGGCTGTTGTGTTGTAATTTTCACGAAGTATCGACACTCCTGGTATGACATTGATGTCTCCCTTTTCGTTTAAACCGTCAACCCATCCGACGATGTCCAATTTCAGGCAGGTTAATGAGTACGACTTGCCGCAATCTTTGCCTAACGATCGCTTAAAGTCATTTCCTTTTACAACGGCACTGGTTACAAGCACGAAATAAAGAATGGACCGAGAGAACATTATGACTAATTTAGAGTTGGCCGAAGACTGATGCCAATCTGAAAACGAAAACCAATTTATACTAGATCATCTTGATTAAAAAAACGAGAGTTATGAATATAATTAGCCATTTCTATTCATCCTATATTTGATCATTTCTAAAAACTGCTCCGATAATTTTTAAGAAAGGAGAACGCTTTTTATAAATCCGTTGACAAATGTATAATTTTGGAATAAACATAAACCGAATATTCAAAAAAATAAATAGGCTGTGGTAAAACGTTACTTTCGAGCCATTTCGTTGGAGAGAAGGATAGAAATTCGGAGATAATATTAGATATTCTTCATTTTCACTTTACTGTTTTGATTCTTTGATTAATATTTTTTTCCTAATCTGCTAATCTTTACACTAGTATAGTTTCATAAATTATTTATATTCTTTTCGAATTCTTACACACACTTAAAATTTGGTATTACCATTAACAATTATATTATATGCTAATGAATAATAAGTTTATTATACTGTTTATTATTAGTAGTACACTCAATAATAGAACACTTAACACGTCAATTAGTCCAAATAAAATTAATTGCCGTGAAACATTTAGATTTGAAAACGAAGATATATATTTGCTTGACCCACACTATTGTATTTATTTTATACTGTTCTTCTTTTTGAATAAATTATTAGAGTACTTAGATTAGAGTATTAGTGTGTACTTAAGACAGAGTAGTACTTAAATACTCTCTAAAGCATACTTAATACTTATATTTATTTTATTTATTCATTGTTTGCAATTTGCAAATCTTCTTTTAATCCTTAAACAATCCAAAAATTTTCTAAGGAAAAATGAAGTCTTTTCTAAGTCTTGAATAGGTAAAGTCAATGACAACCCTTAGTAATTCTAATTTTCATCAGAATTTTAGTAAATTATCTTTTAATCTGCAATTCTTTAATCTTTGCTTTTCATTGCCGTCCATTAATTTCTACCCTACCCTACCTTAACTATGTATATAATCGTTTGTGCTCAGGTTTACCTAGGTTTTCCTACTTATCTACTTATTAAGGTTCATCTTATTATTAATAATTTATTTCGATTTCTTTCTAGTTTATTGTTATTCACCTATAATATACAAGGTAACTCAAACATCTTATTAATCTTGGCGGTGGCAGAAGAGAGTCAAATAATAATAATCTACTCAATAAAAATCAGGAAAAGTTTCGTACAGAAAATACCAAAATATGCTGGAGAAATTACTTATCATTTATTTAGAATCTCACATATCACATTATAGCTTACAAATTACAACTACTACATAATACTGTTTCATTATAATCATCTAAACTAACAAAATTTTTTTAACGAACAAAAATAAATTAAACTATCTGCGATAAAATAAATAAGGAAAATCATGAGCGTCGACTAGTTTAGGCCGGTTTGTATTGCGGCTGCAATCCGAGCGGCAAGGGCCGCGGCCCTTCGTAGCTCCTGCCCCATCCGTGGTGGTCCTCGTGCCCCGAAGAATGGGAACTGGAGTGCGTGTAAACCGGCTTCGAAACGACTTCGTAAGTGGTCTTCTCGCCGCCGCTCGTCAGCGATTTGAGCCCGATGATGGCGGAGAGAACGAGCGATATCAAACTGGTCATCAGGGCTTTCCCAGCCAAGGCGGCGACCGCCCCCATCCCCAAAGCGAACATGGTGCTCTTCATCATCGCCGCGTAGGCGAACAGCATGCCCATGCCTCCGCCTCCCTTGCCTTTCTTCTTACGCCCTGTGACCGCGTTGTCGCCCTCCTCCGCCTCGCCGAAGTTCATCTTCAAGGAGTGGCTGCCCAGGAATCCTTGGATTTTTTTTAGTACGAACGCGTCGAGTCTCGCGTCGGGGTTGTTGGGGAATTCCCGGCCAATTTCAGCGACCAGCTCGGCTGTGTTAGGCGCGGTGCTGACGTTTTCGCGCACTATCGATATTCCGGGTAGTACACTGATGTCGCCCTTTTCGTTCAGTCCGTCCACCCAGCCCACGATGTCCAGCTTCAGGCAGGTCAGGCTGTAGGATTTATCACAGTTTTTTCCTAAGGATCGTTTGAAGTCACTTCTGTCGCCGGGCCGGTGGATGGCTTCCGCTAAGGCACATGCTATTAGAGCCGAACAAATGACTAGCCGAACGTGCCACATTTTGGTTTAGTTATTTGATCAAGACTGACGTGCTTCGGCGTAATGCGGAGTAATTTATAGTGGAGCATCTTGATTAGAAAAAAATGAGAGTGATGTATATAATTGGGCAATTTCTAAATCAACGTACATGCAAAAAAATTTTTACTTGGCTGCTCTGGTACAGTTTTAGAAATGAGAGCGGATTTTTTTTGATGATAATTTGCCTTAAGGTATAGTTTGGTCGGTGTCAATAGTTATATGTTTTGATCGAACAGATTAATATTTGGGTATAATATGCAGATTTAGTTGGACAATATTTTAGTCAAATTATTGAGTGTCGTGAATTGTGACATTCAAAGTTTTCCTCTAAATACTTTATATACAAAATTTAAGTCAAGGCAAATAAAACATTTAAAATATTATTTCCTTAAAATAAATCTACTAGGTACGTCGATTAAAATTTGTCCAGTGAGATTGGCAAGAATAACCAAATAATTCAAATGTAATTTGAGATTATTAGGCCTAAAATTGCCCGAGGAACTTTTAAAAAATATATTAGCAGTAGCAAAAAATGGAAAGAAAATAATAATTTAGGCATCTATATCATTATCTCGATGAAAGTATGCGCAATTTTTATGTCAATAGTAAATTAGTAAAAAAGAGCATCATTGTCGTGAGAAATGCTCAACGATTTAATTTTGTCAATAACGTAAGATTTCATTCAAGCTAAAATGTATTCAAATAAACTGGATAATTTGCAAGAGGTTAATTTTTTTTATGATTTGATTGAGCTCATTAAAAAAGCCAAACCATCAAAATTTAGTGTTGAAAATTAGATCATAGTTTATTTTTTAAACAAATTTATTTGCAATATATTGCAATAATAGGTTTTTATGTTCGCAAAAGTTGAATAATTTTTTGTTTTAAAAAAGCTTTACTTTCATTGGGTTTCTCTTTGATTCATTCATAATTTTGGACCTTTCGATTTCTATTAAGTATATCCATAAAATTTAAATGAATATTGTTTATTTGTTAACATTAGGTATAATAATTAAATTATTCATAAAATCTAGTTTAATATTTATTTTTGAATATGTTTAGGTACATAGAAACTTAAATAAATATATATAAATAGAAAAAGTCTAGGTAATATACTTAAATTTAAAAATTCTTAATAATCATTTTTATTCAACCATAGGTATCAATAAAAATATGTAGATGTAGATATGTATAAATAAATAATTTATTAACAAAAAATAATTTACATAAATAGTAACAATAAATTAGTTATTTTAAAAATCTCTAAGCAGGATTGTATCCTGGTTGTAATCCCAACGGTAAAGGTTGCTCGAAGCTCCTGCCATGTCCGCTGTGATGGTAATCTTCATGGCCGGATGAATGGGAACTGGAATGCGTGTAAACAGGCTTCGATACTACTTCGTAGGTAGTTTTATCTCCACCACTCGTAAGCGATTTAAGACCGATAATCATGGAGAGAACAAGAGAAATGATACCGGTGGTTAAAGCTTTACCGGCAAGACCAGCTAAAGCTCCCAAGGCAAGGGCGAAGTACGTGCTTTTCATCATCGCCATCAACGCGAAAATCGTTCCCATGCCGTTTCCTTTTCCTTTCTTCTTACGAGCAGTCACCGAGTTATCATCGTCTTCGGCGAAGTGAAGCTTGAGCGAGTGGCTGCCCAGGAAGTTCTGGACTTTCTTCGACAGGAAGCCGTCCAACCTGGCGTCCGGATCGTTCGGGAACTCCCTGCCTAATTCGGCCACGATATCGGCGTTAGCGGCTTTGGGCGAGCCGTTCTCACGCACTATTTTTACACCGGGAATCAAGTCGATGTTCTGCTTCTCGCCCAAACTGTCCACCCAGCCGATGACGTCCAGCTTCAGGCAGGCCGGCGTGTAGGATTTGTCACAATTCTTACCGAGCGATCGCCGGAAATCTGATGGATTTTCGGCAAGCGAAACGACTACGATTGTCAAGCATACTGCCAACCGAGCGAACCACATTTTGTTAATTAACGCTGGACCAAGACTAACTAACGAGATAGCGGAGCGAAATTCTTTTATAGTGGAGCATCTCGATTAGAAAAAATGAGAGTGATAACTAAATCGTGCCCTCCGGGCAGAAATTAACTTTTTTTGGTCGAAATTAAATGTGGAATACATAAATTGTTGTCGTTTTAAAAGTGTAGTGGTCGGATTAATAAGATTTTTATAGAACACCGCGATTACAATTAATAAAAATATTATGCCTAATTAATTCTTATTGCGTGACTGAATAGGGACTTTAATTTTAGTTTCCTGGTTACAGCGAAATTATTTTGTAAAAATTAACCGAAAAACAATAATAAACAAATAATTTATTGACGACAAATAAATAACAAACAAATAAATTAGAATATACCTAAATAATTTACGCTGGTTTATATTCCGGTTGGAGTCCTAGAGGCAGAGGCATATCAAAACTCCTTCCGTACCCCGAATGCCCACCATGGTGGTAATCCTCGTGACCCGTCGAATGCGAATTACTATGACTATACACAGGCTTCGAGACAACTTCGTAAGTGGTCTTCCCGCCGCCTCCTGACAGCGATTTCAAACCAATAATAGCTGAAAGTAGCAGCGAAATGAGACCCGTCATCAAAGCTTTACCGGCCAGCGCAGCCAGAGCTCCCAGAGCTAACGCCAACAAAGTACTCTTCATCATAGCAGCCGCGGCGATAATCATGCCCATTCCGCCGCCGCCTTTCTTGCCGCCGCCGCCTCCGCCGCCGCCTCCCTTACGCGCCGACCCGGCGCTCTCCTGGTCGAAGAGGTTGAGCTTTACCGAATGGCTGTTGAGGAACCCGTGGACTTTTCGAATGAGAAAGGCGTCGAGTCGGGCGTCGTGGTCGTTGGGGAAATCCCTGGCCAAATCAGCTACTATATCAGCTGTGTTGATCCGTGCACTGCCGTTTTCTCGCACTATCGTTACACCGGGAAACACACTGACGTTGTCGTTTTCGTTCATTTTGTCCACCCAACTGACTATATCCAGCTTCAAGCATGTCGTGGAATAGGAAGTGTTGCAGTCCTTGCCTAAGGATCTTTTGTAATCGGTCCTGTCGGTTTTCTGTGTAACATCTTCGGCGAGTGCGCCGGAGAACAGGGTGAACGCGAGTGCTATTGGAACGAACCACATTGTTGCAATCGAAGCCGGGGACGCACTGATATCGATTGCTAAAATCGATTTACTTTTATAGCAGGCAAACGGAAGGAAAAAATAAAGCGATTTTATTACTGAAATTATTGTCCAGCGTTTAGATGAATGGAGTTAGTGGAGCACAAAGTAATTGTGAGCGCAAGTGACGGGAGCAAATTCGATCGAATTTTTTTCTTGCAGAGACGGATTTCTTTAAACGGATACAATTGTTTTACTTGCCGGCGATTAGCGTCGCACGTTTGTCATGAGAATTCGGCAGAAGCCAATATTTGTGGTTCGATTTTCGTTGGTTTGTCGATACAAATTTTTTTGATGGTTAACAATCTTTCATCGATTAGATATTGATATAATAAAGTACCTAAGTAAATACTTGGTTTAAGAGATTGGAAAGTAATTTATTTTTCTTCAAACAGAAAATTCGATTCTTTGTAGTCACTATACCTACACTATTCTAGTTTATCTATGACGCTTTTTGTAGAGGTATCGTAAATATGTGGTGCCATTAATTTGTGTTTGTTCAAACGAAACATTTCACTTTTTAACATTGTTCCATCACCTATCCTATAATAAGACGTTTTATTCACACGCCAGTATAATATCATTATTATTCACCTATTATATCAAGAATAAAATTACATACGTAGGTATACAAAAACAAAAAGGTTAATAAAAGATTACCTAAATTTAAGAAATAAAATTCTAATCGTATAAAAACTTTGTGTAGAAACAGGTTTGATGGCCCATCCTAATTTCTCCTTTAAATCCGGGTTCTACCTAATAAGAACATTTTAGTTTAGCTTCTTGCAAATTAAAACCTTTTTTTTTGTTATACTAATCTCGAGTAATTAACAATAGAATGAATTAATGATGAATCGAAAAAAAGCTCAACACTTTCCATTTTTTGGCGATTTGCTTTCAAATTGGAAGACACTGCCGAAGATCGTGAGCCCGTTAATAGTGCATAAAACGTCCGATTTACTTTCTCTCCGGCCGTTCTAAATTTAGGGATTCAATATTCGATTCCATCTTGTCGAAACTCAAGAAGTGAATGTCAACTTTCCTGTCCGGATCGTTTTCTATTTACAAGTCGAGTTTTTTTTTCTCAATTTTTTTTAACGCAATTTGTATTCGTTTTAGATATCATCTCTGCTCTCCGTTGATGAATTGGCGGGTGTTCGTTTTCATTCGTTCCGACAAAATTGAAAGACCATCTAGAATAAATTAACTTTTAATAGGTACAACGATTCACGAATAAATAGTTACAATTTTGGAAAATATACATTTATTTGAACACAGTGAAAAAATACGTTTTTTAAATAAATAAATTAGTTTGGTATCTCTCAGGCGGGTTTGTATTCTGGTTGCAATCCCAACGGTAGCGGCATGTCGAAACTTCTCCCGTACGACGAATGCCCGTAACTAGGGTGGTGCTCTTCGTGTCCCACGGAATGCGAATTCGAATGACTATAAACCGGTTTGGAAACTATTTCGTAAGTAGTGGATTTGTGTCCGTGCGTCAACGCCTTCAGCCCGATTATCGCAGAGAGCAGCAAGGAAATGAGACCGGTCATAAGGGCTTTTCCCGCAATCGCCGCAATACCTCCTAGCGATAGAGCTAGGAGCGTACCTTTCATCATCGCACCCGCCGCCATCATCATGCCCATACCACCGCCGCCTCCGGATCCGCCACCGCCTCCTCCTTTGCCACCGCCTCCGCCTCCGGATCCTCCGCCGCCGCCTCTAGCCGTCTCCACGCCGTCCCTGTTGATTAAATCTAGGCGTAGCGAGTGACTGTTGAGGTACGACGAGACTTTCTTCATGAGGAAAGCGTCCAATCGAGCGTCTGGATCGTTCGGGAAATCTCTGGCTAATTCCGCGACCATATCGGCCGTGTTACTCTTGTCTCCATTATCCTCCTTGATGACGGAAACGCCCGGCAGGACACTGTAATTCTCCTCTTCGTTCAATTTGTCTACCCACGACACTATGTCCAGTTTCAAGCAGGTTGTGGTGTACGTCGTGCCACAGTCCCTAGACAGGGATTTTTTGTATTCACTTTTCGGTTTCGCGTCCGGTTTTTCGTCCGCCGCCAATACGCACAATGTCAACCACAACACCGACACAAGCGTGAGGTAATGTTTCGAGAACATCTTCGATGATAATGTTCTCTAATCTTACTGATAGTAGAGCAAAGTGGACAGCGACGTTTATATAGCAAAGTCGCAGGGCGTATTAGAAAAATCTGTTTACTTGTTTATCAAGAATCTGTGATTACCATTTATCATGAATGGAAATTGCTCTCTATACCAGTTTCGTATATGTACAAGCATGGGCGCACCGAAAGGCACATATGATAAGGTTTAGAATAAATATCGTACATCCGCGTTAAAACTTCTCCAGGATATAATCTTGATAACAATATAGATAACTATAAAAATTAGTATTTAATTTAATGTATTATGTAGTAAACCAGCAGGTAAACCGATAAATTAGATTAATTACTAATGATCAATGAATCTGGTAATAACAATGTTTCACAAATATTGATTTAAAAATTTATTGAAACGGAACGAATTCGATTGTTACGATAAATTTATTGCTTCAATAGAACCATCATCTGATAAAATTAAATTGTGTTTAACGTAGTTGTTAAGACTTGGAAAATAATTGAGAAAATAGACATCTGTTTGACATACCTATCATCTTTCGTTCTTAAATTACTCGTTTACAATGGAGTTCAATCAATGATAGGATATTCTACTTAGATAATTCATGCTATTTTATCCTAATTAATCAACGAATAATTTTCGTACTTCTTCAATAGAACCTAATTGAAGGTATTTCTTACTTAGCTAGTCAAATAGGTGATACCTTCGGGCCCTAATTTTGAATATTAAAACAATCCTCATCAGTAATTGATGTTTGTTTTAACCACGCCATTGATTTCTTGTATAAATCAGTTGGAGAGTAGGTACTTTCGGATTTGCGACAAAGTGTGCAAATCGATTCACATCCACGTCGAACGCATTTCTTATGATACAGAAAAATTTTAAAATCACGCAGGACTGTATACGCACTTTCGATTGACAAAATATCAATTTTAGTATCTTTAAAATTAAGTTAAAATATTTCAAAATGCTTCATAATTTTGGCTTATACATCGATTTTCTAATTAATTATTTTTTTAATAAATTAAAATAAATTTAATAAATTATTAAGATTATTTAATTTTTAAGCACCATTTTAGATAAAAATGAATTATGAAATCGTCTATTAAGAGTGTAATTAAGCTAATTTATTGAGAAATAAAGACATATAAATTAAGCCGGTTCTGCATCTCACGTAGGGAAACTGCAATATACGTATTTAAAAATAAAATCGCTCGATTAAGAAAGTACGCGTATCGAAATGAAACGTTCTATATTTTCCGTATTAAAGAGGATGTCGCTAGTTGCCCCACTTTTGCGTGGATGCTTTTTTACTCTCGTTGCATTTCTTATTAATTGATCGACAATAAGTAATTTGGGTCAGCAAAAGTTACCTACAAGAAAATTATATATTTCTGATTTAACTAATACTCGGTAACAACCGGACTGAACATCTTAACAACTAGTTCAGGATTAGTCCGTATATAATTAAAAAAGTGATTGAAAATAAATTTATTGCACATAAAATAATAAATAACAAATTGGGTTTTTGATTAATCATTTCTCTAACTATGGTATAGGTTGGTATCCAGGCAGAGCGAGCCCTTCGTCTTGAGAGGTCCTGCTCCAGCCGGAGCCGAGCGATGGAAGTATTTCGTAGGAGATTTTCGAATGGCCGTGATGAGAATGCTCCAAGAGATTCTTCAATGCGACCGCTCCGGAGATGGCGAGGGCGGCCAGACCGCTCTTGAATCCGGTGAAGGCCAGGAAGGATATGATTGTTAAAACTACCGGAATCACAATCGCCGCCTTCAATTTCAACAGGAGGATAATAGGCAGGATTAATTTTCGTAGCCTTTTCGAACGACTTTCTGGAAATAAAGAGGAAAGTATTACCAATATTATAAAAGCAATTGATTGCTTCTACTAATAGAAACAATGCGAGAAAATTACTATATTTGTTCCGTTTGTCCATTAAAAATTCTCCAACAAATCAAGTAGTTAACATTGCGAGATTTTAATCAGATTAATCAAATTGCTAATTGAAACATCTGCGAAACGAAACCTACTTAGTAATTAAATATTTAATTATTGCGTCCCAGTTAGCAGGTGAAGTCGCTTTAATTTCAACAACGAGGAAATTTCTAACAAATTAAACGAATTTCGGATTAATTAAACACGATACATTAGGAAAGGTTGGATGAAAAAGGTTGATGAAGATAGCGATTAGCTCTTCTGTAAAATCTTCAATAGATGCTACGTTAATTTAATTAAGGCCACCATGAATACCATAAAATATCTGTATACAGTATGTCCTTTATAATAAGTAATAAGTGGAAAATAATTTAGGAAAGTGTAGCAGAGCCAAAATTTGACATTCTTTTCTTGTTATTTTATGAATTATTCTTTAATTATTAGTAATAGGTAAAATTTTTGGCATATCGCCATTGAGTAAATAGCCTATTAAAGTAATAATATCTGGTAACTTAGCCAATAATCTTGAGGTTAAAGTCAAAACTAAATGAAGAAGATAACAAGAAAAGAAGAATACGAAATTTTAGACCAATAGGAAAACTCTAGGAACCTTGTGTAACCAAACTGTTGAAGAATTAAAATTTACCCAAAATTAATTCTTAGTATCATAATTTAATTGCATTTTCCGGACATCTCGCAAAATCTAAAACAAGGAAAAACAACTTTCCATTTTGTTCCCTTAAATAGAATTATTTCCGTCAAACCATCGATTGCGATTGAATAACGCCTTCTATAAGGTTGCAAAAGCGTGAAGTTCTCCACGCCAACTGACCGAGAACTTGGCGTAGAACGACCGGCGAGAGAATTTAATCGAAACGAAGACCCGCCGGCGCGCTCTTGGTGGGAGGTGAAAAGAACGGACGGGAGAAACTGCAGTCGAAAGTCGAAGGAGGTCACGGATATCCGGAAGATCCCGCTCAGTGGGTCAGTAAGGCAAGAGCAGGTACGCGTGCGTGGTAATTCCGCTACTCCCAAGGCCATAAGAACTCGAATCCACCGGAGGATCATTCCACCGGCGGTCGATTACACCGGCGGTCGTACACACACTTGGTGAAGGCTTTGATTAAAAAAAAGTTAAATCTTAAAGAGCTTAATTAAAATTAAGTTCTTCATTGGTATGTGTGTTGTATGAAAGGTACATACAATTTAATAAATTAATAGAACAGTTGTTGAAATTGTTGATCATCCTCATTGCCAAGCAAGTTCAACACGTTCACTCGGCGGGAGAATCCGTGCGAACTAATTTTCTCTCCAAACAGGTTCTTGAACTCCGGTAGTTATCGATTAGTTATCGAGATAGTGGCAATGACAATCACTGTGGTCGCAACAAGTGAATTTTCTCAACAGATGTTGCCGTTACTCACGCGACTTCCTTGAAACTTAGATTTTTATGTACCGAATGATAATTCTAAAATAAACTGCTCCGCAAAAGTTAAGGAAGTTCACAAGTATTGAGTATAATTTAAAAGTTGCAGGTTTTTTGATCGCCAAATTTAGTATGAGTTGTAGAGGTAGGGGCAAAAAATCCACTCAGATATGAAAGAAAACTTTTAATTTCGCACATTTGAAAATTTGGTGATCCAAAAAGTCTGTAACTTTTAAAATAATCGCAAAATTTGCGAACTTCCTTAACTTTTGCGGAGCAGTTTATTTTTAATCAACGAATGATTCCAATTTATACCGGAATAAAAATTATAATAATAGACAATACTACGTGTTCTAGGCCGTAAAATATGAAAAACAAACATTATTCGATCTTATTTTATGTAAAAAAGATAACTGAGATTTTGAGGTGATCCACACCAACCGAAGAAATGTTAAGAAATTCCGATCAAACATTAAGGTCAAGCTTGAATAAATATCATTTGAATTCAACCAAAACGCAAATAATATTCGAATTGCGGTACAAATTTCTTCTGTTACAAACTAATCCCATCGAATAACTCATTAATAAAGTAGAGATAATAGGAAAAATTTACCCGATTCCAAACTCCTTTCCTGTCTTTCAGGCACTCGAATTCTCAACTCGTGTTCCATCAAAAACCTGACGCATCTTCCTACGAAATCCTCATCCTCGTTAATTTTTCTACTGGTTCTCGCAATTTTATGAACACTTATCCATTCGCCGTAACTTGGAAGTTCCAATTCGTTTACAGAGAGTTTTAATTGCTCGTCTAAACACTCCAAAGATTCACCACATGAGTTCAATTCCTTGCCGTTACCGCGAACGACCAAAGAAGACACCAAAATTAATGCGAATTTAATCATTGCTGCGGATTTTTTTCCAATTATCGACTAAATGATGTACGAAAACTTAAAGTTAATTTATATTTTTTACGGGAAACTCCAAACAGGTCCGTATTTAGTTGTAATGGACGTATCAATTAAAACAAGCTCAATTTTTTCAGAATTTTTATGGTTAAATTTATTAATGATAGATTTGTTATTATATTAAGATAATTTTTAGTGCGTATTAGGTAGTTTTAAGAGTATATTGTTAAATATTTTCGTAACTGAGCTCGGTCCTGTGGGGTTCCTCAAACGATTTTTGATAAAATATGTAACACGGTAAAGGCGAATTCCACGTTGCAAATCGTGTTTTGTAAATTAAAACGCCAAAAGTGTAGAATAGACAATACTTTGTAAGCTAATTTCTATATTGATTACTTATTCCATTCAGTTACGTTCATTTAATTTATTCTCCCTGCACATGCCATCGCTTCGTTTTCGATTTTTTTTATCGTTTTCTAATTGAACATTATATTAATTCATATAGTTTCTAATTAGTAACAGAAACAACTAAAAAAGAATAAGCGTCAAACAGACAATTCTAAAATACTGTCACTAATTTGAATCCAAAACATGTATAAACTGACTTATTTCGATATAACGGCTCTTGGTGAGCCTATCAGGCTCATTCTAACCTACGGGAAAATGGAATTCGAAGACAATCGCGTCACGTTCGAAGAATGGCCGATGGTGAAACTCAACATGCCCTTCGGTCAGGTTCCTGTTTTGGAGCATGATGGTAAAGTTATGAACCAATCATTGGCCATCTGCAGGTATTTGGCCAAGCTAACGAAGTTGGACGGTAGTTCCGATTGGGAGAACTTGGAAATCGATGCTGCTGCAGAGACGATTTCGGATTTGAGGACTAAAATCGGTCTCTTTTACTACGAGAAGGACTCATTGGTTAAGGAAGCCAAGAAGAAGGAAGTTTTCGAGGAAATTTTGCCGTTTTATTTAGAGAAAATCGAAGCGCAAATACAGAAAAACGAAGGTCATCTGGCATGCAAGAAACTCACTTGGGCTGATTTTTACTTGATAGGTATACTCGATTACGTTAATATGATGTTAGATGTGGACCTGGCTGAAAAATATCCAGGCATAAAAATTATTCAGGATAAGCTGCTCGATATAGATGACATTAAAAATTGGTTCGACGAACATCCAAGAATGGAGAGGAAGAAGGAGTAATAATTTATTATTTTATTGTTGACTTGTTGACTTGTTGAAATTGTTTTAATTTTCATTGTATGATTTATAATTACATTTATGTGCTGTTAGATTTTGTAACAATTAAAAATCACAAAACTATTTGCCACCTATCGTACAAATGCTAGTACTAAATAAAATTATTCTGAAGAGAAATTTATTCGGTCTAGTTTTAGCACGGTATTAAACCAGCTTTAATGCTTCGATGTTCACAATAAAAAAGTTAACAACTGTGAAATCCAAACGAGTAGTAAAGAGATTCTGCAATAGATTACACCAAATTCTGATTTAGAACTCTGCATTATTTGTGGGAAGAAATTTATTTCTCAAATAATTATATCAACAAATTAAATGAATAAATTAGGTGGTAAAAAATTATATAGCGTTTCCTTTGACTCTATCAGTGTCCTGGAAAGTCCTTTCTCGTGAAATGCGTTCGGGATACCAACCGTAAGGGTTCCATCCGCCCAAATGGTTTACTCCAGGCCCGTACCCAGAAAATTGCGATGGTACCGAATTCTGAAAAAATAAATACATTTCGTTCTTCTTGTATTCTTCACGAATATTGAAACATTTTCAAAATTTTTAAATTTTTCAAAATTTTTTAGGTACCTGCTGTAAATTTCTTTTCTGACTTTGTTGAATAGGAAAAGTTTTGCGTAATAATTATTATAAAATTGAATAAAAAATTGCACCGTATCCTAAATATGTAAATTTCTTTAGTACTTAAAGCTTTTATTTAAACATGGAAGTGATAAACATTTCTCGTGTAATTATTTTATGAGTTCTAAAAATAATCAGAAAATTATAGATTTTACCTAAATTTCAAACCTATCATTAGTCGTTTACTTATTTAGTATCCCAATAGCATAATTCAAAATTTTACGACAGAGCAAATCGTTTAGAAAAACGATAGTTGCTACACTCACACAGTTAATAATTCAAAATAACAATACACTTGGAAGCTCTTTTTTCTGATGAAATTTATCTATAATTAAAATTTACTATAGCAAATTTAGGAGTAATTCATGTACCTAACTCATGCAAAAACCATAATAAATATGTTCAACTAATATGATGATTACAGGTGGAACGAGTAACGTTAAAGTGAAAATTAGGTTAAAAAGTATCTTATTAGTTTGGTTTCGTGGAGTACAATAAACTTTAAAATTACTACTGAGAAATTTGTACGTATACTTAACAGTTTTTCGATAAATCAAGCGTAGATAATAATCTAGTATTTAAGGTTTCTTTAAAAAATTTTATACGAAAAATTTGAATAATAATATATAATATTATTGGCCATTTAACGGACTATATTTTAAAGTTTTCATATTTTAAAATACGCAACGTGATAAAATTAACTAGGCTGTAAAGTAGCAAGTGAATACATTTTTTTAAATACTATAATTACAATAATTTCAGTTTTATCAAAAAATATTAAACGCATTGAAATCTCCGCATCGAATTAATTCATAAATAAATACTTTTTCGCCGACATTTAAACTACCATTATAAGTCACATTGTAGGCCATTATAATAAAACACTTTTTAATAATTAATAAGACGAGTTGTCTTTACACGCGTGCCTGCTCTACAATTACTGACGTATATACCTCCAGTCATTATTTAAACGCCAGATAAATTAAAACGGATTGAGCTGTATTAAACCTACAAAGTAGGTTTCGAGTTAATCAAAACGTCTTCACTTTTCCTCCGGTATTCGTTCCGATCAATTCAAGAACTTCAACAATCGATTCATTCAACATTTAATTTCAAAATATTATTACCCTTATTATCTTTGTCTAGTAACTAATTTAGTATTTGAAATACTTACATTATTGTTAATGAAAATTCCTGCGAACAAAACAACAGCAACGATTAAAGCAGCTTTGGAAACAAGTAGAGCTTTCGCCGTAAATAGGGTTAAACCTCCTAAAACTGCCGGAATCATCATTAAGGTAGTGGCTCCTAAACCAACTGCCCAGGGGTTAGATACTCTTTTCATTCTTGCACGACCTAAAATTCAATTTTTCTGATAGTTTTAGTTCGAAGAATTTTGAATCCTTACCTTCTGCAACAGCTTTTGAGATTGTTTCAACAGTACTATTGTTGAATTTTATCACTAAACTTCTTCCTCTTATGAACCTGCTTGCTGCATTTAATAATAATTGCGAGAGTTTATCGTTCCTTTGATCAGGATTTTCGGGTAATGTTTGATCATCTGGTAAATATTTGGGCATTCTTTGATTGGATTCGCTATAAAATAAAGAAGATTAGACATGTATACCTATTAGTAAGTTTGATTGGATTATTGTAAATGATTCAGTTGAAACTAATATCTACCTTACGATCGAAACTCCTGGAAATAAATCTATATTTTTTAAAGGTGTGGCTATTTCTACAACTTTTAACATCTTTTCGTAGCCACAATTAAGAACTCCTGTAGGAGTCATAACTTTAATGCATCTTTCATCAGATTTTCCGTCAGCCACAGTCTAAAAATATATTATTTTTTAAGAATCATGCAAGTGTATTTATTAATATCTCTATAATGTGGAATCTTACCCATTTGATTGAACTGAGAAAACAACCAATAACAATGAAATACTTTAGCATCATCTTCACGTAAAATTATGTTTCGAAAACTGACTCAATCGCAGGATATCTTAATATTTATATGAAATTTTCTTAGAGCCCAACCCAACATTTTTACTATATCTGTTTGAAGAAAGAAATTGTAGCCCAACTAAAATATCTTTCTGCGGAAATAAGAAAACTGTTTGTTCAAGAAGTAGTCCGGATTTGGTGTGTTCGATGTATGAAAATAGTTAACAATTCCTTTTACGAGATTTACCATGTTAATTTCCTATTGCCTCATGTAATTAAGTATCTATTAATTTTTACGGTATATTTTTAATAGCGAACTGTGTAACATTTCATTTGTTGATTACATAGTGATTTTACAAAATGGTGGTATAAATAATAAACGCAAATTACGTGTCCACAGAGTGAAAAAGACACGCTTTACATCTCCGTTATTCCGTTCGAAATTATATTCTTAAAATGACAACGATTTCCACAACATCTAAACGTTCATTATTTCAGACACTGAAATGTATCACTTGCTACACATTGGCGTGGAATAAGTAAAGCACTTTAAGGTTTTTTTAACAAATTTCTCAATTATTAAAAATTTTGTTAGTAGACGCATTTAAATTTATTAATTGAACATAAAAAAATATTTCGACATGTGGTACTCAGGTGACTACTCCAATTTTTTTATAACTATTACTAGTTAATATATGTATAAGTAACAGTTTTTTAACTTGTATTTTCGACTTTATTATCGCAGAAACGTTACCTAACCTTTAAACGACGAAGATATACTATAAGAACGGCAGATGTTCAATAGGCTTCGTATTCTTTCTTGGAAGTACAATGATTTATTAATTGCTCTGCGTAAAAATCATTCATTTACAAACGCATATTCTAACTGTACAATATTATAAAATCTATTCTGCCATGATGTTTATTAGTTGTTGTAGAATCAAATAAGCCTAACAGTCGATTAAAGTAAGTACTTGTGTGTTAACGGTGCTATACGTACGACGTAATGTGTTCGCTAAACCTTTGTTCCTCAACAATTTTTGTAGTTAAAACGAAAATATAGCTCGAAGATCCAACTTATTTAACAAGATTTATAAGTTAATATTCTTTTAAAAAAATCTGCGCCTTTGTAATTTACATAGTTACACGCTCGGTACGCAATATCAAAGGAATTGAAGCGTAAAGCCCGATAATATTTGACATTAGCAGTGCCCATTTACATTGCCAACAACACGAAAAACTGTAGCACAATCGGCGGCGACTTAATGCCAATCTGGTGGATTTCTTCAACAGTGGCACCACTGACTTCTGCGCCGCGCTTCTTCCGACTCCTTATTTTGCGATAGAGTACCCGCAGCAGTCGCAGCTAAATGAAACGGATATGTAAATTTTCGCGGCAGTTCGAGGGTGCTGGTGATTTGAAGATGAACTTGTGTGTGTTCGTGTTGATGGTGGTTTGTTTGAAATTAGTTAATTGTCGCAATGGTGACCAGAGGGAAACTAGGGATTTGGCCAGCTGGGGTGGATCCTGGTCGATATATCCCACGACGGCCAGTTGGTCAATGCAAACTAGAATACCAATGACGGCAGGTAATTAAACATTTTTCTTTTTTATTACTACATTTTTCATTCAACTACAAAACAATTCAAGATGATTGTACAAGTAGATCCATTACTCTACCTCCTTAAATTTAAATATTTTTTCTCCAGCAATATTAAGCAACAAAATATTATTCTTATTACTACAACAATAACCTAAGAAACCCCAATTTCATCAATGAGAATACTCATTAGAAAGATTATTAATTATTGTCATCTAACCTTTAACATAAAATGAAGATTTTAATGGAACTTGTAATGATATTAAAGAAAAAATAAATTAAAATGGAAACGTCGTAGAATTCAACAGAAATATGGATTTTAACGGGTGATATCAAACAATAATTGACAGTTTGAGTAACTGTACTACTAAACCGTGATTGCTCTAATGATACAGTAGATTATGTATAATCTCACTGTGTCACGAACTTGCGCATTCTTTAGTTTATTTACAGTGATTTTCACTTCTTTAAAATTGTTTTAAATGCGATTTAAATCTCATTACTTATTAATTACGATAATTAAAGATTACGCTCTTGCCTCATTGCCTGAAAAACTATTTGAGACATTACCTGCGCGAAACAATTTTGTTTTGTTTAAAAATCACTCCAAAATTTTAAAACACTTGGTTAATAGAGCATGTTGCATTCTATTAACTTATGTTTATGCGGTGCTTTTAGCGTTACATGTGGAAGGTTTTCCATAATCAGCAGGACAAAAAACGACGACGCAAATCGAGTAAAGTGTGTGTAAAAATCTATCTAATGACCGTTATAAGCGTAATGTCTAAAGATATTGAAAGCAATATGAAGAGCCATATTACTTATCATATTGAGCATCAATGTAACCTCAACTTCAAGCATCATTTGTTACTTTTAACATAAAAATTTAAACCGTTTTATATTAAATATTGTTTTTGTGTTGTAGATTTTGCGGATACGGGTCGGGACGGTGGCAAAAAAGGCGGCAGAAACAAAAAGAAGTACAAGAGATTCATTCTACCACTGCTTCTAGCTTACAAGCTGAAGTTCTTCACCTTGATACCGGTACTGCTGGGAGGATTGGTGCTTTTGACGGGTGCAACAGGTTTAGCAGGATTTTTCTTCGCCCTATTCGCAGCAGTGATGGGCCTGAAATCGAGCAGTAGTCACAGAGCACTCTAGCAACCGTCTTTTTAATGATACTATTATATCAGCTGGGTCCTAATTTACAGATAGTTACGAAATGTTGTTCATAATATGTAAGGAGGTATATTTAGGTTAATTGAAATACTCAAATGAAATTAATAGTGTTATTCTGAAACTTTGCTGTAAGACATCTTGTAGAGACTCGAGTCATTTCAGAATTACACTACAAATAATAAAGTGCAATTTATTTATTTTATTTATCAAAAGTAATGTATCTAATAATTTTATTTTATTCATATTTTTAAGTATTTATTTTAGTGTCTTAATACAGGTACAATATTAATTAACCTGCAGGTTTTTTAAGATAAATATTAATTTGTTCGTATATTGTAAGAATAATAAATAAATCAATTGTATATGTAATTCAGGTAAAACTAGATTACTTTATTGACTAATATAATATAATAATATAAGTCGCTTTCAAAAGAACCATCCCCTTAATAATTCATTAAAATAATAAATATTCAACTACTTCTAATAAGTAGGTAATATGAATTACTTTAAGAAAATGCAGCTCAATTTTAATTTATCATGGAATTAATAATTAATATTTTATAAATCTAATGTAATTTTTGTAGAAATTAAATATACGAGTGGCATAGAAACGAGAAGAACACTTCTAACGAGTTTTCTTTTTAGTCATACATTTTGTTTTCTTCAAAGTATTCTGTTAGCATAGTTTCAACAGATTTCCTACAGGTATTTCAATTGAGAACAGAATGATAGATAATATTTGCTAGAATTTGCATATGTAAATGGATTCTAATAATTTAATTCCACTGTTTCCTCTTCTAATAATTTAGACCTATATATAATAGTGAAAGATATATTTATGCATCTATCTAATGTAGTCTATTAGAAATAATCGATAATTTTAAACAAATTATTCATACTCAAATAATTATCGTACTTTATTTCACGGGCTAGCAGCAATTATTATTTACTGTTAAACGTTGTTTAAATGCTGTTAATTCTTTATTTTCCAATTTCTTAATTATGTACGGTGGATTTCAGACAACTCAAGTATATCAACTTATTGTTAGTTTCGTTTGATGTGCCATCTGTTCGGTAAAACTGGTATTTTTTCTTTCGTACGAATTCACTGAATTGAAAAAATTATTCTAATTTCGGTATCTTTTACTCAATTACAAACGGCTCAAGCGAATTAATCTGAAAAATATCGATATCTTTATGATACAAATATAATATTATTCATTCTTCAATTCATGTGGAAAATAAGAGAAAAAAAAAACAGTTATATCGGAAACTTTATTGATATGAAAGATACATTTTTTTGAAAAAATATATTATTTATTATAATAGTGATAATGCTGCAAGCTTCCAGTTCCAATATCGTATCCGTAACCGATATCGTTGGTATCTCCCAAATAATCCAAACCGCCATTCCCGCTGTTCAATATGCTTTCGTCCTTGCTCCAAGGATCGGCGGCTTGGATGAATTTAATGTTAGGCGCCGCGTGCTGCCAAGCTACTTTCGAATATCCTGCCAAAGAGGAAACAATAAGGCTCATGACGCTAAGAACTACAGATACACTGGATAACACTGCCATAACTTTCAACGCAATTGGCACGAGTACACTCTTTATTATGAACAAAGCTATTAGAAAATTCACCACGAATTTTCCTTTCTTTTTCTTCCTGGTTTCTCCAATTGGACCTACAACTGGGTGCAATTCTAAATTTTATTTGATACGGAATTATATGTGTGCATACCTTGATCAGATGAAGTTCGATTGAAAATCGCATCCTTCTCTACGCTTGCACCGAAATTGAACAAGTTGAATCCACTAGCAGCTACAACGAACAGCAGCAGCAGGAAAACAAACACCAGAGCTTGCTTCCTGATAGGCATTTCGGAATAAAATACATTAGGTCTGCTTCAGTATTGCGTAGGGTTAGCGGTTGACCTGTTCTAAATGTCAATTTAACGCAAATTGATAAAGAAAATCGCGTCATTTAAGTGTTTTTCATGTAGAACGATGCGATTGTTGGCGGAAGTAATGTAAAGATAATCGATGGTCGTTATTCCAGCGTGGTTTTGTTCTAGGCAATGATTTGCAAAAAGAACAAGAATTCATATTGCCCGCATCGTAATACAAATTTCTATATTTTTTCTTATTCTTTTTAATTTCGTCCCTTGCAAATTAGATACAAGCGAAGTAGACCATGGATTTTCTTAAGATTGGCAAGATGATGAAAATGAAAATATAGTATTTGTTAGTATGTAAGCAATCACTTTAGCAGTAAGCAAACGCTAATGTTTCTCTTCTTAATGTTATTAATAACATAATTTTTTTCATTTATAGTAAAACATAAGCGACATCTATAGCCGTTTTAAATCTGAATTAAACGTTATTATTAAAGACATGAATATTAACTAAACTGCTACATTAGCGTATGTGAAACGTTGTTTGTAGATGGCAGCAAATGCTTTTTACCATCTAGTACAATTCAGTACTTTTTATTAGATAAAGCGGTACAACTATTTTGCGGTAGATGGAGAACATTAGAAACCGCCAATGTAAAGAACCGTAAAAGTAATAAGATGTTGCAAAAATAAAATGGAAAATTTAAATGCCAGTTGAAAGTAAATACCATCAACTTAATGATAAATATTAAAAATAATGATTAGTTACCAAGAAGTTAAAATTCAGCCGTTCTTTCAGTTTAATAATACCTACTGCAAAAATAGCTACACAATTAAAAGTAATGTTGGAGATTTATTTCTGTGACACGTTTTCTCAGTTATTATTCTCATTATTTCCAAACGTATGTGAATTTTAAATAAGCGTAAGCAATAAGTCAGCTGTCGTTAAGCATAAATTGAAAAGTAACAGTAAATTAAGTGAGGATATTAGTTTTTTTAGTAAATTGTAAATAATACTGTATTCATTACTTTTCTAAGATTGTATTATTTTCTTTAGCACTATTTAGTGACTAATGCGATTTTAACGGATTTGCCACCTAAAAACTCAAATTGTCTTTCGGTACTAACAGTAAATGAGCATATGCAAATATGTTTAAGTACTCTTTATTCCAAATGTAAGTTAGAATTTTAAATTTAAGTTCTTTTTTTATCAAATTGGAATTCATGTATTTCAGAAAACGAGTACCGTAGGTAAGTACTCATTAGTACTGCATTGTTCAAAAGTTAGCATTAAGTTGCAGGTAAAAATATTGGCTAGGAATGAGGAAAAATTAAAATAAAATTGCATGTTTTTCTAACATCATTTATTTTTCTTTTCAACAGAAACAAACTGTTATGGTAACGTAGTCAAAACGTCGAGTTAAAAGTCACAATGTCAGTAAAATAAATTAAATAAATATCTGAAATAAATAATTTAACAATAACAAGAAACTCTAACGTCTCTACAAAAAGTCAGTTGTCCAAACTGTCGCAAAAAAAAGAAGAAGAATAGTAACATTGACCAAAAAATCGGTCGAACATATTTGTACAAAAATATTAGCTAATGACTAAATATTTATGCACAGGCCTATTTAGGGCTGTAGGCGTTGTAAGCCAAGTTTTGAGCTTCATTGTAGGACCTCTTGTCCCAACCGCCGCCGCTGGATTGCCAGCCGCCGCCGCCGCCGCCGCCGCCGGCTTGCCAGCCGCTGCTACTGCCGTGGCCGCCTCCGCCTGCCTGTTTCTGGGCGAACAGTTTCTTGATGGCGATGATACCGGAGATGAGAAGGGCAATCTTGGCGGTAATCAAAGCTTTACCGGCCAACAGGAAAAGTCCGGCGATTGCCAGGGGAACTAAAGCGGCCATTTTAGCTGCAATTCCCATCATCATGCCGTTCATCATGCCCTTCATTCCTCCCTTTTTGCCTCCGCCGCCGCCGCCGCCGCCACCGCTTCCCTTGCGACCTGTAAAAGACGTACCGGTTTAACATACGAGTTGCTATTAAATTTGTTAAATTCTTATTACCTTCTTCGATGAGTTCCGAGGGGGAAATTTTGGGTAAAGCCACTTCTATGGTGCGGGATCCAACGAAGTTGCTGATCTTGTTGGCGAGCATTTCCGACAGAGCTGCATCTTTGGCATCCGATGATCTTGGCAGGGTGTTGTCCAATTGTTCCTCAGTAATAGCGGGTCCATCTTTAGGTGCTTCGGCTGATTTTTGTATTACAACCCCTTCGGTAACGGTGAACTTATCCATGCGACTTAGCCTGTCAACGAAGGTGATGGCTTTTTTCTTCAAGCACGACGTAAATCCTTCGGCTTTCGAACAATCATCGTAAATTTTTAATGCTACTCGAACACCGGTACTCTCGAAACTGTCCTGTGCTAAAGCACCGATCACAAAAAATAACACTAACACTATTTTCCTCATCGTCACCGAAACCGTTGCACTTGTGATGGACGGAAACCAACTGATGATCATCCCGATCTTTGTTTCTTGTTTTATACCATATCTTGACACTCGTTGACCTTTCTTTTCCTTCGGTGACCTCGTAAGATTCTCTCCGGCGAATATGTTCAGCGTTTACCCTACTCTTCCGATTGGTTGGATGGTTGACCTACAAAAGTTATCTTGGGTCGAGGATGTGTTAATTTTTAATGCCCACCTGTTCTTCATACTTTTATTCCGTTGAGAATGAAAATTTCTTCTTCGCAATTATCTTAAAGACAGTGAATCTGGTTTGCTGTTACTTACTTATTGATAAAAAAAAATGCGTTGAAATCGAACGTTTAGGTAGATATAAGTGTTTCGTTTATTTCTTATTTTGCCAATATGTAATAGGAGAGTAATGTAGTTTATAAGGAATTCTAAATCGTTATTAATACTAATAAGATTTTCCTATTTTTTTGTGGCGCGGATTGAAGAAATTTCTATTAATTAAGAGGATTATATTTATTTATATCTATTAAGATGTAATCAATATTATGCCTTAACGATGAATTAATCATTATTAGATATTTATATTAATCAAGTGATTTGTGAGTGGAAAAATATTTTTTACCAATTACCTTTAATGTTCTATGCCGTTCTCGGCGACAACAAATTAAAATTTTCAATCGCCCTTTTGCCTATAAATTATGTGAAAGCATTTGTCACTTTTTACGTGCGTATGTTAATTTAATTTCTTCAATCGGATCGGATTTTATTATCTAATTATTTTAGAACTATCGATGGTCTAGTTAAATAATCGTTCTGTAATATTCGTTAAACGAACCGGAACGTGAGGTTTTTTTTTGTAGGCACTCTTATTGATGTTACATGATTTAAGAAGTAGATTAGTTAAAAAAAAAGAAACAAATACTTTGTACAATATTAAACATTTATCGATCTTATAAATATTTTTATATCTTAAATATATTTTGAATTAAAGCTAGAAAAAATTGTAGAAAAAAATATAGTGAATAAATCCTCAGCGAATAAGTAAGAGAACAAATAAAAATGTAATAAATTTTCTAAATATCTCGAAATGTACATATAAAATGATCGTCCACGTTAGCGTTTGAAATCACTTTTACTTAGCGCAATTTCTAATTCGAAATTGTGAACTATTGGAAAGTTTAAACAATGTACATAAGTGCCATCTTACCGCTTATTACCCGGTTATCGTTCAATTTGGTTTGATTTTAATATATCTTGCGGTCCAGTAAACGTTTAGAAATTTAGCGTTCTCCTAACAGAAAAGAGAATATTCGAAAATTAGGTAAAAATTCATTTGTTTAATTTTACAAAAGTAGAGATAAGAAAAATTCTTTCTCCAAAGTTGGATCAATTTTAATTTTTTTGTTAAGTATTTGTTAATTTAGGGAAGTTATTGGTTGTCTCTAACAAATTTCCCTCAAACGTAATTCAACTAATTAAATAAGTGGGCATTTTTTTGATCTGATTATGTAATAGATAAAAAAATAGTAATTATTGTAGAACACCCAAAAAAACGAAATCGAGGTCAGTGAATACAAAATAGCAGATTTTTTGTCATGAAGAGCAGAGTCGTGATTTTGTTTAAGCATAAACTAGTAGTATTAGATGCTTTTTAAAACGGAGATCGAAAACTACTAATTCCAGCGTTTAAAGGAATTTCTCCGGAGTCGAAGCAAAATAACGAAAGTATGCTAATTTGAAGATTATTATTCAAGAACCGACCTCACACTTGACTCGGTTAAAATAAAACGTACCTACAATGCATTCTTCTGCGGACCAGCGGCCGTAAAATTATTTAAAAGAGATGAGTACTTAATGATCCTTCCGAAGAAATTGAAGTATTTACATACCTAAATCTTCTATACTCATAAAAAATAGAAAAATCTATTAATGGTGTAATTAAAAAGTTTAATTTACATGACATGCCAATTATCGCATGAATAATTTGTTGGTTCACGAGCTTCTGAAATCATGCGATTTGAATTTCTATTCCTACTGTTTTACAGTAGTTTTTATAAATTAATTTAAACTATAAATAATTGTGCATTAATATTACTGTTATTCGTACAATAAAAAATTACGTTCAACTCATAACAAAAACTAATTACCCCAAATCTTCGTAGATAATTGACTAAAATACTCACATTCAAATAAATTTTCGACAATTCCTCGTATAACGAATAAGATTATGCAAACATACGAGTATAAGTAGGTCCAGCATTTCAATTTTTATTTATTACATTCCTTCAGGCAACATCAGATATTTATACATCAAAGTAACTAATATTCAAGCTTTTTTATTCAGAATATATAATTATATTGCTAATAGCTCTCTATATTTTAGCTTTAAGCGTCCCTTAAGCTTTAGGAGATGTTCCAAAAAAACCATCACTGTAATTGATTACTATTCGAAAGTACAATAAGCCACACAGAAAGCGAACAATTAAAATCTACCAAAACACTAGGTCATCAGCAACAAAGCCTGGGAAGTGTTTGTGGGAAGTGGCACTATCGAATTATAACTATAATGCGATGAATTCTATAGTTTCCTACTGTTCTAAACAAAGGTATTTGTAAAACCGAAGAAAATTTGCCGATATTATTTTCTATTTCAAGATTACTAATTCAGTTTCCCTGGTATCAAAAAACTGGTACATATAAAACAAACTTAATAGGAAATGACGATGACATAATTTGATAAAATAATGGACGCGACTGAAAGAGAATATATTTGCTTGTAAATTGATTTGTTTTTCCAACCAGAAATCTTGTGAGTTACACAGATATAACTGATATGATCGTGGATGTACGGACATGTGCAAATACCTAACTGTAAATATTTTTAAAAATTTAATGGGTATGGCACATACTTTTCGAGGCCTCGGACTATCATTATGTTTTTAGCTTTCACTAAATATTTTTTTATATATGTATAATTAATTGTCCTGTTCCTATATGTTTAAAATCAATCGCCGGAGGGAAGTTCGGTTTTGGCGAAAAATGGCAATTTCTTGAAATCATTAAATATGATAAATTTACATCTAAAATATTTGCTCATTAAAAATAGATACTTTTATTTAAGTACATATCTACATATATTTGAAAATTTATAATTGCAAACCGAATAAAAAATAGTCCTGTAAAATATTTAATTAAACGAATCATTTAATTTAATTATCTCATAAAACTTTCTTAATAACTGGATGAGTAAGTTTATGTTCAAAATTAATAATATTCCTTAAGAGCATTCCTATTTGTCTACTTAAGTTTATAAGAAGCATGAATAAACATCACAAATAATTAAAGAATAAACGCTTTTTTTATATACTTTCTACAAACAACAATATTGCATCCGCGATATTTATGTCGCCTTACATACGCCAAAGAAATTGTTTCTCTATTCCTTTGTGAAATACTTATTTAAAATTATAATCTGTCGAGATGTAAATGTAGCACCTTCTCCTACTACTATTTGGACTTAATTCAACAACCTATTCCAATGGACATCGTGACCTGATAAGTAACGGAAAAACTAGTCAAATTAACGTATTCGTAATTTAAATATTTTAATAAATTAATTTCATTAACTTTTAAATATACGCCCGTATAATTCGTCTCGATATACCGCCGTTCGGCTCGTCGGACCTGTGATGGCTGTAGCCTTCTTCTTCGTCGAATGAGGTCGAGTGCGTATGAGACTCGCTGTATTTGGGTTGCTTTATTATCTCAAACGTGGTTTGCTCTTTATTGCCGTTGACCAACTTCTTCAATCCCAATATAGCGGTGAGCAGCAGGGCCATCTTGCCCATAATGATCGCCAGGCCCGACATTACTGCTATACCTTGGTAAGCTATCGCCAGGAAGGTTCCTTTTATCGCCAAAGCCCAGTACAAAGCGGCGTTTCCTCCTCCTCCTTGCCCTTTCTTTTTTCTAGCTTCTTCTTGTTGGTCGCTTAATATTTTTGGAACTTTTATTTCTAATTGATGCGTTTTCATAAATCTACAAAAATTGCGTAAGTAAACAATACTATAGGTATAAACAAAAAACCTACCTATCTGTAGTATTTTCAAGCATATCATCCAATTGATCAGAATTCAGATTTTCCAGTTTGGATTCATTAAGGTTCAATCCATTCTCGACATTCCGGCCTTCTCTTCTCTTGGTAACCAAACTAACCCCTTCGAAAATATTCATATTTTTGATTCTAACGGCTCTATCGACCACTTTGATGGCCTGGATTTTGAAGCACTTGAACATTTCATCTTTATTGGAGCACTGGTCCAGGATCCTTTCGAACATTCGCAGGCTGCTCGGCTCGATTGTAGATATGAACGTTAGCGAGACAACGAGTAATTGCGGTTTGAAAAACATCGCTGCGTCGGGAAGACTAACCAGAAATCGCGGGAAGAATTCCGTTTTATCCTACGAGGCTTCCGTGCACGTTTCAGAGCGTACTAAACGAATTTCTTCATATCATTAAAGAAAAACTTCACGCGATCGTCGATTTCGATGCAAAAATCAAGGAAAGAAAAATGATTATTTGGGTTATGTGTGGTTAATCTAGAACACGCTAATGAACGAATGATCCGATCGTTAATAGGCGATTTTATTCGTCGACGTGCTTTGGTATAATTGCGTTTAAAGAAAATTGGTTGAATAATTGGACAAGGTTCGTTGAAATATTTTTTATGTCCGGTAAAAGCGAAAGATGTAGGGGAAAATAAATGCTGGAAAATTTAGTAGTATTTTTATAATGTCGAGGAAAATATTTATTGCATTTCAATTGTGTGCAATATGTTATTTGTGATGAATTGCCGGCACCGTAAGTATGTTAATCCGTGCATTATCATTCGAAACGCGGCCGTTTAATTAAAGAGTGTTAGTAAAACACGGTGCTGCATGTCTTTGATTCTCATTTAGACAATGTACTTAAATATCCGTGAAACTTTTTACCATTAAATAAAAACTCGGTTTCGCATTGTTCAATGCATCTAATGCCTAATTTTGAATACAAATAGTTTTTCTATACAAGGAATCGTAATGCCCCTCTCATCCAAATTCACTTTATGTATAGATGCTCATGGTCTTAATATTTGCAATATAAATTAGTTGTTATTAGAAACCAAAAAAAATGGTCGAAACGAAAGTGAGTCGTCGTGAGTACGAGTAAATAAAATTCATTCATTTGCCATGGCGACCTAAACACACAAACGCCGAAAGAAAATGGGACGTCGGCATCACGATAAAACACAGATCTCCAGCGAGAAGTGAAAGTTATGAAGTCTGTGAGAAATCAGCGACCCAGAGAGCAACAAACGTACTGTTTAAAAGCGCTGGTAACCATCGGAAGCGCACTAACCGCCATCGACATCGATAAGGCAATGCCGCGGTCAAGATCAAAGAACTTGAACTCGACGAGCTGCGTGCTCTTCGTCAGGTTGTGCTCTTCCCTTCGTTGCCAATTCTCTCTGAACAAATTTAACTACCAAATTGTAATCAGAACTCCATAATCTTAATTAAATTTCATCGCATCAATACCCAGCGCAAAGATTCTTCCCTCTATCTTTATAGGGCCTTGTAACTGATCATCTTTACTATTTCTACATCTTCTGTAGGAACTTTACTTTAAAACTAGTACGAACAAAGCGATAATTTATGTTTAATTTATTATTGAAATGTATTCAAAAATTTAAATGAAAATATGTACCCCAATTCAATACAAATTTCGGTAACGGTAAAGATAGTAGGTCGCCGTTTAAAAAACTAAATAGGATACATTAATATGTAAGCGTTCTTGATAAAGATTTTAACTGGCCTGGAAGTCGGCAAGCGAAATCTACCCCGCGGCGCGACTTTTTTGGGCACGGTCCTGTTTTGTTGCACAACAATTATTAATACGACCCGCTCGTAACAGGAAAGTCGTTACGGTTTGTAGAAAGTGCTTTTGCTGCGGCATGTTAAATTCTTGCAGGGTTAACTCATCGGCTTGTACGAAAATGCTTTCGGTGAATCAGCCATCGTTTTTTGTCTCGTAATAGGTCTACTTTTATTTGCTGCGGATGTCCTGCTGGTGTTGACCATACAAGCAACGCAGGATTTAGTTGAAATGAAGTGCTGACCTACAGAAATCAAGAAACTATAAAATAAGCGAATACATATTGGGTTTATAACAGAAATCTAAGAAGAAAAGTTGCAGGATGAAGTGGATAATAAATTGATATAGCTGCGAAAACAGTAATCGTATTTTAATGTACTTTTAATACATATTTTAACTTTAAATTAAACTTTTATTGAATCTAAATAAATCAATCGAAATACTTTATCACATTTGTATTACAAAAATTAAAACGGGAATACATAAGAAATTCTATAAATGCTCAAGTAATTAGTAACAAACCTATACAAAAACTATTCTAATGATTGTGAACTCTGTTAATCTAGGTAATTAAATACTTTACATATTAGCGACAGTTAGTAATATAAATTAATAATAAAAATTAAAATGCATAGATTAATATGTACAGGAGTTTTTAATCGACTTCTACCATGTTTTCGTAGTTTTCCTGAAATAGAAAAACCCGTCGTCATCTGCAACAAAAATCAAATGTTAATTCAAATCTGCACAAACTAACAAATTTTCTGCCGATATATTAGAATTAATGATCCTTTATATTATTAGAACTGATATTTACCAATTTATTTAAAAGAAAAAATAGATTCCAATTGCGAAAAAATTGGATAAATCTAAAATAATTCAAAAATTCTTATTGTTTACAATTCGAACCGTTTTAATTGCTATTCCGACTTAGCCGAAGAAGGAAAAACAAGAAACTTAACTTTCCTACAATAGCTGTTCAACAACAAACGACTTAAGAAAGCTTTTAGAAGAGAAAACTGACATTAGTAACCTGTAAAAACAACGAAACAGAAAGTCGGTGCTAAACTGTTACAAATTTCCCTACTTTTCATCGTTTTTTTTTTCTTCTAATTAAATAAAATTTGTTGATCTAATTTCAACTAAACTACGCACCTTTTAACAAAAAAAATCTATATTTCGCCTAATTATTTTATGTGTCGATTATGAAAAAAATATAAAATACAAGCTGAGATTTGTAAAATAAGAATGAATGTATTAAACTTGAGTGTTTTAAAATTGAATGAAATGTGCAGAAAATAGAAACTCTACGATCTAACTCTACTTCCTACAATTAACAATAAGAAATCCGGATCAATTGAAGTAAAAGTTAAGAAATAAAAAGTTACTAAACCTATTCCATGCTCATACTTTATAAACCTGAACCATTATCTGATGAGGCAGTCCACTGGCCTTTGTAGATAATATTATGCGGATCTTCCAGACTCCTATGCCATCCTCCGCCGCCTCCGTATCCCCCGCCTCCGTGGCTGTGTCCCGAATCCGCGTAAACGATATGCTTCTCTTCGCCGCCGCCGCCTCCTTTCTCCTGCATCTTCTTAGCCAGCATAATCATCGAGAGCACGAGCGAAATCTTCGCAATCATCAACGCTGATCCCGCCATCATCGCCATCTTGCCCATCACCATGTTCACCATCATTGCTCCCATGCCCACCATTACCATCATCGCCGTGTTGCCGCCTTTTTTCCCGCCGCCGCCTCCGCCGCCTCCTTTCCTTCCTACGAAAACAGAAAAATTCTATTTGAAGTAAATTTTTATTTTATGAAAGTTTTGTGAAGTGTTATTATAGGCGTTTTACCTTCGAATGCGTTGGATAAATTGAGTTTGACTGTTCGCGATTTGAAAAATTCCTCTATTTTATCCATAAGAACGTCGCCTAGTCTCAAACTTCGTTCTTGTTCAGCAACTGGTAGCTCATCGTATTGAGTTTCGTTGATGAAGTAATCCGGATTTCTTTGTATTTCGAATACGCCCAAGATCATGGGTCTATCGTCGAAGATGGTTTCGTTTAAGGCATCCAAGGCTCTCTCCTTGAGGCATACTCCAGGGTTTTTCTGGTAGAAGCAATTCCTGTAGGTGTACAAGCCTTTCCAAAAATCGGTCACGTTCTGGGATCTGCCGGCTTTTTGCAGGGATAGTATTAACAATAAACTAACCACACTAAACTGCATCTTGGATGCAACGATGAACTGACTAAAAAAATCTTTAGCTGGAGCTGAACTTTATACTATTACGTATACAGCAGAGCGTGTCTTTTTAACTGATCATTAATCGGCTCGCGAATTTTTTTAACTATAAGTTAAATCAATTACAACTATAATTTCGCTGTGGAATTATTTCGTAGGCTTAAGTAATAATGTAGTTTTATAAAAGTTAATGGCTAATTTCATGGTCTAAATAGAAGATGAATCTAAGCCAGTGCAGCACAGTGCAACATTACCTCAGATCAGATAACTGTTTTGTGCATATAGTATAAAGATGCATTAACCTATTTAGCTTTAATATTACTAAAAAATATATCTATAGAATTAAAGAGATATTAAGCTTTATAAAATATGTATTTTTTCTACTATAAGCGAATACATTCAAATAAAGAATTAGATTTTATTTCCGGATGGTAGGTAATCGGAATTTTTAATGCTTCGTTTAGTGGTTTTTAAAAGCGACGTAAAATCGAAACGTCAATGTTTAAATAAAAATTAAGCGCTATCGGTGCGCATTGACCTACTCATTCGGAAAGCCTTAGGGTCATAGATATGCTATAAGTAAACTGTTAAAAATTTCTCCTAGGCCGAAGATCGCACCCATGGAAGAGTGTCGATATTCACATAACCTAAATTCTTAGATACGTGATGCTCTCATGTAGAATTGAATAAGAATCCAATCCATAATGTTCAATTCGCAGATATGCATACATTAGAGGTATTGAGCTTTAAAGATTTTACAAATATCTAAAATTTATCGATTTATTAAAAACTGTCTTACATTTATTCAAACGTTTCTTATTAATAATACTGATGGAAGATTTAACGTTAGTGTAAATAGGATAAAAAATGCCGGTGCATGTAATTCTAGTAATAATGTACAACATTTTGTAATTACTAATCTGTTGTTTTTATGCTCTGAATTGTTGCATCCACCGTTAGTTCTAGATCTCGTTCGTATGAAAGTGAACGCTTTAAGAGTTTTAATAATTACCCACGAATTGCGAATAGACATCATTTAAGTTCAAATTAAAATGCGTAAAATGAACAATATACTATTTCAATTTGAATATTCTACTTAATATACCTGCTCATTATTATTTAAAACAATTCTTCTTGATTTTCTATAATTACCCAACTCACTTTTAAATATCTCACTGTAGAGATACAATAATGTAATGTATTTAAACTTATACTAATTTAGTATATTTTCGGCGCGATTCTAAATCATTCTACTAATAAAATTAACTGCTAAACAAATTTAAGTCGGTTTGACATTTTTATTTGTCTCATTTTCACTCCATGCGAAATTTCTTCCTTTCTTCTGTTGCAATCGTTCTGCGTTTCCAATAGATTCAACTACATTAGGATAGACATTAAGTTGGTCCCTCCCGTTGGTTTCTCTAAGTATAGAATCGGAATAATCATCTTCCTCTGCCGAATACCTAAAATAATTAAATAATCAATTCCCATCAAAAGTCCTATACCTCTATGAACCTACTTGAATCCATGAACTCCGTGCCCGGCATGTCCAAAATGACCCCCGTGGATTCCCCCGTGTATTCCGTGATGGCCTCCGTGTCCAATGTGACCATATTGCCCATAATGCCCGTTACCATAATGTTGACTTGGGTAGTTTTGACTATAACCAAATAGCAGAGAACCCAACGCAAACGCACTAGAAACAACCAGAGCTAGTTTGCTCAATACAACAGCTTTCTTTGCTATCAAAGCAAGCACTCCGAACAAGATGGGAACGAGGCTTATTACGTTGAATTTGAAGCCTAAAAGCATGGGTAGCAGGAATTGCCTTGCTAAAAGTCTTCCTGCAACAAATTATAATATGTATAGTTCATTCATTTTCATCTAACAAAGCGGTTGAAATGTGGTACGGTATTTTTTCATTTATTTAAACCGACATCTACCGCTCCTACATTGAACTTGATCTTGAAAGAACTTTCACAACGTGATAAAGCTGTAATATACTGCTTTCTTTTCAATTCTCAATGGTAGATGTGGTTGGCCGCAATTATCGTCACGGAACAGTTCCTTTCAGTTCATAAAATACTCTAGAATGAATTTCTCGCTGTCGCCATCTACTAAAAGAACGAGAATTCCTGCTTACCAGTTCCTGCTTCTTTCAGTGAATGTACATTGATCGCTTCTCGGTGAGGGTCAAGAACAAACTCCAAGGTCCCGCCAGGTTGACCAGATGGAGCTACGTGCATCGCAAGACCGGGATATATGAATCCCATGTTCCATTTTAAGTTTCTTTTTGAAAACACGTAGTTCATACTATCAAATATGCCTCTGTTGCAACAAAAAAAATAGTGATTAAAAAATCGATTAGGAAGCGAAGATAAATAATTAATGGTATATCGTTGGAATTAGTTCTAGACATGAACAAATTAGGAGTGCGATTTATTATGGTTTTTGTAGAAATCGTCATTGAAATTAGATGGTTCAATGAGATATTCCCCAACAACTTCATTAAAAGTTGATTAAAAGGTACAGTTATAAAAAGTTTAGTTACTAAACGATGCTGATGTTGGTATGAAAAGATTTAACTTTAGTTCTTACTAGTAACTAAGAGTAAGAAATATTGATTGTGAATAATATTTTCTTAATTTTCATATTGACTTATAAATATATTTTAACACACTCGTACATAATTTAGGTTGGAATACATTATTTCGAACTAAGTGAAAGTTACATTGGCTTCTTTAACGCTTTAATGAAACAGTTACTGTAAAGGGCTTCGTCCAATTTGTAAAACTTCTGTTGTACATGAACTTTGTCTTTACCCAGGGGCTATCCCTTGAAATTAATTCCCTACCAGTTTTTGCGACGAGCTTCACCCGTTGATTAGACTACGCATAAAATTTCAAGCACAAAATTCAATAACAAAATAGCTAAAGTTATCGACTGCGTCAGGTAATTAATTTCCCGGCTCGGATATAAAGTGAACGAATGTAAATAAAAACAAAAATCCCCCTTGTTCAAACCTACCCACGCTCAACGCAATTAATTGGACGAACAAAACAAAATAATTACCTTAAGTTCGAAGGATCCCTGTCCTGAAAATTATAGGCGTCCCTGAATTCTTGCACGTCTCTTGTCAGCATCAAACCGTCGACAAGTTCGAATTCCGGGCTATTGTCCAAACTTTGTAATCTATCAATAGCACCGACGCCCAAACAATGTCCCAAGTTAGCCGGCATTTGGGACAACAAGCATTGTCTGAAGGTGTCGTCGATGGACGCGTTATTGGTGCACAAAACGGGAAGGATGGCCTGGAGGAGCGCGAACGCGAACCCGAGGAGCATTTTGGAAATTGTGAACTTGGCGTCGTTCCCGATATTGTTTTATATACTCGATGTGTTTCAGTAATTCCGAAGTTTCAGTGAAAGTGCTCTGGTAATGATGTGTTTTCAGACTTGTTACGTCTATTGTGTCGCTGGGAACGTTGTTTGTGCTCGTTCAACGGGTGTTTCGTTACGTAAAATGAGCTCGAATTAGAACTAATTTCGTTTCTTTTGCCTGCGATGATTCTTCGAAGATACGCTTAATAAGTGTAAATTACTTGCTATACAAAGCATGACTGATGTTGAGATTATGGTGACAATTACGAATATAATTTATATACGTTTAGGAGAAGACACGCAAAAGTTGAAATTTTTAATTCGAAAACACGACACAATCAAGTGAAAATATTTTTATTTTGCGCAAGACCACCCACGAGAAGTAAGCAGCGGCTCCGATTGCAGGATGCCAGCGACGAGTTTGATTACTTTTATTGAACTTTCGCCGTACTTCCTTTTTACCAGACTCCGCATAGTTCCTGTTAAATTTGCGAGATTGCAATTTCAGATACGTCGCGGAAAATCGTCGATGTTCATACGGTGGGGTGGGAGGATATCACAACGATATCACAACAGAATTGCTGAATGTAACGATTCTATTGTTGTTTTCTTTGTTGGAGGAATTGATATGAAATTCGATATTTATTTAAAGGGTTATTGACATTTTTACGTTAATGCCTGCATTCGAAAATTATTAATAATTTGTTTATCTACATATTCTAGGATAATCCTATAGGTATTGTTGAGTTTGGTTAAATATTGAATTATCTGCATATGTACTATTCTAATTACTCTTACGTAAATACACAATTCCCTGTAATTTTCATGAAAAGCCACTGATGTATTGCCACTCAGCCAAATTCATGTTTGTCTCTATTATACTACTGAATAATTCAACAAAGGATTGACTTTATCCTTAGGGCATGCAATGGATAGTTTGATACTCCACCATGATAAGTTAAATATGTATACAGTATTTATTTACTCTTAGGAAAAATTTTGCTTCGGCTATATCAAAATATTATCCGAGTCAGATATAACCACGGGATTTATTTTGATCCGGAGGATCATTTTGTGAACGAGTAATTTATTTTTAAATTCAAATTGAAAAATAAATGGCTATAAAATTATAATTTTTATTAAAATGTTTTCCCTGTACCAGTAAATATTACAACAATACGTAATACAAAAATTAGTAGTTTAAAAAATTAAAAATACATAATGAAATAAAAATCGAGATCTATAAAATATTGCACAAAATGTAGCATAATTAGATACATGTTCCCAAGAAATTAATGTACCACTAAAAATATTTAAATCACCCGAAAATTTTTAATAGTTTTATATTTAAAGAACAAAATTACTTTTCAATGCTAAATTAATTTCCTAGGGTAGTGTATTTAAAATTACCAACCCCATAAATATAATCTGAAACGATTACTTCAAAAGAAACACCACAAATTTTTAATCTACCTCTTTAATAAAATTAATAACTAAAGTTAGAAAAAGTTGCTTCAAGAACTGTCTAAGTATCACTTAATTGATGCCCATGATGATACTATAAATGTTAATAAAGTTTATAAATTTTCTGACTAGAAATACTTCTACTTATTTGAAATTCCATCACTTACCGATTAATGATTAAACGGAATTAATAAATAAATTACCTAAATATAACAATTATAACGAATAATTTCGTTTAATTTCACGAAATTGTGAACAAGCAAATCCCAGACTAAAATTTAGTTCATATCTTACTTTGATAATATGGAGTAAAATTATTACAAATAATATTGCACTTATAATAATAAAAAGTAGTAAGTTGGCAACACTATGTAAAATATAGTTAATCCTTAAAAAAATAAATAAAGTAGTTGATTAACAACTTTTAGAAACTTTTAATTACTACTTCTCCCACCTAAAGCATTATAGGACCTATAAGCGAAATCCTGCGGGTTAAAACTATTGAACGATCTATCGAAATGCCCGTGCTCCTCGTAATGCGGATGAGCCACGACTTCGTAAGTCGACGTGTGATGTTTCGATTCGAGCAACTTTTTCAAAGCGATTATACTGGCAATCGTAAACGCTATCTTAGCAATTACCAAAGCCTTGAAAGCTATCAAACCAATCAACTTCAAAGCTATGGCTCCGATGGTCGCAGCCTTGAGCTGCAGCAAGAGTAGCATCGTCTTCATCCTCATTCCGCCACCGCCGCCTTTTTTCTTCCGAGCTAAAAAAAAGTTTAAGCGTGAAATAAAATAACCTGGAATTGAGAAAAATTAATGACGAAAAACAGTATCAAGTACCTTCTTCGACCGGCTTTCCCAACAAATCGTTAATGGCCTCGTCGGGTATCTTGAACTCGAACGTGTGCGTTCTCATGAAGTTAACGACGCTCTCCCACAGCATATTCTCGACGGCTTCCTCCCTGGCCCGCAAATCGCTCGGCAAGTCGACCGTCTGTCTGGAGTTCCTTTCCGCTCGGTTACCCCGTATCTTTAAACCCCCGCCCAGATCCATGTTGGTGGGCATGTTGTCCAAGTATCTGAGAGCGCGCTCCTGGAAATTAGCAAGGCAATTTGAGTGAATGCTGCTTGTTTGGGATTCGGTTTCAATTTAGTGTAGTTAAAACAACGTTTTAGTAGCTTCGAATTGCTTATATAGCTTGTACAAAACGAATATTCCGGATAATTTCGACGTATATTACATCTTCTAATTATATCATTGTAAACATTGCAATGTTAGGTACTACAAACCTAAATATGCATGCTATACACCGTTGGGTAATAACGTGAGTTTAAAATAAAAATACCGCGCCAATTGCATACGCAACAATTTCATATAAATTGCATAAAAGTGGTAACGATGAGATCCGGCGGCTATCTTACTGTTCTTGGAACGTTTAACGGTTACACTTACAATATGTTATGCTCTCGCGAAAAATGTCGCGATTCCAGTTAGAGCTTTCGAAGTCAATAGGACGGACGCCGAAGGCTTTGGACTGTACCATATGCCTTGTAAAGAAGTAGCAGGAAATTACCTTTTATAAAGTTACTGTTAAGAATGGGTTTTGTATGTAGTTGATACGAGGGCGATATTAGCTTTAATATTTGTAGACCCTGCAGCTGCAGCAGGATGGGACGTCAAGATCAGGTTTTGTGATTTTGTATTGTACGACTAAAGTTTACCGGTTGTAATTAAAATCGATCTGATTGTGTTTTCTTCGCTTAGAAGTAATTCATCTCCGTTCTTTTGATGTGGTTTTTGAATAAAAACGGAAATTGGAAACTAGAGCGAGCCTAAATATAATTAATCGGCTATTATTTCGGTAAATTGAGTAGTAATATAAAAGTTTTTTTTGAGGTTTCAATTAATTTTTGGCGAGATATTTTATAGAAATACAGAAAAATAGGATTACGTAGTAGGGTAGGGCGGGGCTAGTTGAGCAACTTTTCACTTTAGCGGATATAGCTCATCAATGATATGTGTGAATGACTTGTTATGTGGCTTGATGGATTAGTAATTTATCCCTTAACAAAAGTGTCCATAGTAACTTTTTTGTAACTAGTTGAATTTAAGAGCTACAGCTGTTTAAATGCAGAAAGTCAAGTATGCTCAATGTACCCCATAGGTGAGGTAAGTTGAGCAACGGTATGTTTACATATAGGATATGTTTATTTTTATAATCATCTCTTTATTTATTATTGATTTAATGACAAAACAATAAAACTTAAAGTAATTTACGAGCTTTCTGTTTAAAATCAGAATTAAATAGCTTAAAAAAATATTAATAATATATTAGCAAGTTTTGGTCGTTGTTACTGTTGCAATTAATACAAATGAAAGTAAGACCATAGCACCTGGAAGACATTTTATTTGTGCCCATTCCCTGCAAGCTTGGCAGTGAATCCAACTTTCTCCTGGTAAATTTCGCAGTAGTTGCTCAACTAACCCCAACCCGCAATTTTAAAATAAAAGTGAGGTCATAAAGAAATCGTAAGAATTATAACCAGAACATCTCTACATAACAAAAGTACAATAATTTTCTGGAATATTAACCCTTACCCCATTGAAAACGGATAATATTTGACTAATACAGACGAAAACTTGCGATAGACGACGTTTTTACTTTTTGGTCACAAAAAAAACAAAACGCACGGGGGCTTTACTCGCTTGTCGAGGCGCCACTTGCAATAGCTCTGTGATTAGGTCTCCCCCGACCCCTTCTTTCCGCCATAAGATGTTTATGCGTACGGTGAATAGTTTGCGAGATATTTCGATTGCACAACTTACCCGTATGCTCAACTAGCCCCGCCCTACCCTAGTCACATTTGCTCTTTTTTGTACGATCATATGTGATAATTTACCATCGAAGTGAAAATTCTTTCAATGTGTCCATTCGACAAAAAACTTCTACATCAAAAAATTCAATTTCGTGAAGCATATTTTAGTAGCAACTTTTTTCAAATATTAGCGTACTATCTACCAACAATTTAAATTAAATAATAAAAAAATGCTTACCTTAACACACAAACCGAGCTCCCTGCCACCGCAACCTCGAACAAATTCCAACGCGTCCTTATACACCAGAATATCCCACCAAAATTCCTTATCTTCCTCCGCCCGACCTAATCCCACAATGCAAACCAACACAATTACCCCTAAATGCTTCATGTCTTCAACGGTAATGATTCGCACGTGGATGCGATTCGCAATGCACTGTGTGCAAATATCGCGGACGTCCCGGTTTTATCACAGCCCAGGATCTTGATTACAAACATTTAAAAAATCTATGCTGAGTCGCTTAACGGCTTCGCAGCCGTCAAATTGCAGTTTGCAGTGACCTGGATGGTCGACTTGCTGTGTAGGTGATTACGCACATATGAGACATTTTTTTTGGTTAGATTTGACGATTCTATAGTGACTTAATAGCTAATTAAAATTGGAAAAAACTGTATTAAATTTAACAACAGCAGGTAGGTATTTTAACGGGTTTTCTTCTTAAAAAATTGCCACAATAATAATTACCACAAATTTGGAGTAAGGTTTCTTGTACCCATATCTTTCTAAAGATTACTGTATCAATTATGAACGCGACGAATTTGTTATACTGTTAAATTCGTCGCTTTCACGTCCAAAATTTCTTAATGAGATAACCCAAATGTTTTTTTAGATGTTCTAGTTGATTTAAGGAGTTTTAACGACGCAATTTTTAAGTTTTAATTAGATAAACAGAGAAGCAAGCAGTTTAGGAGTCATAAATTTTAGAAAGGATCAATATCGGTCCACCAGTAAGGACTTGACTTGGACTAAAATTAGAGTAAGAAATGTCCATATTCTGATGAAAAGGGCTTTGCAAGGTAGGCAATTTGGAAAACATTAAATTTTCCATGGAATTCGTTTGAAAAAGATACTACATAGAGAAATTCCGTACCTACTTTAAATGTACAGAGGAACATTATTGTTCTTATTATTTTATGTTTCTTAGAGTTTAAAGAATTCTAATTTCAAACATGGCTTACTGATGATTTATTTCTGTATCTTGTTTGTAAACTTATATTGTAATTTTCTGTTGTTCCTAAATTGAAACAAAATTGTATATAAAATATTCCAATTACTTTTGCGGGAGAATGAGAGCATACGAATAAATGTGCAGTTATTTTGCATGAAGATATAGGCAATATGAATGGCTAGTGGTATTTAATTTTATGGGAACTGGGTAATATAGTTTAAGAAAAATTAATACTTAAGTATTTTCCTCAATTTGTTCTGCGGATAAACGTGCGAATTTTTGTTGAATGTATACTACTATTATCCCAATTGTAGTTACTAGAATGCATAAATTCATGCATATTTTGATTTAAATAATCATTTGTATGAACTGAATTGACATACATATTTATTAATTTTAAAAACAAATTTTATTTGTCAAAAAACAATTAAAATTTCATTAACATTGACATGGAATAAATTTCAAACATTTCGAAAATGCACAAACGTTTTTTGTCGGTTTTAATATCACATATGTATGTCTGTATCTGTCGGTAGTAATTCGACCGTAAATTTTAATACCGTTGTAAACTTTGGTATATTTTCATAAAATTTTTCTTAATTTGTACATTTAACGGCTGCCTTTCACCTTACACTGGCTAAATAGTGCAGCGAAATGCTAATTATCAATCGAAATGCATCATTACTAAACGTCGCACGCGATAAAATTGAACTTGTTAGTGCATATCAATTTTATACCGATCACGAAAAGCCATTTATGTATTTACTTACAGACGCACTGGTTTACTTTTTTTAGAGGCCAAGTTCTAGGATTCGTTTGCGATTATTTGGCATTTCTAGTTTTTTCTTTAATTGCTTTTAACTCCCATTGAGTTGATTTTTACTCCCATTAATTCAACTGGTTAGATTGTTAGATCACAATTAGTACAGGAAAAAAACAGTATTTTACAAAATGTTTATTACTAAAATTAAAGTCTTCAAAAATGAGCTCGTGAATAAATTAAAATAAATAAATATTAGAATTAATCAAGTAGAGGTTAATTATCTGGATTTGGCAGCGTACGCCGAATACGCCAAATTCTGGGCATCTTCCTTTGCGTCCTTAGCGTACGATCTTCCCCATCCTGAGTGTCCTGCACTGTAAACTTCGACGTGTCCTGCATCGTGACCTCCGCCGCCAGATAGCAACTTCTTCAATCCTATGATACCAGCGAGTACCAAAGCCAGTTTCGATACGATCAGAGCTTTTCCTGCTAGCAAAGCCAAAGCTCCCAATGCCAGAGGTATCAGAGTACCGCCAAGAATGAGGGGAAGAAGCAGCATACCTCCACCTCGGTTTTTCTTTTTACCACGAGCTTCATCTAGCGATCGAGCGGAATCCAAAGAACTGGGAAGTTTAATCTACGCAAAAAAATATGTTGTAAAGAATCCTGATTTATGGGAAATGTTGTAGTAAAAATTTACCTGTAGCGTGTGGGATCCTAAAAAGTTAGAAACCCTGTCAGTGATGATGTTATCCAAAGCGGTCTCTTTATCCTCCAACGATCGAGGTAGAGTGGATTCCAATTCTGCTTCGGTTTTGACTTCTGCGGCGGGCGCTTGGGCCTGAGGGTCCTTGACGAATTTAATCCCTTCGAATATCGGCAGCTCGGAGTAGGACCTGGCGGCGCGGTCCAGGGCCGATATCAGCTTGATTTTCAAGCAGGACATCGTGTCGGAGGCGGCGCATTCCTGATACACTTTGTACATATACCGCAAATCACTAACTAAGGTATTGCCGTCGCTCCTCGGCGCCTCGTGGAGCGAGTTCTGCGCGGACGGGCCGGCGGTGCGAGCGAGCGCCGCATGGGCGACGATAAGAAGAGCGATACACTTCGAAATCATGGTGCTCGAAAAACTGGTACGGATTCACTTACACTAGTTTACTTTTATAGGTGAGGTTGCTTCCCACTGAGCCGCGGGATTTTGGTACCCCTCTTAGTCGATTTTGGTCGACGAAGCGTGGTCCCTGCCCCCCGGTCGCCAAGGAATCTTCGTGTGTGTGCCGGTGCATCGGTCACGATGACCAGGTCCGGTTGGCCCTAGGAAAAATTTTCATCGTAAACAATAATCAGTATAATGTTCATTCACGTGCTTTGACAGGTATACACGTGTATGGTGTATGTTCGTTAATCGATTTGTTTTAATAAAATTGGAAGACTTTAGAAATTTTTCCAAAAGAAATTTAGATAATTTATTTTTTACTCGTTTTAGATTTTTTATGCGTCAAGAAAATTGTATCAAATCTATTTATTTAAAACAGCAAATTGTAGCTATGTTATGAATTGCTTGTATTGAATTGATGGTAGCTATGAATAAAATTGCTGGTTTACAAAATAAATTTATTACAACTCTAGTACTATTTTCTTGGGCGAAAAAATTGGATAATAAATCAAAAATAGACTTTACTTAATCAACTACAAATACCTTCTTTATAGCCGGTTGATGAATAGGATCGTAAGTAAGGATTTTATTTAAAGCCCTGTGATTTGTTCCGCGTCTCGAATAATACTTAAGTCCTTTTAAAATTATCCAATTTTTTATTTTATAAAATTGAGCGATTTATTCTGTAAATTCTACAGCAATCGCAGCCCAAATTTAAATTAATATTCAAGACATTCAGGTCTTAATTGTCAAATTAATTAGCGGCGGAATAAATTTTCTTGTGCACTTAGTAAATATTTGAGTTTTTAAAATCATAAATTCCTATCCTGCATATCGACATCCTTCGCATTGACCAAAAGAAAACAATCATTTCTATGCGCTCATCGTTCGTAAGTACTTTACGTCCAATGTAAATTATTGAAAATCCGATCACGACACGCGTATGAAAACACTTTTGACGCTCAAGTAGAGCGGATCCTGTTTTTCATTTTATGCCAATTTTAATTCTTCGCGGTTTCGTGGGACTTATCGGCCTGATGATGTATTTATTAGTAAAAGTAGACCTCGATTCGTATTTACGTTTTAACGATGTAAACAAACGAATTACTCTAACATTGACAGTTGGATTTATAACGACTTTTTTGGTGGTATTAATTTAATTGTGATTAGATTTTTTTACTGATCTACTTTAGGTTTAAATAGAATTTGTTAAAATGATAAATAAAGTAAGTCAATTTTACTTACTACCTACCTATTTATTGATATCCTATTATAATGCAAACTTTATTATATAATCAGCGAGGAATTCATAATGAATGAACGTAAGATGATGTTAGACGTTTGCATATGAATAATGAATATATTATTATCACTATAAATACTTTCACTATGTTTCCTCTTACAGTAGAAATATTTAATGCGAGTATAAACTGCACGGCTATCCATAAATAGTGAATTATTTCACACTAGTTATTATCGAAAAACGATTACATATTAATTCAACTATAATAGGACAGAAAAAATGGAAATCAAAGAGGAGCGTGTGGGGCATAAACCGGCCATTCACATTGAACATTATATTACCTATATTACACGCGCACGGGCGCATTCAGAAATAGAAAAGTAGGTGAAGGTTCAGGAAACGTGGGAACCGAAGAGTTGACGATGTGAACGACCCAACAGGGAGAATCCTCCGCTGTTAATACAGCGCCGGTTTGGCCGTGAACAGGTGACCAAGTAACCATCAAGTTGTGACCCCGAACCATCTTTCGAAGTATATAATAAACGTAGGTATTGAAACCTTGCAACGAATGGAAGATGCATCGCAGGAGGAACATAATATTTAGAAATATTATGCCATAAACCGAATATTTATCCGCAATTTATGAATTTTTAAACTAATTATTGGGCATTAAATTTACTTAAGAAGAGAGAGTCTTAAAACATAAGTATTCACTTTAAGTTGGTATGATTTTTGCGTCAACGCAAATTGTTAGAAACTTTTATTTTTCTACAATTAATTGTCTCGCGAAAGTTATCAAAATAAATAATGGTTCATCATGAAAAATAATAACTTATAAGTAATTATTTTTTATGCTCTACTAACTCTTATTTAAAACGACAATTTTACTGTTGCCCGTCTCATAAACATGTCATTGTGGAAACGTTTTTAAAAGTGGCCACTTGCAAATATATGAGATTTAAAAATTACATATATTCATATTTAAATATATATCAAATTAAATAAATATACCGACATTTACGTACTAAATAAATTATTGAGCTTTCAATCCCGATATTAAAATGTTTAAATGAATTTATAAAATCGACATTTTGTCAGTACAGCTTCATGGGATCCAGATAAACTCGTTTATTTCTATTGAAGCATGCAACTCAATTAAAACTCGCATATATTTCAGCGGAGCAGCATGAAAAGTGAAAACGAACCGAAACGATTCGCAATATAATCCCGGATTTTGCTCCGACTTTTACGATTCAAACCTAGCCCCACAATAAGAATAAATTTACAGGGCGTTGCTCTCCTTGGTCATAAAGATCTTCGAGAAGTTTCAGATCCGCTACAGTGGGAATTAACTTTCTCTCGTCCATCAGTTTCTCTAAAGTAATTCAGAGGTAAATAAAAAACAACTAACGTATTGTATGGTGTATGTCGCTCATTTGATTGTAAAATTCCTACTAAAGAAATTGGAATGCTATTCATCTGATAAGTCCCCCCGCCAAATTTCGAATAAAATAAATAAATAAAGATGCTTTAATAAGGCGTTAACCTAATTAAAATTTCTTTAAAACAACATTTTTTCTAATATTTATTGGCAACTAAAGTTGGTTTACGCTTTACTCGTCACTCGCTCGTTTACTCGTCTTGTGTAAACCATCCTTTATACGGTTGTGACTGAATTAAACCGGTTAGGAGCGAACGTAAACACTGTTCGGCCGTGCTCTTGAACTCAAATTCAAGCATTGGGCTGGCTGCAAAGTGACCATGGCCGAGTAGGGAATCTACCGCAACGCACTCAAGGTTTTGAACCAGAAATAGACTATCAGAAATATTCTTATATATTGTTATATAATTTTTAAATGCCGTACAGGAAAGGAACTTGGAGCACCTCCAGAGCTTGCTGAGTAGCGTCTCAAAAGAGTGACGTAATCATCTAGAAATTGTCTCGATGGAATTAGCGAAATATTTTTATGGCTATCAACACGATTCGCCGCTCCTACGCGCCTACTTACCTATATGCAAATTGTCATAATAAAGGCTGCATCTGAACGGTTTTTCGGATGACGCGCCCGCGTGGTTTCGGTGTAAAATATTTTCCATACCTCGGACGTGATTCACGACTTTCTTCGTTTGCGTTCGCGGAGGTTTTTCATCGGTGCACAACGGGCACCGATGGACCTTCAATGAGTGCACCTGCAATGACGGAATGACTACGCAGTGTTCTTTCGGGCATTCGGTCAAGGCAGTTTGAGTTCAAGATCACATCCGATGGGCCACAGCTCAAAAATAAATTACGATCTATAAATAAGCAACTTATAATTTAACCAAAACCTTTTACTCACAGGAAGATAATAGTAATCAGAATTAACAGGCACACATTTTTTTTAATATTACATGTAGATAGTTGTATTTTTTATATCCAAAAATTTAATCTTGTTACCTACATTAAATATACATGGATTTCGTTTATAAAATATACAAATCTGTCCCGCAAATTTCAACCGATTTATATATGAAAGGGATTATTTAATATTCCTTTTTAGCGCCTTTCTTAGCTTCCTTTTGTATTCTTTAAAAACGCTTGATTTGATTCAGAGTTTTCATAACTAAACGTGTCGAAATTTTTGCGTTTAACGCAGGGACCAGGCGAAACGCGTTATTATATTATGGAAGCATTATTTTCTGGTACATTAGCTGGAAAGAAGGAATGAGAGGTTTTCTTTTGAAATATAACAGGAGGCGTTTTACCGTGACGGTCGGGCGTTCGCGGGGAAATGACGAAAATGAAATGGGGCGATTAAGAAAAAAGTGTCAATAAAAGAGCGGAGGATAAAATAACTTCGTGAAAGTATTAAGTCACAAATGTTAAAATTACATGTACGGGTGGCAGGCAATTTAAAAATTGATTTGCTTGTGTTCATGTTTGTTGTTGGAAAATAAATGAAATTTATTGTGAGGCACGTTATACTTAATACTTGAATGATTATGTAGGATTTAATATTCATCACTGGCTCATAATTAACGCTATAGACAATGAGATGATTTTCATTTTTAATCCAACAATGAAAATGAATTTATTTAATAGAGTGGTAAAATTGGATAAGCTTGATGAATTTTATAATTGTGTACAACCGACGACTATGTAGGTATTTCGATTTTTCTAATAATTCAATTAGTCAAATAACTTTTCTTTCAAAAATTTTTCATTCTGTTTCCACAAATTCCCGGATTACTACAAAGCGCTTAGAATGAGTTTTTTAAAGTTTAATAATGAATATGATTGGAACATCTAGAAATTTTCTTCCTAGAAAATTCAATTTGAACATTCCTACCTACAAAAGTATAATTCAATTTTTTTAGGATTCTGAATACTTAGAAACTTTGATACCAGCTATTTTCATCGAAACGAAAGTGAGTTGTGGAATAAGAGAACAGGCTATGAAAATCGTAGAATATAACCCATTTTTTACCGATATAAGTAGGTATACTCTTGAATATAAACGGATTAATTTAATTTAAGCAGCTCATAGCAAAGCCAAACAATATCTGAACGTAAATAATGTTTCATCAATATGCAGCTAATGCTTCAACCGCAATTGTACCACACCTAAGTGCATTTACACCGAACAATGCACATAAGTGCAATACATTACTATCGAATTAAAATGCACTTAGTAATATTATCGATAGATTATTGGATGCTCAACAAGAATTGAAATTGAATTTTCCACGTCAACTACACGAATTAACCACATACATTATACCTACAGGTGGTATAATAAAATTAAAATTTTAGTGTAACTGGTTCCTTCGCCATTTTATAGAGAGAAAAAAATTGAAAAATATAATATATCCCTATTGTAGATAAACAAAACTTTGTAGAATAAAATAGATTGTGAATTACATACATAAAATATTTGTACAAAACTTAATTTTAGTGCCCTTACAAGTGTCCATGTAAATATGGAATTAAAGAATATTAACTCCTGGTGTTTATGCAACGCGTTTTACACAAGCTAGATGTATTTATGTGTTTTGAATTTTTATAAATTATGGATGGTATTTCCTATAAATTATTGAGTTATGAAAAGCGAACTTAAGATTTTATTAGGGTTTAATTTTTAACCTATTTTCTGAACCTGTGAAATTCCTTTGGGTTTTTACACAAACCACATATGAATAGACAAACAATTTAATATTTCATTAGGTACAAACCCCTCTGAGAGCGTAAGAATAATAAAAAAGAAAAATAATGAATATGAAAATATAATGTAATGTAATGTAATTTCATCTCTGGTTGTGTAAGCAGAAGCTTAATTAAAAAGTTTGCCATTTGAAAAATACAAGGTTCAAAAAAACATGCTCTCTAAACATTTTTTAATTGAACGATAATAATTCAATAAAACTTGCTTCATCTAATTTTCCCCTTGATCAACACTCATTAGTATATAAAAATTTATCCTAGATAATTAATTACCTTTTAAAAACCGCGTAGTCAACGTAGAATCATAATTAGCAATTGTGTTCAGCCAACCATATTATAATTGCCGTTGGGTATTACCTACTCGGTTAATTCGTTAACCTACGTTAATAAAATTTTAAATCGAGACCATAAAATCACACATTATAATTTGCTGATTAACAAAATATGACGGAAAAATCGCACAGGGAAGTTCCAATAATTTTAATTCAATTATTGTCTACATTAATATTCTTTGAAAGTATTAAAGTAGTACAAAAAGTTGATAATTTTTTATTGATCGTAAATAATTTATAATTATCCGCTGGTTAATTAGTGGACTCGAACAATTAGAAATGTTTCATTTCGTATCGCACTTTTGAACGCCACACGCCACTGAATCATGATCGTGTATAAGTATATTAAGGTGTAACTGAGGTGCGTTCTATATCCTCTTCGAATTATCGCTAGCCAATCAAAGGCATACTGATTTCGCATTACTGTAATCCGCAATTCCATCGTTAATTTGGTTGGTTGAGCACCGTTCGATTTGCTCTGTATCTTCGAATACCGACACACACGATACGGACGCAAGAAAGCGAGTTTTTTCCTGCAACAAGTGGAAGTAAAACAATTACATACAATTAAATGCGATATGAGTTCTCTGGGTTTTTTTTTAGGGTCAAATTGTATGTTCGAAAGAACAACGGGTTCCGGTTACTGGCGTTTACACTAAGTAATGGTTCCCACTGACATGAAAAAATATTTAGATATACCTACGTACATAAATTTGTTAGAACGTTTATCGCAAATTTCATGAAGATTTTTTTTTATTTTGGGCATTTAATTATTTCTTAATAATGAACGTATTGAGTTTGTTAATTACACGCCGACGTGAATTTAATGAACGCTAAAAAAACTAATTAACAACTTCAGCATGTTGAGTGGGAACAATTTTTTTGGTGGAGCACGCCAATGAAGAATCTCGGTTTTTAAATGGATTTTTTGAGAAGGAATCGATTCAGGTGCTCCCAGATGCGCCGGGTCAAGTTCAACGAGTTTAAAAAGAGAAATTAACCTTTTTCGTTTTTATTAGTGACCAATCGGCATACTTTTTTAAGTAACTTTCATCTGAAATTTCATAAGAATGTCATCCTAATGAAACCACGTGGTCGTGATTGGGAAAATCCGATAAATATATACGATTATTTGAGTTTTTTTGAATAATTTTTAGGAGCTTTTATCAAAAATATTCACACTAATTACAATAAAAAATAACTGCTTAGGATCATTTGATTTCTATTTATAGAACCTTTTTTTATTGGTAGCTTATTCGTTTTTTGAATCGTCATTATTTTTGACCAATTATGAGTAGATATTTATTGATTAAAAATATTTTTTTATTGTCTCTTATTTTCTTTAGGCTTTTAGTTTAAGTATAGGTATTAAGTATGAAAGGCATCAATAAAAAATAATCATTTATTGCTTTTAATTCGAATATGTGTCTCTATACAAATAAATAAATTAGACCATTTTGTTATTCAAATAGTTTATTTTCTTAAAAAATAACAATAAATTAAGTCTATCTACCCAGAAATCTGAGCCACTGGTAAAAACGATAAGTCTTTGTTCATCGACGAATTCAATAACTTACTATTACAAGAACAATATCAAATAAATTAAATTTCAATAAGTGTATCGTTGTTTATGACTTAGTCTACGCTCGCTGAGTTTTGGCAGGTACGTGAACCATCATCAGATCGTTACGCTTGTTTGGTCTGCTGGTGTCCCCTGTAGGCCAGGTTTTGGGCGTCGAAGGACCTGCCCCATCCGCCGCCGGAGCTGCCGCCGTAACCGCCGCCGATGTCACCGCCGTAGCCGCCTCCGTGGCCGGAACTGGCGATTTCGTGGGTGGAAACGTGCGCGGAGGAGTGCTGGGCGTGCGGTACGACTTCGTACGTTACGTGTTTCTGGCCGCCGCTGCCGAGGAGTTTCTTCAATCCAATGATGGACGAGAGTACAAGGGCGATTTTACCGATCAGAAGGGCTTTTCCGGCGATTAGAGCGATAGCGGCCAAAGCGAGTTTACCGAAAATGGCGGCTTTCAGGGCCATCAGAGCCATCAAACCTCCCATACCTTTTCCTTTCTTACCGCCGCCGCCACCCTTCTTCTTCCTGGCTTCACCTTGGTCGTCGGCATCGAATGAATTTTCTTCCTCTTCCAATGTTTCAGCGTAATCGTTCAACGATCTGGCCGTGGACGACACCGCGTTAACAATTTCACTTCCCTTCAGGTCGATTTTCAACGTGTGGCTTTCCAAGAAATCGGAAATTCTGTTGAAAATTACCGATTCGATGGTATCGTCACCGGAAATTGCACGAGGAGCACCTCCTTGTTCACCTCCTGTTTTGACGAATTGCACACCATCGGTCACTGTAATCGTTTCCCTATGGCCGAGCATCTTGTCGACGAAATTGAAAACTTTGTATTTGAGACAGGACATCGAGTCCTTGCGCAGGCAGTCATTGTAGATGTTGTCCAAAAGGTCGTTTTCGGTTTGGATGGCGTTGCCGCGTGGTTCCTCGCCTTGTGTGGGCAGAGCACTGACCGCGACGACGATGCACAAAAACAGACCGGTTAACTTAAAAAAAGCCATAGTGGTGAAGATGAACTCACTGATTGTCGTATGATGAACTGAAGTCAGTGTATGGATATATATCAGCGGGCCCCTTCCCCTGCGCGGCCGGCGTTTTGGGTCCCGAAGACCCGCGGGGCGCTGCTATGGACCGCTTTCTCAGAATAAGCGCCTAACCTAGTTTTCGGCGTCGTCCTTATGTATGTGTATACGTGCGATATGCAGTTGCGAGACCACGGATGCGTTAACTAGGTATGTGTACGCGTACTTACGTACATACATACGTGGGTGCGAATCTAATGGTATTTTACTTCGGTAGGTACTTGCACGCTCGATGTCACGGTCTAGGTTATTTCAGATAAACTTCCTTACATGTCGTTGTATCGCATTCAATGCAAACTGTATTGACTATCTGACGAAAGTGAAATTCTGCTTACACCATATACAGGGCGCGTATTATATATTTAAATAAATATACCTATTTTTTACAATTTTTATATGTAGTTAAAAATTTATTTTTGAATACTACTTATTTTAAATAAAATTAAATAGAAAATAGTACCTATCTATAAGTACTCTTGTATAAATTTAAAACAATAAAAATCCAAAAACTATTGTATTTTGAATTTGTACGAGTATTGTACGAGTATATAATTAATAATGTTAATTAGTAATAAAAAGTAAGTTAGAGATATTTATAGAATTTCATAGAAGTTTTTACAGGAAACCCTGCCAAAAAGTAATATAATATTTAATATATGCCTTTGCATTTTATATTAAAAGCAAAAGTGTACTTTCGATGTAGTGATTGAATGTATCAAATGATTTCATAAAATATACCTAATTAAATATTACCTTTTGGCTGTTATTTTCATTCATAAAAAACTACAACTCAAAAAAGAAAGTAACTAATAATATTTACTTAATTCATTTGCGCCTTGGATATTAAATAACAAGTGAAACTTTGGTAATACGGAATGAATTTTGTGATATTCTGCGATAATTGATATGTAATATGATAATCAAATTAATGAGAATAATCTGCCTACTCCAATGTATAGTTCGGATAATAAAATATGATAGACCTGTTCTAATTTTTTGAAAGAATCGATATACTAAAATTTTCTGGATTCTTGGTAGATATTTAGTGGTTAAATAAACATAAATGCAATAAATAAATTTTCATAGCAACAAACTGCATCTACATATATACTTTAAGAATAAATAGGTTGCAAGAGTTTGCAGGAGTTTGAAATTTGCTCGTGTTGTTTATATAAAACATTTTTCTTCATTTTACGTGCCTAAATAAATTGATTTATGCCAGTTTTAGGCAAGAAAAATTGTCATCTCGCCAAGGCGAGTCTGTGCTTATGAATATGAGTAACGGTACATGCGTTCTCACTGAAAAACTTTTACCAAAAACGAAGAACTCATGGTAAATACCTATAAACAGCAGGATATTTTGTAATTATCTTTCACTAAATTACAAAACAACGACTTTCATTGTATTATTCGTAGAACAAGATCAACGTTTTGTTCGCTGATTAAACTAAGATTAAGCATTATTCTAAACACCACGTTCAGGGATTCAGAAACTTTGTTCCACGTAGATGACAAAAATTAAGGTAATCTTTCATTATGATAATAAGTTACTGTAAACATTTATTCGTTTTCGACTATTTGAAATAACCTACCTATGTACTTTCCATACCACATCAGAATACGGCTAATAATTTATTTTGTAAAATTTCTCAGAATCAATTTTGAATTAGTTCTATACGTTTCAATTAAAACGCATAAAATTGATGCTCGATAACATATAATTTGTAAAGGTACGGGAAAACACGGGATTTTCTATTACTGTGTAATCAAATACGAAGGTTCTGTTTACAAATGCAATCTTAATACCTTATTTGCCGGTGTAGCCTGAGGGTGTTCGTTTCATGGACGAGTCAGTTAATCTGTGTCACACCAATTGCATCAGACAGCGAGTCTCTTATTTACGAAAGTTAGCTAATAAATTGTTATTTTAATTACATTGCATTGCATTGCCAAGTCCAAGGAAACTCGTTCATTACCAACTAATATGTACTTCATTACTTAATACGAATGATTTCCATAGATTTCTTCGACGAGCGAATTGTTGAGAACCATTGCAATTTCGAATGAGAGAAATATTTCTAATTATAATTTATTAATTTGCAAACAGTTTATTGAAATAATATGTGACATTCTACCGAAAACGACCATATCCGGCTTCTCACACGTCGGCAGTTCCTTTTCTAATTACCTAAATATGCAAATAATAACCGCAAAGTGAACGTTTAGAAATGGAAATGGAAAGCCTAGCCTTGAACGCATCGTAAAAATCTTTTATTGTTAACATCAGAATTGTTGTTTATTTAGGAGCTACACGTTTCGTTACTTCAAACTATCTATTTGACTTAGTTTTAGCGAGTATTGTTTCCTATACGGAGAAAGTAAAAAATATTTCGAGTAAATTTTAATGTCTGCGAAATGTAAACGATGTCTCTCAATTAAACATCTATTTATCGAGGAATAAATATGCTTAATTTACCATATCAATGAATTAGGAGTGTCTATATTGTATTCGAAAGGTAACAGGTGTTTTGTGACGTACGAATAAAATTTTATTTTGACCTGTATAAAACACAGAAATCCAGGACTTGAAACAATTAGCACAAATTTACAGTAAGTAACTGAATCGCATATTTTTTTTAATAGGAGTTAAAAGTTTCCGCTTTTAACGAATACCTATATCCTATACTACTTTAAGAGAGTCGTATTACAGCAATTTAGCGAAATAAAAGCTTTTAATGAAAAAACTTTCTAAATAAATTTCACAGAACTGTTTGATTGTTGTAATTAAACATTAGTGAACTCGAAGTTGCAGATAAAACTTTCGAATGATTAGAGTTATTCGGGTTCATTTTTGTTATTAATCATCTCGATGCATTACTGTTTTCTTCTTTTTAATCGATCACATGAATTTGCATAAATGGAGCGAAAGCTTACCTTAAATCTAAACCAGCAGTGATATTTTCATGAACAGTCCGCCTTAAATATTCGTATCCATTAGGGCTTACGGGTAAGTCGTAATTTAATTTCTAATTTAATGCAACGTGTTATTAAATATTTACGACAATAATCCTCGATTATCCTCTGTCCTCCTATGCGATATAGATTCCGACTACAACGTATCATTTGCAACGTTCAAGTGAAACCTTCTATGTAATAAAACTCAAATAGAACGAATCAAATACTTTATGACCGTGATTCTCGTATTTTCTGTCGTAAAAATTTTACAAGGTACAGTAATTTTAACGGATACGCTAATTAATGTGTTAGGTCTTAATACATCTGGACTGGTTAAAATTATTTTTTTGAATATCCATATCAATGCACCGGCTAATAATCATTGTTCTACTAACTTTAAGTCTTTAAAAGATAAAGTACAAGTTTTTAATTTTAATTTCACACTTTAATAAAAGTTCGTTGAACTTATTTCGTCTACTTCTAAGTTTTTTTTGGACTGGAGCATTTAGTCATACTTATTTTTTGCTCAATGTCTGATACTTCAATTTACACACTAACCGACATTTTGTTAGTAAAGTAAAAGTGAGGTCCACTTCCTTTACTTGACCCAAACTCCGAATTCTTTACATATTTTTGAAATTACTATATTATGTAAATAGCCTTTAATATTTTAAAAATTAATATCGACCTACATGGCGGTAGATGCTTACAGCTTTTAAAAATTTTACAACTCTGATTATCATTCGAACGTTAGTTTTATTCATGAAGTACTTTTTAGATTTTTTATTGCTAGAAATTAATGAAATTCAAGTGCGAGATGAGTTCCGCAATTTCTCGCGATATTTAGCAGGTAAATCGTAAAATATTTCATGAATAAAAAGTGGATTTTACCATAATTTGAATCTGCTGAGGCGGTTAATCACAACCCAGTTAGTGCGGGACTATACATTGCGTTTTGACGGGAGCGGTTAAACGGGACCCGTTCAACCGCATTTTATTTCATCGGTAGATACATCCATCGTCTATCCCGCTAAAAAGGATGCGGCTCAGTCATTTCTTTGTAGAATTTAGATAGAAAGTAGATGGTTTGATGAAAATTATCTCAAATATTAAAATTGTTAGCACCCTTGAAGCTACTGGCTTACTTAAAAAACAGAAAGAAAATACAACATTCATCATTTTCATGCTTTTCATGTTCTTTGACATACTGAATGAATTTATTAGTGTCGAATATGACTGATACAATAAATATCCAACAAAATATACAACAAATCCAAAATACTATATTCAAATAACCAAATTTTCTGTATAATGATCCCGTTCAACCGCACTGTGTATAGACGCTACAATTGAAATGAATGTGTTCTTGTCGATATGCGTTTTTAAAAGGGACCCGCTAAACCGCAGCAAGACGCGGTTGAATCCGGTTGCCGCAAACGCACCGCACATGTATAGACGATCTAATTTAAAACAATGTGTTCTATCTATCCCTCCAAACCGGTCCGGTTAAAACGCTCCCGTCAAAACGCAATGTATAGTCCCGCACTTAAGCTTGTAATTTGCAAATATTTTAACAGATGAAAAACCAAACGATACAGACGGTCCATTATTATTTAAATAAACGTTTCGAATTAGAAATTCGACGAATTGTACATGACATATTAAATATATGTCAATTCTCTTTTCAATATCTTAATATACCCATCTATATGAATCGATTTATAGAAGGAGTACAGAAAGAACATATGGCAAGCATGTTTCTAGCAATACCAAATTCTACGTGATTGCTTTGTAAAAATAACGCGATTGGGAGCGAGTCTATGTAGGTTTTTAGATAATTAAATGTGACATATAAATTCAGTTGACTTGTCGAAACTATTATACGTATTTTACATATCATCGTAATTGACGGAAGTGGAATAGCAAAGCGTTGTATAGAAATTACTTCGTTATTTGCTTGTATATGCTTG